TGCCAAAGAACTATTGCCATTGTTGGTTTTGTAAAATATGTTACCAACTTTATATAAAAAATAATCGAAAATAATCAAAATTGAATATAGGGGGAGGAGTGAATGGAGGGGGGAGTAATTTGTCTATAAGACATATGAGAGATGTAACTTGACTTTGTTTCTAACTCATCAGAGTTGGAACAAATTTATGATGAAAACAATGTACAAATTTCACAAATGACAGATAGATAGTATTGAAGTTACAGATGCAAAAATGTGAGTTGGGGACATTTGGCGATAAATCACTGACATTTCTTTCAACTTTAAAGACATATTACTCCCCCTTCCATTCACTCCCCCCTCTGTTCACTTTTAGTTATTTAAGATTATTTTTATCTAACATATGGAAACTTATTTTTAAATAAATAGTACCGTGGGTACTGGGCTCACATGGTGTTGCTCAAAAGTGAATGATGGCTAAAATGGCAGTAAATAAAAAAATGGATATAATTCTTTGCCAATTTTTTGCCGATTTTTGTGACAAAATTATTTCATACAATTACTTTTTACAGTGAAAGAGCTTTTTACAATGTAGGACACCTGAAATTATTTGTAAGGCTAGGAAATGGGCCAAATGTGAATTTCCCGAGACTATGGCAGCCATTTTGAAAATAGGTGAGCTTTTGAGCAGGAGTCATAGGGGGGTTTTCTATATTGATGTTGAACAAAAATAAATTAAAATGGGAATCCAAGGTTTTAAAACGGGCCAATTGTTGACAGACGGAGGGACAGACAGATAGACGGACGCATGGACAGACAGATGGACAGACGGACAAGTGAGTTATTGCAATAGCTCACCATGTGAGCTAATAATAATAAAAAACAGCAAAGACATTAATTTTGTGATAATAATGTCACTTATAAGTATTCATAATAGGTCGTGTAGACCATTATTGCTTGATTTATAGCAAAAACACTGACATTTGCACATTGTGACGCTGTGCCTTTGTTAATAGATCTTATATCTTAGAAGTATATCGGTTCAAAAAAAACCTAGACCTCACATATTTTCCCATTTCGTGCATCTATTTTATTAGCGATACTTTCTCTTAAAAAAATAAATCTTCCAGATTTGTTGAATTTTCTAGCAATGTTCAGCTACTGCCCCCTCCATTTATTTCTTCCGATTACCAGGCGTGTAAAAGGTCAAGTCAGTGATGGCCTATAGTGCAGATGTGTGACAATGTTCCACCTTGGATTAAGTACTAAGTTTACTTAATACATCATAGTGTCTATAGCAATCAATAGTCCCTAGAGGTTTATCACTAAATCAACAGACCCTTACATAAGAATGGAGATTAAAGTACTTTCCAGGAGAAAACATTAGTTTAGTTGAGAGAATTATCTGGAAATAGAATTATGTAATTAGAGTGGTGTATTGAACTTGTAAGTTGAGATCTTTACTTGCCTTAACTGAATTAACTAAATACAGCAGCTCAACAGGATGATGGAAAATTCAAAGGTGATGGCCATTTTGAAAAGTAGAGCTTATCTGTGGCATTGAGAAAATACAAAAATGTTTTTAAAACCAAAGGATTCAATATCCTTAACAAAAGAATAATAACTAGATTTGTGAAATTGAACAAGTTCAATTTAAGACTCCAGATTTATTTGACCTAGATAGATCAGTAAAGAGCTGAGTAAGTAACTGAGTAATTAGCTGAGTAAGTACCTTAGTAGTAGTTGAGTTAGTAGCTGAGTAAGTAACTGAGTAAAAAGCTGAGTAGGTAGCTGAGTAAGTAGCTGAGTAAGTACCTGAGTTAGTAGCTGAGTAAGTTGCTAAGTAAGTAATAACTAATTAAGTAATTGAGTAAGTAGTCAAATAAGTAGCTGAGTAGGTAGAGAGGTAAAGTAGGGTATGCAGGAATTTTTGAAAGTATATTTGATCAATCTGCATCGTGAATACTGGCAAGTGCGAATTTCAAACTTCAAAATGGCGTAGAATCTAAACCGGGGGTCGGATTGCAATTTTAATTTCAGATCCGGATTCCTGAGGAAATTCTACCCCTAATTCATAACTCATACTTTAAAATTGGAGATTTTTTTATTTTGACCTACATTTCGGACACCATATCTCAAAAGTGGGTCAAAAAACTTATTGACGGCAAAATGTTACATTATTAGCACACTCTTTGCTACAAGTATACAAAATTTCGGAGAATATCATTGAAGTGTAGTGTCAGAATCGCAAAATAAAAAAAACTATGAATTTGACCTAGATTTTGAACTAGGTATTTTGGTGTCCAAACTTTGAAGGAAAGTAGCTTTTGAGGTCCCCTTCTTCTATGGGCTTTCATTATGTTTAGCTGTACTCATTCTTTATCTCGTATTTTTACACTTCAAAAAATTATTCGGTCCCATTGATTTAACATGGGGCACCAAATTTAGCGATTTTTGAGATCTCAAAACGCCATAACTTCAGAACAAGTAGTCGGACCGAAATTTGGTTTGCAGATCTAGATTTCTGAGAAAATTCTACCCTTAATTCATAACTCATACGTTAAATTTGGAAAACTTTTTACTTTGGCCTACTTTTTGGACACCATATCTCAAAAGTGGGTCAAAATACTTTCTGACGGCAAAACGCTAACACTATTAGCATACTCTTTGCTACCTGTATACAACATTTTAAAGCAAATCATTTAAATATAGTGTCAGAATCGCAAAAATAAGGGATAACTATAAATTTGACCTAGATTTTGACCTAGGCATTTTGGTGTCCAAATTTGGGAGCTAAGTAGCCTTTGAGGTCCCCTTCTTTAATAGCTTTCATTATATTAAGCTGAACTCAGTCTATATCTTGTATTTTACACTTCACAAAAATCTTTTTTTTCCATTGACATAACATGGGGCACCAAATTTAGCGATTTTTGAGCTATCAAAACGACATAAATTCCAAACCAAAAGTCGGATTTAAATTTGGTTTGCAGATTTGGATTCCTGAGAAAATTCTACCCTTAATTCATAACTCATACGTTAAATTTGGAGAATTTTTTAGTTTGACCTACTTTTCGGACACCATATCTCAAAAGTGGGTCAAAATACTTTCTGACGGCAAAAGGCTTACACTATTAGCACACTCTTGGCTACATGTATACAAATTTTTGAAGAATATAAATAATCTGTAGTGTCAGAATCGCAAAATTAAGGAAAAACTTTGAATTTGACCTAGATTTTGACCTAGGCATTTTGGTGTCCAAATGTTTATGAAAAGAAGGTCTTGTGGTCCCTTTCTTTTATGGGCTTCCATTATGTTTAGCTGTGCTTAGTCTATATCTTGTATTTTACACTTCAAAAAAATATTTTTTCCCCTTGAATTAACATGGGGCACCAAATTTAGCGATTTTTGAATTTTCAAAACGCCATAACTTCTGAACCGGAAGTCGGATCGAAATTTGGTTTTCAGATTCTGAATCCTGACGAAATTCTACCCCTAATTCATAACATATACGTTAAATTTGGATTTTTTTTATTTTGACCTACTTTTTGGACACGCCATAACTTCCGAACCGGAAGTCGGATCGAAATTTGGTTTGCAGATTCGGATTTCTGAGAAAATTCTACCCTAAATTCATAACTCATACGTTGAATTTGGAGAACTTTTTATTTTGACCTACTTTTCGGACACCATATCTCAAAAGTGGGTCAAAATACTTTCTGACGGCAAAAGGCTAACACTATTAGCACACTCTTCGCTACCTGTCTACAAAATTTGGAAACAAATCATTAAAGTGTAGTGTCAGAATCGCAAAAATAAGTTAAAACTTTGAATTTGACCTAGATTTTGACCTAGGCATTTTGGTGTCCAAATTTTTATGAAAAGAAGGTCTTGTGGTCCCTTTCTTTTATGGGCTTCCATTATGTTTAGCTGTGCTTAGTCTATATCTCGTATTTTACACTTCAAAAAAATATTTTTTCCCATTGAATTAACATGGGGCACCAAATTTAGCGATTTTTGAATTTTCAAAACGCCATAACTTCTGAACCGGAAATCAGATCGAAATTTGGTTTTCAGATTCTGAATCCCGAGAAAATTTCCTATAAGACTGATATCCTCGACATTGGATTCGGTGAAATTTGTTTTGGACCTCGTTTTCGGACACTGATATCTCGAAATCGGTTTGAGATACCAAAAAACTAAATCGACCCTAGGTTTTCTACTTTTTTATGAGGAACACAATGAAAAAAACCAGGATCAAAAATATTGAAGGACGACCGAGATAATGGGAAAAAGTGACAAAGTACTGGATTTGACCTAGTTCTTGACCTTTGACCTAGATAAAAATTTGACCTAATTTCCCAGAAAGCCAGATACATTCCCTAGTTAATCATGTAAGCAGCTTAAAGTAAGCTCTTCTAGTTGGTGAGAAATCTGGGAAGGAGGAAGAAGAAGAATAATAATAATAATAAAGAAAACTGGCAAAAGCAATAGACTCCAGATTTTCATCTGGAGTCTAATTACCCCTCACATAGGCATCCACAGGGAGGCTGCATTTTGCCAAGTTTTTTGAGGTAAGGAAGCTACATGTATAGGCTTCAAGATAATTTATTTTGGGGTTTATTTGGGAATCAAAAATTGAGACATTAAATCAAGTAGGCATCACACATTAGGTAGCCCAGTTCAATTTGTTCAAATTAAAACACTTATTACACAAAACCATTTATTCACCATCGGTCCATAGTGCAACACAAATATAAGCCAAATCTGCCTAATGGTATTCAAGTAATTTCCTGAACAGATGGGAGGACTGATTTTAAGGGAGCATCAATAAAATTGTAAATAAACTGCTTCGATCTATTTCTACTCGGAAACGGTACAGAGAATATTCACTAAATGCTTTATATTGGGGGCTTTGTAATTTCCCTAGTCTACATAATCCCTCGTGTTGCTTTGTATAATGCACCTTGTGACGCACATCAACTCCCAACTCCCACACACATGCACACAATGGATGTGTAGTATCTACTTAAACATGAATATACCGTTGCAATTCAGATTCAGTAAAAAAGGTAACCATGGTAACAAAGAATATAATGCAGAGTGATTGTGTTTGTTGATCATCTGAGTGACACTTGGATTTAATAGAAGTATTGATCTAAAGGGATTACTGATGAAATCATTGGATAAGGTAGCATTAACACAACATCATCATGTAATATGCACTCCTGCTTGTAAGGTGATGGTAATGTCAATTAAGAAGCAAAACACAAGAACCTGCCTAATACCTGCATGCTCAGATAGAAACACTTATCGGGTACATGTATGTCCCTCTGAAAAGGTTAATCCACTAGAGACACTGGATATGATGAAATGTGAAGCAATTTGGTACACAAAGGAACACTCGATATCATGAATATGTTATTGTCAGTTATTGTTATTTATTGGCTTTCAAATGCACAGAATAGGCTTGTGAGATTAACATGGACATCAATGGAATATCAATCAGGGAATAGCATGTCATACTGTCATCATATTGATAACTATATAAAATAGAAAACAATCAACATGAAAACCAGCAGGGCATGACTACATTCTACAGGGATCACATTTGTTAGTCTTAACTGTTGTTAGCCATTGGGAGATAAATGTCCACTGACATTTTAGAAACAAGGCATGAAATAAACATGATCAGATAAATATTTTGCAAGGGAATAGTATTAATTGGATGAGGACTCTACCAATATAGTTGCTACCGGCAACTGATTTTATTATTTATCTTGGTGGTATGGAGCAAGCATGGTGGACAAACCCTAGTAAGTATATAAAATCTGATGAATATATAAGGAAAATCATTATTAGCTGGCCTGTTATTATCTCAATAGATCAATAAGGCACAATCATTAGTGAAGAAGTGCTTCTACAAGCAACTAGTTAATAATGACAACTTCACAAAGAGCATATCCTATTGAACAAAGGATTGTTATGATTAATGGTGGATGCTTTATTTTATTTTAATATGTTAGCAACATTACACCTGGCAGGCTCTTTATCAAATAGGATCAAAGGATCACTATTAGGCCTTGTTTACCATCCCTTGGGGAATTTACTGTAAAATGAAATACATAATTTCACCATAATATAGAAAAGTGCAGTATATTATGGAATATGAGTATCCACCATAATATAGATAAGTGCAGTATATTATGGAATATGAGTATTCACCATAATATAGATAAGTGCAGTATATTATGGAATATGAGTATTCACCATAATATAGATAAGTGCAGTATATTATGGAATATGAGTATTCACCATAATATAGATAAGTGCAGTATATTATGGAATATGAGTATTCACCATAATATAGATAAGTGCAGTATATTATGGAATATGAATATTCACCATAATATAGATAAGTGCAGTACATTATGGAATATGAGTATTCACCATAATATAGATAAGTGCAGTATATTATGGAATATGAGTATTCACCATAATATAGATAAGTGCAGTATATTATGGAATATGAGTATTCACCATAATATAGATAAGTGCAGTATATTATGGAATATGAGTATTCACCATAATATAGATAAGTGCAGTATATTATGGAATATGAATATTCACCATAATATAGATAAGTGCAGTACATTATGGAATATGAGTATTCACCATAATATAGATAAGTGCAGTATATTATGGAATATGAGTATCCACCATAATATAGATAAGTGCAGTATATTATGGAATATGAGTATTCACCATAATATAGATAAGTGCAATTATATTATGGAATATGAGTATTCACCATAATATAGATAAGTGCAGTATATTATGGAATATGAGTATTTACCTTCTGGCATAAATGACTTGAAGTGTTTTATTTTTCAGGTGCAAAAGACAAGTGCAAGAATTGATAACAATTTGTCAGCAACAAGATTAGAATTTGGAACACGAAACAAAGGCAATCAATTATTTGCATTCTGTTTCAAATGCAATCACTATTACACGAGAGGCAAAGAGATCCATACTGAGACAAGCAACAGTGGAGAATATCCTAGTGGGTGATTAACTGACAATGGGGAATGAGTTGTGCTTCTGTATCCTCAGTGACACTGATGACAGCAGTGACACTAATGAACATAGTGAACATGTGCCTCTGCAAAAGTTCAACCAGAACAACCTGGACAGAATACCAGATCACAAACAATCAAAGGTTCCTATCATTGAGAACACCCAGAATGATAATGGAATGGACATCCATAGTGACAGACCACATGATTTATTCTCTCATGACGTGACTAACATGGATCCTGGACTCCTAAGCTGTAGAAGTTGCTATGAACGTTATGGTCAAGAAGAGAGACAGCCATTTATTCCAGACAAAAAACACTCGTTATGCAGTATATGCTATGATAACATGAAAGAGGTGCATGGTGAACCGTTCCCTTGTCACATGTGTCATGATTCTATTTATTCAGCGCCATGTAAGAAAATTAAGTTCACTGATCCATATGACATTGACATGTTAGAGCTAATTGAGGCCTGGGATGCCAAGCATGGGGCCTCACATAAGCATGGAGCCTCACATAAGCATGGGGCCTCACATAAGCATAGGGCCTCACATCACCACTGAGTATGGACAACAAAGGACAATTTCAATTTTTAAAGTCTTTGTTAAAATTATTGTTAATTGTGCAGTTAAGTGAACCAGAAACATATAAAATGCTGTTAGTATTGGTCATCATTAGTAAAAACTTATTTTTCAAAAGTTTGACATCAAACTAATAAAATTACACTACAGCCTATTTTCTGGTGTGACTCATTCGCTAGAATTAAATGAAGGACCCATGGCCCTGTGCTCACACAGTATAGAACCTTTAGAGGAATATTGATTTGATTTGATTTGATTTGATTTGTAGTCTCGAACTTTGAGAAACTAAGATAGCACAGTTTGAGACCTAGTTTGATGACCTTGACCTTTGACCTTGAAAATTTAAGTTTTTCTGAGCTCAGTAGGTCTTTTGTGATTAAGCCAAAATTTGAATCTAAAAATCAATTTGAATAATCAACTTTGTGACCTTAAAAAGGTCACTGAAGGTCAGAAAATGTTACCTTTTGACATCAAAATCGGTAATTTATCAGGTAAATTCACTGAAGGAAGGAAAAATTTACTTATTGACGTCAAAATCAGCAATTTCACGGGTTTCTGCAAACTTGGGAAATGGCGAAGACTGGTCAAATAGGCATTATGGATATGCATAAAATGAATGTGGATATGACTCCAATATGAATATAGCAGTTTCAATTTGTGTGGCCAATGTTGATGGACGTCATTTGTTGCTGCTGCATCAGTGTCTTCATTTGTTGCCTTTTTTCTTCTTTATTGTCTTCTTTTTTCTTTCTTTGACTTGATTGTCTTGTATTAGATTGTGAATGTGATGTTTGTAATTTTCTTTTTTCAGTATCCAGACTTGAGACATAGGTGGGTTAAACATTTTGATCCAGCCAGAAAACTCTCCCCTTACGTTTACTGGTTCTTTCGTTGTCTTATACATGTATTGGATATGTCTTCAATCATGATGTGTCTTCTTACTTCTCTTAGTTTACTCTCTTTGCGGAGAGTAATACTTCTTCTTTCATGGTCATTTGTTAATTTTGTCAGATGGACCAACGGATGGATGGACAGACGGACAGACGCCAAGTCGATCCCAAAGACTCACTGTGTGAGCCAATTCAAATTGACACAAGTTGAAAAATACCCATTATTATCATATTTTAACATCAAATATTGGTAAAAAAACAGTAACAATTTAATCCTAACATATACTAAGTAATTTGTAGAGTGGTTAAATCTAGTAAGAATTTAATTCACTGCAAGAAATGATGAAGTATAAGGACAAACTTTGAGAAACTTGTCAATCACAAAACCTGCCACTCTTGACTTAATACATGAGAGAGTTCACTGAAAATGTCCTACTTTTTGTAAAGTGTTAATTGTTTTGTCAATTTAATTCCAAGAGCTTTGAAATCTTCAGAGAACATATGTTGCACATACAGCAACTATCACTACTCATATGAAAGTTTTAACAAAGTGTCTGGTATTTAGAGAAAATTTGACTTTTTGACGTCAAAATTGGCAATATCTCAGAAACCAGGTGAACTTGGTAAATGGCGGTGAAAGGTAAAATAGGCAGTATGGATGCATAAATGAAATTGGATATGACTCGATACAAATTGAAGTTTTAATTTGTGTGGCAAATGTTGACGTTATACGCAATATTACTAAACACAAGTGAAATTCGGAAGAATGAATGGACCAACAGACGGACGGACAGATGGACCAACGGATGGATGAACAGATGGATGGATGGAAGCCTAGACAATCTCATAGGCTCACCGTGTGATCCAAAAATATAAGACTTACCTTAAGAATAAGGCTGTCACTTACTGCCTGAAGTTAGTAAACATTAATGAATGTCAGCACATAGACTTTGTTGCGTCAACCATTTAGCATAAGCACAATATTCAAGAGATATTTAGTTAACTGTAAAACTCACTTTCTTCTTCATGAGTCCTGGAAGTTATATTACACACTACAACCGAACACATGTGAAATTCAAATTTTTGGTTCACTTTATTTTGAGCACACATGTGCACATGTTAGTCACTTTGAACTATACTTTCACATTTAAATGGCGAGTCGATCTGTAAATGAAGTCCTTTTTATTTTACATGCAAAAAAATAACCAGAAGAAGCAAACTTTGTGCAGATTTCCCCTATTGTAAAGATAAAATTAAAAATTGCCTAACATTTATTTATCAGCTACTATGCTTAAAATAAAGCTGATATAGTTACATTTAAGAATTTTTCCCAACTTCTGGAAGGTAAATGATTGTCTCAATCTTCAGCTTATTTTAATTTGGTATCTAGCGAGTCAGTCAGGAGTTAAAATATGCTATCATTCATATACGATTCATATCAAATCATTGTTCCTATGCTTTAACATGGAACTTTCTTTAGCCAGTGAATAACGAACAAGATAACAACAACGCCAAGGCATAGCAAATCCCAAAGAACAGCATTGGCTGCCATTTTTGAAAATGGCTGCCTATTAGCCAAATTGTCACCCAAGAGTGTCATATGCTGCTTACTGTTCAAATATAAAATTTCAACAGAACAGATCCTTTACTCTTCCAGTTAATGCAAAATTCGTAAAGTATCACACATAAAAATTCGCTCCACTACATGTCCAGTAAACAACAGCGTAAAATAGCATACATACTGCAAAGTTGCTGCCATATTTTAAAATGGCCACTCATGAGCCAAATCATCACAGGAGGCACAACGTGCTTCTAATTATTCACATATAATTTCAACAAAGTAGCTCCTTTACTTCTCCAGTTAAGGCAAAAAATGCAAAATAACACACATAATAAAAATGGTGACCATTTTTCAAAATGGCTGTGCACTGGCAAAATTGTCATAAAAGTATAAACAGGGTGGTCCAAAAAAATGGGACACTCGTATTTCAAAAAATAAATATTGATTTTCTTGTTGAAAACATGTCATACCAGTGGATAGAGAATTTATTCATCTTTAATTTGGTATATCATAAGTTCAAATTTTATATCATGTCTGTCAACCAGCGTTCATAATATAAATGACGTCATATTTGTTTCAAAACGGATTTTCCAAACCTTGCAAAAACCAAGTTTTTTTGTCAACTCTATTTATATAAATAGACATTCAATATATCCACCATTTTGATTAATTATGGCCCTCTATTTTGTCCTAAACTGCTGTTGATACAATGAATTCCACTTCTCAGCAATTCTATTCTTAATAAGGGACTGAGTAGATGTAAGGGGTTCATGCTACACCAATTCTGTTTGTTCTCCCAATACGTGGTAGTCCCAGACATTGACATCTGGTAGTCCCAGACATTGACATCTGGTAGTCCCAGACATTGACATCGGATCATCCAATCATGTTTTCTTGGACCATCCTGATATGAGCTCATTTTCCAGTCATTACATTTTCCAACAAGATGGGGCACCAATCAATAAATCCCATAAGAGTGTCAAAGGTTTAAAGGAAATGTGCCTAGAATCATCCCCTTAATCACTGCCCGCCCCAAAACCCAACATCTGGGACTACCACGTATTGGAAGAACTATCAGAATTGGTGTACCATGAAACCTTCACATTCATTCAGTCCCTTAGAGAAATTCATTGTCTCAACAGCATATAAATTATGCTATTGACCAATTTAAGCCAAAACTGAGGGCTATAATTGATCAAAATGTTGGATATAATCACTAGGGCAGAGCATTTGTACTGAAAGGAGCGTTTTCAGTACAAATATGTACTGAAAAATGTACTTGTTTTGTTTCGGTACAAATTTAAGTATATTTTTGTACTGAAAAATGCACTGAATTTTTTTCAGTATATTTTTCAGTACAAATTCATGTACTGAAAAATATACTGAATTTTAAGTGAAAAATGCACTGAAAATTTAAGGATAAATTTAAGTACAAATATATACTGAAAAATGTACTGAAATTTAAGTGCAAAAGTCAGTATAAAAATGTACTGAAAAATATACTGAAATTTAAGGATAATTTTAAGTGTAAATATATGCAATGAGAAATATTTGTGCCAAATAATGGAAATAAGAGAAAACGTAAATGTAAGGCATACTTTATAAACTCTAAATCACTCAAAAAGTTCTTAGAATGGTGAAAAAGTGAATGATTTTAAAAAAAAATTTGGCCGGGGGGGGGGGGGGGGGGGTTCGCTTGGACCCCTGAAACCCCCCCAACAGGAATGCTATTACATTATGAAATTATTTTGGATGCTTCCTAAATTACAGCAGCCTTTAACCAAACTTAAAAAAAGAGTCTCTCTGTAATCAGGTTTTGTTTTGCCTTGTCAAAATATTTTGTTTTGTTAGTGGATTAATAAAGTTTCTTTAGACACATCCTTTAAAGCAGACTCTAATCAAACTGGAGAGGCTAGGTTTACTGTAATCAAGTGATTTCCTTTTTAGAAGTTATGTTTATGGATTGTTTATGGATTCATTGAAAACGGCCTAAATCACTCAAAAAGTTCTTAGAATGGTGAAAAAGTGCATGATTTTAGAAGATTTTTTGGCCAGGGGGGGGGGGGGTGGGGTTCGCTTGGACCCCTGAACCCCCCCCCCCCCCAACAGGAATGCTATTACATTATGAAATTATTTTGGATGCTTCCTTTACAGCAGACTTTAACCAAACTTAAAAGAGTCTCTCTGTAATCAGGTTTGTTTTGCCTTGTCAAAATATTTTGTTTTGTTAATGGATTAATAAAGTTTCTTTAGACACATCCTTTGAAGCAGACTCTAATCAAACTGGAGAGGCTAGGTTTACTGTAATCAAGTGTTTTCCTTTTAATAAGTTATGTTTTTGGATTAAATTATTTAAGACGCATCCTGTAATAATATCTGATTTCATTTTCTTCATCAATAAATTTCTTTTTAGCCAGATCAAACCTATCAAATATAATGCATATATAAGGGTTATGTACTGGGAGGTTTTGGATACCCATATTTCCTGAGGGATAAACCCTTTATTCAAAACTGATCGTACATAACATGTGTATTCCATACCTTTTGAGGTTTCTACTTATTAAGTTCTAAAATTCAAAAACATTAAAGGTACACATTTTCTCAGTCTTAAAAATAAGTTTTTCATGAGATTTTCACTCATATTGCTTGAGCAAATTAATTAATTGATATCAAAATTAAAATATACAGGGTGACCCAAAAAAAATGCAACCCTCCATTTCTTCTATATTTTTCTTAAATGGAGGTAAATTGCTCTGCGATTTGGCACACAAGGACTTCATTCAATGTGGGATCCTCTGGCAAAGTTTTAATAATCATAGTCTTATATTGATAGAGTTATGGTTGTTTCAAAATATGCTCCAGATGTCGTCAATTTCGCTGAAAACAAACTTGCAATGTTCAAGGAAAACTGTTCATAACACGGATACATTCTTCCCCATGGGTATGGCTCAAATTTTGCAGCAATTGCTTGTTGGAGTTCTGCAATTGTGGTAGGGTTATTTTCATACACATTATCCCTTAAATAACCCCATATATAGAAGTCAGGGGCATTGAGATCAAGACTGCGGGATGACCATGGGTTCTCCGTCCTAGGAGAGATAATTTTCTCATAGACATGAGTAGTGAGCCAGGCTATGCTATCATTAGAAGTGTGAGGAGTAGCTCCATCCTTCTAGAACCACTGTTCTTGTCTATTGAAGCCTCTATGTCACTCTAGAACTGCCAAGAACTTCCAGGGAACGCCAATATTGCGCTGTGTGTTAACAGTAACAGTGTTGTCATTATCAACCTCAAACCAAAAGGGGCTGATGATATCATGTTTGGGAATTAGCAGCCCAAGCTGTGCATTTAACAGAATGAAGGGGCCTTTGAAGCACTTCATCTGGAATTTGTGATCCCAGAACACGTTATTTATTGAGTTTACATGTTCAGAAAGAAGGGAATGTGATTCATCAGAAAACCTAACATTGGAAATGGACGACATTTGGAGCATATTTTGGAACGACCATAACTCTATCAATATAAGACTATGATTATTGAAACTTTGCCAGAGGATCCCACATTGAATGAAGTCCTTGTGTGCCAAATCTCAGAGCAATTAACCTCCATTTAAGAAAAATATTGAAGAAATGGAGGGTTGCATTTTTTTTGGGTCACCCTGTATAACATGAACATAGAACCTCATTTGTTCAAGTATAGCAAAATCCATGGTATAGATGTCAAAGTCAGGAAGATGTCGTAATTCAAAATCTAAGTATATTTTTCAGTATAAATTTACACTTAAATATGCCCTTAAATTTCAGTATATTTTTCAGTACATATTTGCACTTAAAATCACACTTAAATTTCAGTATATTTTTAAGTACATATTTGCACTTAAAATCACACTTAAAATTCAGTATATTTTTCAGTATAAATATATACTGAAAAATGTACTTAAAATTTCAGTACATTTTTCAGTACATATTTATACTGAAATTTGCACTGAAATTTTAAGTATATTTTTCAGTACATATTTATACTGAAAAATATACTTAAAAATTCAGTACATTTTTCAGTACATATTTGTACTGAAAACGCTCCTTTGAGTACAAATGCTCTGCTTTAGTGATTGAACGTCTGTTTTAGATGTAAATAAAGTTGACAATAAAATTTGGTTTTTGTAATGTTTTGAAACGAAAATGACGTCATTTATATTATGGACACTTGTTGACAGACATTATAACTTATGATATACCAAATTAAAGATAAGTAAATTCCCAATCCATTGGTATATAATATGACATATTTTCATAAATAAAATAAATATTTATTATTGAAACACGATACTACAGCCCCAAGTCTTTAGGGAATACATGGTATATAACATTTAATCAGACAAAAATGCAAGAAGCAGTATATGAATATGCATAGTACATAAAAAAATATGCATTGTGCTTTATACCTGTGATAACTAAGCTGTCTTCTTCACAGTTATTGGAATCCCTGAGTTTAAAGTCCAACACGGTGAGTTGGATTCTTTGTCCCTGTCCTGCTTTTATGTTCCAGACACAAGTGTCTCCCTCATCATAGTCCTCCTCAGGGTAACCTGGACTCAAGATCTCACCCTCAGGATCCAACAGGGTGCCCCCACAATTAGGGATAGCTACAAAATATGGAGTGCTTACTTTAAGTCATGACTAACAAATTAGTTTCAATACAGCACATACACTACAATTGCACCAAGTCATGCCTAAGACTTAGTTTCAATATAGCACATATACTACAATTGCTCCAAGTCATGCCTTAGACTTAGTTTCAATATAGTGCATACACTACAATCACTCCAAGTCATACCTTAGACTTAGTTTCAATATAGTGCATATACTACAATTGCTCCAAGTCATGCCTTAGACTTAGTTTCAATATAGTGCATATACTACAATTGCTCCAAGTCATGCCTTAGACTTAGTTTCAATATAGTGCATACACTACAATCACTCCAAGTCATGCCTTAGACTTAGTTTCAATATAGTGCATATACTACAATTGCTCCAAGTCATGCCTTAGACTTAGTTTCAATATAGTGCATATACATGTACTACAATTGCTCCAAGTCATGCCTTAGACTTAGTTTCAATATAGTGCATATACTACAATTGCACCAAGTCATGCCTAAGACTTAGTTTCAATATAGCACATATACTACAATTGCTCCAAGTCATGCCTTAGACTTAGTTTCAATATAGTGCATACACTACAATCACTCCAAGTCATGCCTTAGACTTAGTTTCAATATAGTGCATATACTACAATTGCTCCAAGTCATGCCTTAGACTTAGTTTCAATATAGTGCATATACTACAATTGCTCCAAGTCATGCCTTAGACTTAGTTTCAATATAGTGCATATACTACAATTGCTCCAAGTCATGCCTTAGACTTAGTTTCAATATAGTGCATATACTACAATCACTCCAAGTCATGCCTTAGACTTAGTTTCAATATAGTGCATATACTACAATTGCTCCAAGTCATGCCTTAGACTTAGTTTCAATATAGTGCATATACTACAATTGCTCCAAGTCATGCCTTAGACTTAGTTTCAATATAGTGCATATACTACAATTGCTCCAAGTCATGCCTTAGACTTAATTTCAATATAGTACATATACTACAATTGCTCCAAGTCATGCCTTAGACTTAGTTTCAATATAGCGCATATACTACAATTGCTCCAAGTCATGCCTAAGACTTAGCTTCAACATGGCGCATATACTACAATTGCTCCAAGTCATGCCTTAGACTTAGTTTCAATATAGCGCATATACTACAATTGCTCCAAGTCATGCCTTAGACTTAGTTTCAATATAGTGCATACACTACAATCGCTCCAAGTCATGCCTTAGACTTAGTTTCAATATAGCACATATACTACAATTGCTCCAAGTCATGCCTAAGACTTAGTTTCAATATAGTGCATATACTACAATTGCTCCAAGTCATGCCTTAGACTTAGTTTCAACATGGCGCATATACTACAATTGCTCCAAGTCATGCCTTAGACTTAGTTTCAATATAGCGCATATACTACAATTGCTCCAAGTCATGCCTTAGACTTAGTTTCAATATAGTGCATACACTACAATCGCTCCAAGTCATGCCTTAGACTTAGTTTCAATATAGCACATATACTACAATTGCTCCAAGTCATGCCTAAGACTTAGTTTCAATATAGTGCATATACTACAATTGCTCCAAGTCATGCCTAAGACTTAGTTTCAATATAGTGCATATACTACAATTGCTCCAAGTCATGCCTTAGACTTAGTTTCAATATAGTGCATATACTACAATTGCTCCAAGTCATGCCTTAGACTTAATTTCAATATAGTACATATACTACAATTGCTCCAAGTCATGCCTTAGACTTAGTTTCAATATAGCGCATATACTACAATTGCTCCAAGTCATGCCTTAGACTTAGTTTCAATATAGTGCATATACTACAATTGCTCCAAGTCATGCCTTAGACTTAGTTTCAATATAGTGCATATACTACAATTGCTCCAAGTCATGCCTTAGACTTAGTTTCAATATAGTGCATACACTACAATCGCTCCAAGTCATGCCTTAGACTTAGTTTCAATATAGCACATATACTACAATTGCTCCAAGTCATGCCTAAGACTTAGTTTCAATATAGTGCATATACTACAATTGCTCCAAGTCATGCCTTAGACTTAGTTTCAATATAGTGCATATACTACAATTGCTCCAAGTCATGCCTTAGACTTAGTTTCAATATAGTGCATATACTACAATTGCTCCAAGTCATGCCTTAGACTTAGTTTCAACATGGCGCATATACTACAATTGCTCCAAGTCATGCCTTAGACTTAGTTTCAATAAAGCACATATACTACAATTGCTCCAAGTCATGCCTAAGACTTAGCTTCAACATGGCGCATATACTACAATTGCTCCAAGTCATGCCTTAGACTTAGTTTCAATATAGCGCATATACTACAATTGCTCCAAGTCACGCCTAAGACTTAGTTTCAATATAGTGCATATACTACAATTGCTCCAAGTCATGCCTTAGACTTAGTTTCAATATAGCACATATACTACAATTGCTCCAAGTCATGCCTAAGACTTAGCTTCAACATGGCGCATATACTACAATTGCTCCAAGTCATGCCTTAGACTTAGTTTCAATATAGCGCATATACTACAATTGCTCCAAGTCATGCCTTAGACTTAGTTTCAATATAGTGCATACACTACAATCGCTCCAAGTCATGCCTTAGACTTAGTTTCAACATAGCGCATATACTACAATCACTCCAAGTCATGCCTTAGACTTAGTTTCAATATAGTGCATATACTACAATTGCTCCAAGTCATGCCTAAGACTTAGTTTCAATATAGTGCATATACATGTACTACAATTGCTCCAAGTCATGCCTTAGACTTAGTTTCAATATAGTGCATATACTACAATTGCTCCAAGTCATGCCTTAGACTTAGTTTCAATATAGTGCATATACTACAATTGCTCCAAGTCATGCCTAAGACTTAGTTTCAATATAGTGCATATACATGTACTACAACTGCTCCAAGTCATGCCTTAGACTTAGTTTCAATATAGTGCATATACTACAATTGCTCCAAGTCATGCCTAAGACTTAGTTTCAATATAGTGCATATACATGTACTACAATTGCTCCAAGTCATGCCTTAGACTTAGTTTCAATAAAGCGCATACACTACAATCGCTCCAAGTCATGCCTTAGACTTAGTTTCAATATAGTGCATATACTACAATTGCTCCAAGTCATGCCTTAGACTTAGTTTCAATATAGTGCATATACTACAATTGCTCCAAGTCATGCCTTAGACTTAGTTTCAATATAGTGCATATACTACAATTGCTCCAAGTCATGCCTTAGACTTAGTTTCAATATAGTGCATATACTACAATTGCTCCAAGTCATGCCTTAGACTTAGTTTCAATATAGTGCATATACTACAATTGCTCCAAGTCATGCCTTAGACTTAGTTTCAATATAGTGCATATACTACAATTGCTCCAAGTCATGCCTTAGACTTAGTTTCAATATAGTGCATATACATGTACTACAATTGCTCCAAGTCATGCCTTAGACTTAGTTTCAATAAAGCACATACACTACAATCGCTCCAAGTCATGCCTTAGACTTAGTTTCAATATAGTGCATATACTACAATTGCTCCAAGTCATGCCTTAGACTTAGTTTCAATATAGTGCATATACTACAATTGCTCCAAGTCATGCCTTAGACTTAGTTTCAATATAGTGCATATACTACAATTGCTCCAAGTCATGCCTTAGACTTAGTTTCAATATAGTGCATATACTACAATTGCTCCAAGTCATGCCTTAGACTTAGTTTCAATATAGTGCATATACTACAATTGCTCCAAGTCATGCCTAAGACTTAGTTTCAATATAGTGCATATACATGTACTACAATTGCTCCAAGTCATGCCTTAGACTTAGTTTCAATATAGTGCATATACTACAATTGCTCCAAGTCATGCCTTAGACTTAGTTTCAATATAGTGCATATACTACAATTGCTCCAAGTCATGCCTAAGACTTAGTTTCAATATAGTGCATATACATGTACTACAATTGCTCCAAGTCATGCCTTAGACTTAGTTTCAATATAGTGCATATACTACAATTGCTCCAAGTCATGCCTTAGACTTAATTTCAATATAGTACATATACTACAATTGCTCCAAGTCATGCCTTAGACTTAGTTTCAATATAGTGCATATACTACAATTGCTCCAAGTCATGCCTTAGACTTAGTTTCAATATAGTGCATATACTACAATTGCTCCAAGTCATGCCTTAGACTTAGTTTCAATATAGTGCATATACTACAATTGCTCCAAGTCATGCCTAAGACTTAGTTTCAATATAGTGCATATACATGTACTACAATTGCTCCAAGTCATGCCTTAGACTTAGTTTCAATAAAGCGCATACACTACAATCGCTCCAAGTCATGCCTTAGACTTAGTTTCAATATAGTGCATATACTACAATTGCTCCAAGTCATGCCTTAGACTTAGTTTCAATATAGTGCATATACTACAATTGCTCCAAGTCATGCCTTAGACTTAGTTTCAATATAGTGCATATACTACAATTGCTCCAAGTCATGCCTTAGACTTAGTTTCAATATAGTGCATATACTACAATTGCTCCAAGTCATGCCTTAGACTTAGTTTCAATATAGTGCATATACTACAATTGCTCCAAGTCATGCCTTAGACTTAGTTTCAATATAGTGCATATACTACAATTGCTCCAAGTCATGCCTAAGACTTAGTTTCAATATAGTGCATATACTACAATTGCTCCAAGTCATGCCTTAGACTTAGTTTCAATAAAGCGCATACACTACAATTGCTCCAAGTCATGCCTTAGACTTAGTTTCAATATAGTGCATATACTACAATTGCTCCAAGTCATGCCTAAGACTTAGTTTCAATATAGTGCATATACATGTACTACAACTGCTCCAAGTCATGCCTTAGACTTAGTTTCAATATAGTGCATATACTACAATTGCTCCAAGTCATGCCTAAGACTTAGTTTCAATATAGTGCATATACATGTACTACAATTGCTCCAAGTCATGCCTTAGACTTAGTTTCAATAAAGCGCATACACTACAATCGCTCCAAGTCATGCCTTAGACTTAGTTTCAATATAGTGCATATACTACAATTGCTCCAAGTCATGCCTTAGACTTAGTTTCAATATAGTGCATATACTACAATTGCTCCAAGTCATGCCTTAGACTTAGTTTCAATATAGTGCATATACTACAATTGCTCCAAGTCATGCCTTAGACTTAGTTTCAATATAGTGCATATACTACAATTGCTCCAAGTCATGCCTTAGACTTAGTTTCAATATAGTGCATATACTACAATTGCTCCAAGTCATGCCTTAGACTTAGTTTCAATATAGTGCATATACTACAATTGCTCCAAGTCATGCCTTAGACTTAGTTTCAATATAGTGCATATACATGTACTACAATTGCTCCAAGTCATGCCTTAGACTTAGTTTCAATAAAGCACATACACTACAATCGCTCCAAGTCATGCCTTAGACTTAGTTTCAATATAGTGCATATACTACAATTGCTCCAAGTCATGCCTTAGACTTAGTTTCAATATAGTGCATATACTACAATTGCTCCAAGTCATGCCTTAGACTTAGTTTCAATATAGTGCATATACTACAATTGCTCCAAGTCATGCCTTAGACTTAGTTTCAATATAGTGCATATACTACAATTGCTCCAAGTCATGCCTTAGACTTAGTTTCAATATAGTGCATATACTACAATTGCTCCAAGTCATGCCTAAGACTTAGTTTCAATATAGTGCATATACATGTACTACAATTGCTCCAAGTCATGCCTTAGACTTAGTTTCAATATAGTGCATATACTACAATTGCTCCAAGTCATGCCTTAGACTTAGTTTCAATATAGTGCATATACTACAATTGCTCCAAGTCATGCCTAAGACTTAGTTTCAATATAGTGCATATACATGTACTACAATTGCTCCAAGTCATGCCTTAGACTTAGTTTCAATATAGTGCATATACTACAATTGCTCCAAGTCATGCCTTAGACTTAATTTCAATATAGTACATATACTACAATTGCTCCAAGTCATGCCTTAGACTTAGTTTCAATATAGTGCATATACTACAATTGCTCCAAGTCATGCCTTAGACTTAGTTTCAATATAGTGCATATACTACAATTGCTCCAAGTCATGCCTTAGACTTAGTTTCAATATAGTGCATATACTACAATTGCTCCAAGTCATGCCTAAGACTTAGTTTCAATATAGTGCATATACATGTACTACAATTGCTCCAAGTCATGCCTTAGACTTAGTTTCAATAAAGCGCATACACTACAATCGCTCCAAGTCATGCCTTAGACTTAGTTTCAATATAGTGCATATACTACAATTGCTCCAAGTCATGCCTTAGACTTAGTTTCAATATAGTGCATATACTACAATTGCTCCAAGTCATGCCTTAGACTTAGTTTCAATATAGTGCATATACTACAATTGCTCCAAGTCATGCCTTAGACTTAGTTTCAATATAGTGCATATACTACAATTGCTCCAAGTCATGCCTTAGACTTAGTTTCAATATAGTGCATATACTACAATTGCTCCAAGTCATGCCTTAGACTTAGTTTCAATATAGTGCATATACTACAATTGCTCCAAGTCATGCCTAAGACTTAGTTTCAATATAGTGCATATACTACAATTGCTCCAAGTCATGCCTTAGACTTAGTTTCAATAAAGCGCATACACTACAATTGCTCCAAGTCATGCCTTAGACTTAGTTTCAATATAGTGCATATACTACAATTGCTCCAAGTCATGCCTTAGACTTAGTTTCAATATAGTGCATACACTACAATTGCTCCAGATTTAAGCTCTGACAACAAAGTGAATGTACATCTAACTTAAATTCTCAGAAAAATGGTGACCATTTTGAAATTCAGCAGTCATCAAATTAGTCCTGTATGTTCAGTTGTCGATCTATGCCATTTATACATATATGGTATGATAACATTTTGAATATTTTCCTCATATTATGTACATTCTCCTCTTTTACAGTGGATGAAAAACTGGGGTGACTCACTCCCCATTTTTGGTATATGACCTGTGACCCGACCCACGACACCCAACCCAACTCTATCCTACACCTATCATATATTTATAAAATTTGAACAAAATCTGTCAACCAGTATTCGAGTTATCCCTCTGACACATGAATGGATTGACAGATGAATGGATGGATGAACGAGCAGATGAAAGGACGGACAAAAGTACAAACGGCCTCTCTATATCCCCACAAACTTAGCTGAGTTGGATAATGATACCCTTATACACTGTATTGCTTACCTTGGTACTGTATACTGAATCCCTTAGCACCAGATTTACTCGTAGACCTTGTTAGTGAGATGCACATTCTGTTAGTTGTGGGATAGAGGATGTCTGGCCAATTCTTGGCAACCAGGCCTGCCCCTCCACGGTACCTCCTTAGCTTAGGGTCAGGGGGAAAGAGATCATCCCCCTCACAGTCTGCCCCATCATATATATTCAACTCATCTCCCTAGTAGGGAAAACATATCCATATATAGTCCTTTTGGAAAAAATATGTAGAAAGGGCCCAAGGAAAAATGGCAGTTAGAAGCTGTGTTGCAAAAAAGGAAGATAAAAATAGGATTTAAAAATTATAGCATTGGGTTATTAGATTTACCTCATTCAAGTCCATGTCTTCAACAAAGACTTTCAGCCTCATCCTGCTGTTTACTCTGACATTCCACTGACATTTGAAGCCTGTGGGGTAAGGTTGGGGGTAGCTGGGGGACACGATAGAGCCAGCATCTAGACGGAAGTCACCACCACACTTACCAACTGGAAACAAAAATATCTTAAATATCATGAAGCATCTTCAGTACCCAACCAGAAAGTATTTCTAAATGTTTCTTACTTCTTTAACTATGCTTATGATCACTTAGCATCACTTTTGATTGTTGCTTCATTGTCTTGGACCTTATTAACTTCAGACATTTTGTTTAACAGTCATGATCCCTGTACTGGTTGAGTTGTTTAGATCTGCCACCAGATGGCGCATTTATCGCTTTATCCCATATATGGCCAAGGCGTTAGTTTCCTTGTTTTCAGTTACAGTTTGAAAACTGAGGTGCATAATTTTCTATCAATAAGACTGTCTGAGACATATTTCTACAAACTTATATGGGATATTAACTTATATATATATATCTTTGCACACACCTGGCATAGTAGGAGTGGGTGTTACAAGGGCAGACTCATTCTTGCATTCAGTGATGAATGCACTCCATTTGGCATTTTCCTGACATGTGATCATAAATGTTGCCAGTCCATTTATAGTGAAGCCAGGGTCACATGTGTAGGTAGCCTGGTCACCAAACCTCTCCCCACTCATAGAGACCATTCCATTTGAGATGTTGTAGAGTGGGCCACAATTGATCCCTGAAGTGTTTAAAATATGTTTTCCTTTACATATGTAACATTAATGGCTATACAGCTGCTAACATAAACTGGAGCAATATATTCAATATCTGCTTTGATCTCAGAAAAGCATCAACAACATGACAAGATTCATGTAAAATAGAGGGCATCGGGTAATAGGGACAAACAAGGTATATATAATAAAGGACGATTCTCGGTTTGGAGAACAGTCTCCTGGGCTAATAATGTTTTCATGAAAAATATAGAAATATTACCCAAATTAAACTATGAATATTCAAAAGAGGACATTTAAATCTACAAGATGTAAAAATGACAAATTGGTCTGAAGCAGGGGTAACGCTCAATAAGACCGATTCAATAAAATACAAGTCTCGATTTGGGGAAAGAAGTTCATCAGTGTACTGCGCTAATAATTTTTTGCAAAAAATATAGAAATATTACCCAAATTAAATTATGACTATTTAAAAGAAGACATTCAAATCTATATTATGTAAAAAAAATCAAATCTGTCCGAAGCAGGGATAATGCTCATTTAGATTGATGAACTTCGTTCTCCAAACCGAGAATCGTCCTTTAACCACTGCATTTTCTAGATATAATAGCCATTGCTGGGAATTAAAAAATGTCAGTCAATGAGGCAGAATCGATAATATTACATCTGTACATGTGCAGTTAAAGTTGCTATATTAGCAATGCATTAAAATGTTAATTAAAAGTAATGAAAAGCCCTTAAGAGGTAATTTGACATACTTGTGCAATAAGGAGCTTTTCCACTCCATTGGCCATTCTCCAAGCATGTCCTTGTTTTCAAACCATTCAGTTTCCAGCCTGCCTGGCAAGTGTATGTCACCATATCCCCAAATCCTGTGCCGGAGGTTGTCACTGTGCTCAGTGGATGTTTGTCAGGAGCTCCACATTTAGACTCTGGAAGACATAAAATGTTATCATTCAATGATTTGAGTACCATACATAAAACACTGTGCCTTAGAAAGTCTGTACTGTTCTTATGGTTTCTTAAAAGGGGCTAGCTGAATCATTGAGGGCGCAATATTTTCTGTATTTTCTGAGAAATTATTGAATCATTTTTTTATTCAATGATATTTTTCAACAGAAAATGACACTTACATGTCCAAGCATATGGAACAATGAAGACATGAAAATACAGTCCATATTTACATCAGACGGGCCAATCAGATCTATATCAAACTGGTTGAACCAAAATATTTAGAATTAGTGTCAAATTACAGTCTTAATGAATTCAAAAATACTTACGGACACATGCAGCAAATGTTCCACTCCACTGTCCATTGGCTTGACACTGTCTTATTGGGTTGCCTTTCAAAACATAACCATCATTACACAGGTAGGTTGCCAATGTACCAAACTGCTTGCCAGTCACTGACACTATTCCATTCCCAGGGTTCCTCAGAACTTCGTCACATGTCACAACTGAAACACATTATAACATTCACACATCACATAACTGTAGTTACAATTTATTTCATGATGTAACATATCGGTGTATTAAAAAAACATTTGTACTCAATGCCCTAAGTGGGCATCTCAGTGCCAATATCAAATTGTGTTCCAGGGCAACTAATGTACATACAATTTACAAAGCATGGCTTTATGTAGGTTTCCTTGGAGCGACACAACTTCAAGATATGACTTTATTTTAATGTTGTAAAAGAAAGATTCCTTTTAAAAATGATCTATCTGAGTAATTTAGTATTTTTCAAAATTCTTATTTTTGAACCAAATCAATGTTACAAGCTTACTGCCATTTTTCCATTTTCAATTCATAGTGCCCTATTCAAAAAATAATGACATAGTTTTCGCAAAGTAACAGTTAAGCAAAACGTCAACTTACGTATACATAATACATCAGGCCCAGACCAGTAGCCATCTGCCCCACACGTCCTCACAGGGTTGTCTTTTGCCTTAAAGCCAGTATCACACTTATAGCTGATTGTGGCCCCCACAGTGAAGTCATTACCTACAACTTTACCATTGGCAGGGTCTCCAGGATCTCCACAACTAGTTACTTTGCCAGAGCCTGCAATTGTCAAGCATGTGCTAAATAAGCACTGTACAGTTAAACTTGTGTATTATATGTATCTCTCTCAATTCAGCACTTTCATATGTGAACATGTTTCTAATCTGAAAAGCCTGCAATTGTCAAATATATATTTGATTAAACTGTACTGTACACTTAAACTTGTGTCTAAACACTTTTTAATTGAACATGTCTCTTTTTTGAATTTAGCATATGCATGTATTGACTCATATATCAGAACCACTTAATTTGACCATTTTTGGCTGATATCAAGCAGCACATACAACCTGTCTTTAGATAGGTGCCAATACATCATATGGCTGTCAAATAAATATCTTAAATTCAAAGTTCAAAAGTGACTTCATGCAGCTTTGCAACCAAATATATAATATAACCTATACTGGCGATTACTAGAGTGCTGCTAACTCGATAAAAGGCTGGCGCTGGCTTGAATTGTCTGTGGTTCTAGCCAGGATAAAGATACCAGTTCTTCAACTCGACAATGGGAAGAACTGCTCTACCTTAGTGACTAATATGTCATGATATGACATCTAAAGAGTCAATAAAAGATATATAATATAAAAACCACATTAAATAAAACACCAGGATTACTTCCAAAGTAAAATATGATTTCAAGTTTTTACAAATATTCTAAATAAACCAAACCTTGACAGGTTGGGACATATCCAGACCAGATGCCATCTTGTTGGCATATTCTGATGGCATTCCCAGATAGTTTGTAACCTGAAATAGAAAATACAAAATAACAAAAATACACTGCTAAGAATAAGTACTGACCCATATTTGAATACCCAGAGCACTGAACTGTGAATTAGCTGAAAGGATCAGTTCAGATATAGAAAGTTAGTGTCTAATTCAGTTTTGGTTGACCAGTATAGCCAATAATGTATGGCCAATGGACATATTGCATAAATCAATGATATTATTAAGCTGTTAGTATAGTCTTTTATGACCCAGAGCCAAAAACATATGATCAATGGACATATTTCAAATGTGTACACATTGAACAAATCTTTCTACATACCAGGTTTACAAGTGAATGTAGCTACACTGCCTGGGGCTCCTCCATTGCTCTTGGATACCATACCATTGGCAGGTAGGCCTACATCCCCACAGCTTACTTCTGCAACATAATAATAAACAGGTGTGAAATATATCAAGAATTAATGGATCTGAATATTAGTACTACATTTGCCTGAACATGCCCCAACATATTTTGGTGATCATTATTTACTTGTAAATTCTTTGGGTATTACATTTGCCTGAACATGCCCAAACATGTCTGGGTGATCGTTATTTAGTTGTACATCCTTTGGGTATTACATTTGCCTGAACATGCCCAAACATGTCTGGGTTATCATTATTTACTTGCACATTCTTTGGGTATAGGTACTACATTTGCCTGAACATGCCCAAACATGTCTGGGTGATCATTATTTACTTGCACATTCTCACAGGCTGGTATCGAAATATTTGTCCGCTGTGACGGAGCATACTATTTTTCATAAAAACACTAAGAATACTTCACGATTTATTTTTTAACTCATATGTTTCGTTATACTATACTAAATTGCTTACTCCATGCAATGGATATATCATTTGCGGGTAACTTTCACTTCTGTTTGAAGTCCAATTACGCTGGGAAGAAAAGCTATTGAAAATTTTTAAATCTTTTATAAAAAATAATGTTTAATTTTTTTGTCCGCTGTGACGGAGCAGTTGCAAATGTGAACTGTGAAAATGCTCCGTCACAGCGGACAAAAATATTAATATTATTTTTTATTAAAAAAATTAAAAAGACCCAATGCATTAATATCTCATTAATACATTCAGAGTTATGCTTAAAACATATGTTAATATTATCGTGTCACTATATCATGCCATTAAAAAGTTAAAAAAGAAATGGTACATTTTAGAGTTTGATACTCTGGTGCCGTTTTTAATAACTCCTAGCGTTATTGGACTTCAAACAGAAGTGAAGGTTACACGCAAATGATATATCCATTGCATGGAGTAAGTAATTATCTTTGATATAACGAAACATATGATTTAAAAAATAAATCGTGAATCATTCTTAGTGTTTTTATGAAAAATAGCATGCTCCGTCACAGCGGACAAATCTTTCGATACCAGCCTGTGATTCTTTGGGTATAGGTATTACATTTGCCTGAACATGCCCAAACATGTCTGGGTTATCATTATTTACTTGCACATTCTTTGGGTATAGGTACCACATTTGCTTGAACATGCCCAAACATGTCTGGGTTATCATTATTTACTTGCACATTCTTTGGGTATAGGTATTACATTTGCCTGAACATGCCCAAACATGTCTGGGTGATCATTATTTACTTGCACATTCTGTACTGGATAAAGCATAAGAATGAGATTTTATAAGAAATAATACACCGAAGGCCGAAGGCCTGAGGTTATTATTTCTTATCAAATCGAATTCGAATGCTTTATCTTACTTAAATCACACACATTCTTATTACAGGTAAATGGTCTATTATATTACAGTTAAAAGGTCTTTAATCCGGAAAAATGTGATTTCTTTTGTATTGACTATTCAAACTGTGAATTTTGCAAACTTCAACCAGGCTAACAATGACCCTGGCTCTTATTGGTTAAAATTTGTTGTTATATAGCCAATTAATTGTAACAACAAAAAGAGTTGGTTGCATTGACCTCATGAGTGTGAGTTGATGTAAGTGACTGAGTGGGCTATAATTATTCTAGCTTCAGTGCACTACAGGTGACTGTCCAGTCCAGAACATTGAATTTGAATACAGCAGAATATTTGTAAGTAAGATAAGATCAATGATGTAGATAGCAACAAAAATTGATAAATTGTTTTATTCTAAAGAATGCACAGTAACAAGAGAAGGGTACATGTATTTTTACATATATATATTGTTTTTTAGGGAATGAAAACTATCAAAAACTGTCAATGGTCATTTATGTCTCACTTGTTTTTGATAGCTTGCCAAGTGTACATTCTTTAAAAACAATAGAAAAATAATGCACTTTCCTTTTGATAAAACCATACATTCTTAAAAATAAACCACAGCAAATTCTATTGTGTTGCTACCCAAGTGGGATTTAATTGGGTATAGGTACTACATTTGCCTGAACATGCCCAAACATGTCTGGGTTATGATTATTTACTTGCACATTCTTCGGGTATAGGTACTACATTTGCCTGAACATGCCCAAACATGTCTGGGTTATCATTATTTACTTGCACATTCTTCGGGTATAGGTATTACATTTGCCTGAACATGCCCAAACATGTCTGGGTGATCATTATTTACTTGCACATTCTTTGGGTATTACATTTGCCTGAACATGCCCAAACATGTCTGGGTTATCATTATTTACTTGCACATTCTTTGGGTATAGGTACTACATTTGCCTGAACATGCCCAAACATGTCTTGGTGATCATTATTTACTTGTACATTCTTTGGGTATTACATTTGCCTGAACATGCCCAAACATGTCTGGGTGATCGTTATTTACTTGCACATTCTTTGGGTATTACATTTGCCTGAACATGCCCAAACATGTCTGGGTTATCATTATTTACTTGCACATTCTTTGGGTATAGGTATTACATTTGCCTGAACATGCCCAAACATGTCTGGGTTATCATTATTTACTTGCACATTCTTTGGGTATAGGTACTACATTTGCCTGAACATGCCTAAACATGTCTGGGTTATCATTATTTACTTGCACATTCTTTGGGTATAGGTACTACATTTGCCTGAACATGCCCAAACATGTCTGGGTTATCATTATTTACTTGCACATTCTTTGGGTATAGGTATTACATTTGCCTGAACATGCCCAAACATATCTAGGTGCATAATTATTTACTTGCACATTCTTTGGAAAGGTACTAAATTTACCTGAACAAACAACATATCTGGGTGATCATTATAATTACTTGCTCATTGTTTGGGAAGTAAAGGTACTACATTTACCTGAACATGCCCCAACTGTTCCAATCCAATTGTTGTTGGCCTGACAGACCACTACAGTCTCTATTAGCCCTGTCTTGAACCTGCCATTGCCATTACATCTGAACTTAGCTTGGAAACCTGTGGGGTAGTAACTCTGGGTGTTGGACAGGAATGTCCCTGAGGCCTTGGGAAGCTCAGATTGGGGACAACCAATAGCTGAAAGTGTAAGTCATTTATTTTATCATTTTCATTAATAATGAAGGAATAGATACATTTGATTGTTATTCGAATAGAAATAGGATGAAGAATATTTACGTCAAGTATACTATACAGTGTATCAGGATAATTTTGACATATATTCAGACTTCATTCTCAATATTGTTGAATCAACTGCAATTTGCCCTTTATTTTGGGGACTATTATGCCTTTCTAACAATGATCCTCCTCCCTCTTAACAAGTACATGTACTTACATCTGTATGTCAGCCAGAAGCCCTTTTCAGTCTCTGCAAACAAACTATCTGTGATTGGTGCAATGCCAGTCTTAAATGTCACTGAGAATGTGTTTGACGTTGTCTCTAGTTCTAGACTCAAATCATTATTCTTGCCACAGAACACAGCATCTGAGCCATCATCACTTAAAACATTGTCAACCTTTAAGCTGTCAAGTTTGCAGTTTGCAGAGTCCCTCATTTTAAGTTCCTGGATTTGAATCCTAGCTCTCATTCCAGGTGGGATGTTCACATCAAACTTACACATCTCATCTTCCTCATAGTCTTCTCTTGGGTAGCCTGGACTTAGGATGTCTCCTGTACGTTCTGTATATTTGCCTCCACAGTTCGGTATAGCTGCAATAATGTAACTTGTATTAATACAACATAAAGTCTTCTCTTGGGTAGCCTGGACTTAGGATGTCTCCTGTACGTTCTGTATATTTGCCTCCACAGTTCGGTATAGCTGCAATAATGTAACTTGTATTAATACAACATAAAGTCTTCTCTTGGGTAGCCTGGACTTAGGATGTCTCCTGTACGTTCTGTATATTTGCCTCCACAGTTCGGTATAGCTGCAATAATGTAACTTGTATTAATACAACATAAAGTCTTCTCTTGGGTAGCCTGGACTTAGGATGTCTCCTGTGCGATCTGTATATTTGCCTCCACAGTTTGGTATAGCTGCAATAATGTAACTTGTATTAATACAACATAAAGTCTTTTCTTGGGTAGCCTGGACTTAGGATGTCTCCTGTGCGTTCTGTATATTTGCCTCCACAGTTCGGTATAGCTGCAATAATGTAACTTGTATTAATACAACATAAAGTCTTTTCTTGGGTAGCCTGGACTAAGGATGTCTCCTGTACGTTTTCTATATTTGCCTCCACAGTTTGGTATAGCTGCAATAATGTAACATGTATTAATACAACATAAAGTCTTTTCTTGGGTAGCCTGGACTAAGGATGTCTCCTGTGCGATCTGTATATTTGCCTCCACAGTTTGGTATAGCTGCAATAATGTAACTTGTATTAATACAACATAAAGTCTTCTCTGGGGTAGCCTGGACTAAGGATGTCTCCTGTGCGATCTGTATATTTGCCTCCACAGTTTGGTATAGCTGCAATAATGTAACATGTATTAATACAACATAAAGATTTCTCTTGGGTAGCCTGGACTAAGGATGTCACCTGTACGTTCTGTATATTTGCCTCCACAGTTTGGTATAGCTGCAATAATGTAACTTGTATTAATACAACATAAACTCTTCTCTGGGGTAGCCTGGACTAAGGATGTCTCCTGTACGTTCTGTATATTTGCCTCCACAGTTTGGTATAGCTGCAATAATGTAACTTGTATAAATACAACATAAAGTCTTCTCTGTGGTAGTCTGGACTTAGGATGTCACCTGTACATTCTGTTATATTTGCCTCCACAGTTCTAGCTGCAATAATGCAACATGTATTAATAAAACATAAAGTCTTCTCTGGTGTAGCCTGGACTGAGGATGTTCCTTTGGTATATTACATAGCCACGATAACTGACTTAGATTTCTTCAGTCCAAGGATTTTTATTGAGGCACCCCATATTTCTCTTTTTTAATTTATGAAGGTGATCTCATCATGTTGAAGGTGATAAATCATGTTTACATGCCTTACACATACCTAAAAAGTCCAGTTTGAATCCTTTGGCTGTTCCCACCTTTGCACCAGTCTCCAGCTCAACACAAATCTCTTCCACTGTGGAAAACAACTCATCTGGGAAATCAGATGTCGGTGACGTAGAATTATAAGACCTCATTAGTACATCTGGATTGAGGAAATCATCTTCGAAACATGAATCACTATCATATATCTTGAAATAGTCACCATCATTCAGTTCTAGTTCACTCATTGTAACTTTGGCCCTGTAGTTGTATGGGACCTCAATTGAGTGTGTGCAGCGTGTGTTGCCAGAGTTAGGGGGGTAAGCGTTGGGGTAATTGGGGGATAGGATTCTCCCCTTGAGACCTGATATGATGTAGTTGCACTTAGTGACTGTGGTAGGTGTTGTCATACCCCCTGTCACCGGAGACACTGTTGTGAATGTTGCAGCTGTAACATAGAGAGAAATTGTCATGTATTGCAGACAGATATGTTGATAGTACCATACATTTGACATGTGATATCTAATGATTCCATCAGTATTAAAGTCTATGCCAAAATGGATTGCATTTTTGGGTCACCAAGTTTACCTGTGCAGGCAGTGACCACTGAAGACCATGTGCCATCATCCCTACAGGTGATTGTTAGAGTTGACCGTCCATTAATGGTGAACCCAGCATCACATGTATAAGTGGCTATATTCCCGGGTCTATATCCGCGCACAACCACTTTACCATTCTTAATTGTCTTCAAAGGTCCTGGACATTGAGCCACTGAAAGATATACAGAAATCAGTCAGGGCTTGCATTAACGGCGTCCCGTACATGTTAAGGACTCAAAAATAATTTGGAGGACGCAAAAATTGAAAATATTTCCGTTTTTTGGACGCAAAATTTTTTTAGGTCAATACTACAATGTGTTTACAACGATACCTAACAAAAACAAATAATTATGATCTCTCACCTTTATTTGAATCGTAAATAAGGCTCAACATGTTGAATATTTACAAATAATCATGATTCTCTCAAATTTTTTCGACTTTGTTTATTTTCAGATTTGAAACCATGACACCCCACAGTTTCTCCTATTCAGAAACAAATATTAGGTTATTCATGAAATAAAAAGTATTCATTGTCGAATGAACGAACATGCATTTATTCAGTCCGTACTTAATGTTTACTTCCGTTTTAAATTCGCGGCAAGAAATCAAAAACTGAAAAATAGAGGACACACTTTTTTTTTCAAAGGACACACTTTTTTTAAGAAAATTGCGTCCTTGGGACTCACAAATTTTCTAACCTAATGCAATCGCTGTCAGTGTAATCAATGGTATCCATTTTTGGAAATTATCAATGTCATGGTTCTCATGACAACTATTTAGGTTTATAAATGAACAACAACCCATTATTTCTATACAATCTTATTTAACTGTTATATAAATGTGAATACAAGATACAACCTGGTATATATTTTTACTTACAAGCACAAATTGGTGGTTCTCCGGTCCACTTGCCATCAGCTCCACATGTACGAACCTTAGATCCTCTAATCACCTCACCAGGGAACTCACAAGTGTATGTAGCCTTATCACCAAATGAGTTTCCTGTTGTTGTGACATCCGTGTCAAAATTGGCATCTGGCTCAGATGGACATTTAACAGCTACAAAAGACAAACATGTGGATTTACAGTTGATGCAATGAAAGATATTGATAGGTGATGATAGATAATCCAAACATTTCATGGATGTTAGGTTGGCATTGCATCAATTTTATATATTAAAAAAGGGCATTTCATTTGACATAAAATTTCTAACATTAGGCATTAAATGACAAAATGTCACCACCACCTAGAAAATTTAATCAATTTGAAGCAAATTGAAAAATACCTTTTAGACCTTTTTTAACCTAAAGACCTTTTAGACCTTTTTTATGTGTAGATGGTTTTGAAGAAAAAAACCTTTTTGATCATTTTTAACTTGAGGTTATTGAGGGTCAAATCTAAAATATAAAATCAGATTTGAATTTCTGAGAAGTTGTAGATGATTTGTAAAAAGATTTGGTCAAATTGAAGTAAGTTGAAAAATACCTTTTTTACCTTGAGAAGGTCATTGAAGGTCAAATCTCAAATCTATAGTCAGATTTGAACTTCTGAGAACTTAGATTTTGAAGATCAATTGAAGATCAAATCTTAAATCAGCTTTGAACTTCTGAAAACTTATAGATAATTTTGAAAAAAAGTTGAATACATAAGCGCAAATGCCAAAGGGAAGGGTGACTAAAAACTTCAAAAAAAAACAACAAGAAAAGCAAACTGCAAGTGCAAATCTGTCATAAGAAAAGCAGACCCCACATATCCCAAAACCATGATCCAACGTGAAAAGAAACAATGTCCAACATCCCCCTCCCCCTCCAATCGATACTCCAATACTCATAACATCAAAAATAGTTGTAGATACTAGTGCTCATAAAAGATAAGAGTATTCAGTCTCAAATGATGTGGGAGAGATAAAATCCAGTCTCCAAATACATAGGCAATTCAAAGGGTCAAAGAAGTCATCACAATCCATAAAACACAATAATTCACAATGGTCACCAGGAGAAAACCACGGCTGGCCCAGCTCCCCACCTCTCAACCACCAATGCCACAGCCGGGATCCACCTCAAAAGGTGCCAAGTGAAAAAACTGCCAATTGCCAATCCACTACACCACTCCCACATCCCCCAGCATCTCAAGTGGCAAAACCCGAAATTTCGAAACGAATGACCCGCACCCTTCAGCAAAGCCCAGAAAAGAAGTCAGTTTAAACAGTATTTGTTATGTTATTGGAAGTTGTAAGAATTTGTTACAGACGCCAACCACCAATCGGTGTCACAAAAAAACGGAGACCATAACAAACTGTCACCACTTTCTGGTGGTGACATAAAAATGTAGTCAAATTGACTGACTTGACATTCAATATATATAACATTACTCTAAGTTTAAATATTCTAGAATCAAATCAATTAGTAAATGGGAGCAATATAACTGAATTGGTCACTTACAAACACAGATAGGTGGCTCTGGTGTCCACTTTCCATTGAAGTCACACGTTCTAGTGTCTGTGCCTGACAGTATGTACCCACTGTTGCACTTATAAATGGCGACATTGCCAAAGCCACTGCCATCAGGGCTAATTGCTCCATTTTGCAGTTGTGGGGGATTAGGGCATGTCACAGCTGAAATGAAACCATGTTTGCGTGATTGCACAAAAAAAAGATTTAGTGTCTGGACTAAATGAAATTTATAATTGGTTAAGCAATTCTTCTAAAGATTAATCAGTGAATGAACTATAATTTATTTTGCATCAACAAAATTAGATATTAGGGAGGTTAAGCTTGCATATAAAATCAAAACAAAAATGCCAAATGTATCAATCATGCAATATACATTGCATGCAATAAACGTCTTCAGTGTTTATGCTTAGATTAGAACAGGATGCAGCATATAAGATACCATTGGTAGTTCTATAGCTGTTTTTGATACAAATTTTAAACAAGACATTGACGATGGACAGGTATTGACGCACATACAAGCTGCTTAAATGTTTCTGATCATGTTTACATTGTGCAAGCTTAACCTCTCTAATACTACATACATACACACCCGATGGGATTAATACACTTGCATTGAGATATCTACAGGTATTTTAAAGTGGAGATATCTGGGTTAAAAATTTAGAATTGAGTTGAAAAAGATTCAAATAATTTATGTTTCAAATCATTCAGACAGATTTAACCAAAATACAGCACAAAAAATATGTAATACTTACGCATGCACTTCGTTTCCTGGTCACTCCACTGGCCAGAGGACTGGCAGATTCTGCTAGAAGGTCCACTGAGGGTGAAACCAGATTTACAGGAGAATGTCAGCCTTGAGCCAGGTCCAAATTTACTGCCCATTCTAAGCCCATTAACTGGATCACCTGGGTCACCACAGCCAATACTGGGAGATACCCCTAAAAATAATAACTTGTTTTGCACAAAAAAGTACTGAATTATGTTAAGATGAACTCAGATGGCATCCATTAGATGTCTGAGAACTGAACAAATATTTTAGTGATGATGACGTAAGTAAAAGCAATACCTGATGACAAAAGTAAAAGCAATACCTTAGTTAATGAATTATACAACAGTATACATTAGTAAATACAATGTTTAAAAATGAATTAGAGAAGTAAATGCAATACTTCAGTGGTGATATTACCCGACTTGATAAAAGAATATTAAAAATTTTACAGAAGGAAAGGTAATGATTGACACAAGTAAAATATCTTAGCAATATAAATTATACAACAGTACAAAACCCCTCAACCTTTTCTGATGACAATACATAACTTTCCTCCATATATTATAGCTGTGATCCGTGCTGACGCCGTCAGATGTCTCTATACTACTGCACTATTTAACTTTGCTCTGTTGTATATTATCATCATCAACTAAAGTATTATTTTATGTAATACCTTATGCATGGCAATTTGAGATGAATACATGAATTGATTAATTAAAGTGAACTAATAAAAAGAAAGAAATAAGAAAAACTGTAGAACTGATTTGTAAAACATTTGTACAAGCCAAATAAAATCTGATGATGATTTTACTCACCATTACAAACAGGAGCAATCCCACTCCAACTGAGGTCTTTCTGGCAAGTCCTTATGTTTGTGCCCAGTAAGGTGCCAGAGTTACACCTATATGTGACAGTGCCTCCAATTGCCTTGCTCTGTATTGTTGCTGTAGCTCCTGCAGGAGTAGGGGGATCTCCACATGAGGATGCTGTAGAACACATGGGTTTTCAATATAGAGTACTGTGTATGTTTATATTACCATTTCAAAGCAATTGCAAACTATTACTGAGTGAATAGAATATTCTATAGAGTTTGTGGATTGGATTTATATGAGGGTTGTGAAGAAATATTGAACTAATAAGGTTTTGTTGATATTTCTGAAACAATTGATAAACTAGATCTTGTTATTGCCAAAAATATGGGAAAACAAAATTAATACACATTAAAGTATAGCACATTTTAAAGGCCCGCTACTAAAAAAATAATGAAAGTTAAAGCAAATATTTATTGATTTGATTGGCACTTCAATTGGTAATAAGCAGGGGTGTACTTTATCCAGCACTATTTTGAGTTATATAAAAAGAGGTCACTTACCAACACATCTGTCCAGGGTGCCCCTCCAGATGGAATCTCTACATTGAAGGGTGGTCTCTACCTCTCCATTTTGAAACATAAATGAAGTCTTACAAGCATACCTTGCTATGTAACCATTTGGGTAGGCATCAGCTTTATTAAGAAGTAAACCATTTCCTAAAGTCTGGAGACCATCAGACGGACACCCAACAGCTGCAAAATAAGATGAAATATAAAATAAATCAGGTAAATAAAAATTATAGAAATTATTTTGATTTTAACTGCACAGACATTCATACATAGGTTAAGGTAGGTAATCCATGATTCACAGATAGGTTAATGATGAAAAATTAGTAATACAGTCAATAAAGATAAAAAGATAAGATGATCAAACCTACTTTCATATTTGATCCAGAATCCTTTCTCAATGATAAATGGATCATAGATGGTGCTGAACAGCAGGGAAACCTTGTTGGTTAGACTGGTCACTGGTGATATTGATCTTTGACCACAGTATCTTACAGAGCTAGAGGATCTATTGTTTATTCCTATAAAAATAAGATGGAGAAACTATTATAAAATGAAAAGCTGAGCAACAGAATATTCAAACAATTTGTGGAGCAATTTTGCATTCCAGCTCGTCATTCAAAATGTTCTGCCTTTTTTAAGTTTAAATAATGATACATTACAATCCAGTGAGAATGTCACAGGAAAAATATGAAGGCCATGACAATAATATGTTGACAAAACTGATCCACTTTTATGAAAATACTGAAAACACAGAGAAAGACAATGAACAAAACTAAGTGCTTGTATTGTTGTTGGATAGGTAACTAACTTGTTAATATAGAATCAACTTTGATGTGTGATGTTTAGCTTTGTTGTTTGTTTAGTTGCTGATGGGGCAATATGTGATTGATGTCATAGTTTTATGTGATACATCAAATCTTCGAACCACAATCACATCATATGACGTCGTGACAGTTGCCTTGATGATTTGCCATATAAGGAAATAACGGTGGACTTTTGGTCACGTCAATGGTCAAATCCCGTTCCATATAACGAATGCCCACTTCGTGGGGGCCTTCATAAAAACTTAAGATACCAAGACACATTTTTGTGTGAACAAACATTTCTTCATTATGTCTCGTACATTTACCTGTTATAGTGAGATGGTCATCTTCACAGTTGTCTGACAAATCTACTGCAAACTCGAGGAATGTTAGTTTGATTTGTTGGCCAGGTTTGACTGTTATAATCCAAGTACACTCTTCTAGCTTGTTGTAAGGATGGTACGGATAATTAGGACTTAGGATCTCCCCTTGAGGCTCTCGCAAGTCACCTCCACAATTAGGGAGCGCTGAAATACATTTATCAAGTACTATAGTTTATTTATTCTTAGGACTATGATATAGATACAATTTTTTATTATTATTATTATTAATGTTTTTATTATTCTTAAATCATAGTAATTTACAAAGTACAAGTAAGCAAGACCAATCGCCATTTGGCATTACAGGTCGCTTTAACATAAATATAGTTTAGAAGCAAGTAATAATAAAACAAAAAAAGTGCATAAAACTATTGAAAAGTTTTGTTGTTAATTGCTTAGTTGCTTAGTTGTTGGGGATATTTTGGTCCAGGAGGTTTGGGCAAGTTTTAGATTCTCAATGGGTAAATGTAACATGATCTAACAAAGTTGAGCACAATGTTAAGAAGTAAGTTTTGTGAATCACGGCTAAGGGTATTTTCATAGAGGAGATATTTGACTTGATCATTTCGGTTGGTGTAGATGTTCTCATCATAGAGAAGGTTGTTTTGTCTAAGTGCAGTAATCATGTTTGTCCTATCATCAGTATGGCGGGGGCAAGAAAGGAGAAAGTGCTTAGTATTTTCAGGGGATCCACATGGACACTTGTTTTCGGTTACACCAATAAAATTATGAGAGAAAAAGTGTTCTTTTAAAAAGAAATCGACACGAAGTCTGTTTAAAATCTTCTCATTTGACCTTGTTAAGTTTAGCTTGGTTGTTGGAATGAAATTTATGTTTGGGAGAATTGTTGACCGAACAGCATTTTTAAAACTAGAGATGGTTGGTAATTCTCTTATAAGTTGGCTAAGGTTGTTCCATTGTTTTATAATATTTAAGACAGGGGCTTTAAGGAGTCTGATAGAAACATTAGTTGGAATATTGTAAGGCATAGAATGTCTCAGTAGTCTGGTGGCTGGGTTTTTATATTTGTCAAATATGTCGCATATATATTGTGCTACATTTCTTTTGTTTATTTTGAACATTATCCGAACATTTTTTTCATTTCTCCTTTGACTAAGGGTTTTCCAGTTAAGGCATTGAAAAACTTTGGAGGTATCTGAGCCATGAAGAACACCTGCACATATTACACCTGCTTGATAGTGCAATTTGTCAAGTTTTGCTAATAGGGCTAATGAGGCAGACCCATACAAGGCACTGCAGTAGTCAAAATTTGATGCTACATAGGAGCTATACATTGTTTCAAGGTGTTTGGATCTTACACTATTTGACAGATACTTGAGTGGATTAAGGAGTTTTTGAACTTTCCGTGAAAGATAGTTAATATGGTCTTCATAAGTCAAATTTTCATCAAGGATAAATCCAAGATGTTTGTGTGAAGTTTTACATGGAATGACTTCTCCGTCAAAATAAAGTGGCGTTTTTTGGAAGTTTTTGATCCGGTTTGAGTGGAATATGACTTGGGCACTTTTGGAAGGTTTGAATTTAAGGAACCATTTCTTTGACCACAGATTAATTTTATTAAGATCATTTTGAATCTGATCTGTTTGAGCATTTGATGGATGAAAAAATGAATATAGAGATGTATCATCAGCATATATGTATGCTTCAGAGTCTAAGTTGTCTGGGAGGTCATTTATATAGATGAGGAACATGAGGGGGCCTATTACTGAGCCTTGAGGAACACCAGAGTTTATGAAGTTGTTGTCTGAGAATTTAGAATGTTGGTCATTGATTGATACACAAACTTTTCTATTCCTCAGGTAAGAATCACAAAGATCAATTGTTTTGCCGTTAATTCCATAAGATTTCATTTTGTGTATTAAGAGCGAATGCGGGACGGTATCAAACGCAGCCGAAATGTCGAGATATACCGAGTTAATACAGTTTCCTTGTTCCATTTGATGATAAATATAGTCAGTTATTGCTAAAAGTTGAAGTTCTGTGTTGTGGCCTGGGAGAAAACCTGACTGAAACTTGTATAAGAGGTCATTATCCATAAGGTGTTTCATGATTCTAGCATGGAGTACCTTTTCAAAAATTTTGGAGAAAGTGCTTAATAATGTTATCGGCCTATAGTTTTCAACGAATGACCGGTCAGATTTCTTATGAATTGGAGAAATATTTCCCAACTTCCAACAGTCAGGAAATTCTGACTTTTGGAAAATAAAGTTAAAAAGCGAAGAAAGTTGGATTGATAGAGTGGCTGAGGCAATTTTCACCATTCTGTTATTTATTCCATCAAGACCGCATGCTTTGTCACGTTCAAGAGACTGTATGATTTTATTTATTTCATCAGGTGTTGTCGTAATATTGTCAATTTCTTGATTGCACCTTTTTGGAAAATTAGGAAAGACCATATCCCCATGAAGCTCATCATGGTGATATTTGCCAGAGAAAAGGTTCATGAAAAGGTTGGCTTTTTCAGTGTCAGATGTAGCAATAGAACATGAAGTTTCACTTCTGAGACAAGGGAGACAGTCATTGAATTTTTTGGAGAGAAATGAGTTTACAATATTCCAATATTGCTTGCCCTTACATGTGGACTCATTAAGTTGTTGGACTAATTTGTCCTCATGAGTTAATTTAGCTTCTTTAATAAGAGTCTTTACATGCTCTGCTTGATTGGCATAATTTTCAAAATGAACAGGATCATCATTTGATTTTGACTTACGAAAAAGTTTTTCTTTTTTTCTGATCTCAAGTTTGATTTTTTTGTTAATCCATGGCTGGTCATTTGCCTTGGTTATGTAAGTTTTCTGCGGAATGTTATTGGAAAAAATGTCAAAAACATCGCGAGTAAAGTTTTCAGTAGTTAAGTTCACATTTTCATTGTTATTTATGAAAATGTCGGTCAAATCGATATCGCTGATATTTGAGTTTATTTTATCTACATCTCCAAGATCATAATTCCATATTGTTTTTCTAGTCACATGTTTTTTGTCTAGTTTAAGTGGAAGAGTGGTCAAAATTGTTGAATGATCAGTGTTTCCGATAGGATCAATGACTGATATTTCTTTAACCAGAAATGCTTTGTCTGTTATTGAAAGATCTATGCAAGTTCTTGAATTTCTAGTGATTCTAGTAGGTTCCTTGACTAATTGGAAAAGGTTAAGTTCTGTAAGTATGGTATCTAATTTTGCTCCTTTTGAATCAGTTGTTCCTTCATTCCACCACTTTTTATTTTTGCAATTAAAATCTCCATTTATGATCAAATAGTCACATTTAAATTTGGAGGCAAGTTTTAAGTTCTCTTTAAACTCTTCAAAATAAGCCGCTTCTTGGATTGCATTCATGCTAGGGGAGCGATAATGCACCCCATATAAAACAGATGTGTTTTTTAATTTAACATTTACCCACAGGCTATTTTCTGTGTTAAATTCAGGCTTTGGAATACATATGAGATCACTTTTTACATAGATCATAAGGCCTCTGCCCCCTGGATGATACATGGGGGTATGGTAATCTGGAATTGTATATTTGTCTGAGATAGTTTTTGAATTTAAATTACCAGCCTCACAAAGACCAGCTACAGAGATGTTTCTATCCCTTATTTTTAATTTGAGAGATTCAAACCTGGTGCCTTCATTACTTCCAATGCTATTGATGTTGGAGAAAAGGAATTTCATGTCGCTTTACAATTACAACAAGATACAATTTTGAGTACTTTTATAATGAAATCAGACTTTCAGTGGTTTCGTTTCTTTATTTTGAGATGAAATTGGCATGTCATGTTTGGCATCATTTTAAAATTGTTATTCAAGTGCTAATAATTCTTACCTTTGAAGAGTATTGAGAATCCTTTAGCTGAAGCTGATGTTGCCGTACTGACCAACTCCACACATATACCTTCAGTGTCAGTGGGATAGATATACTCTGGTACTTTCTTAAATGATCCTTGGTACGTTTTAAGTAAATCATCAAATATGAATCCCTCTTTATCACAATCAATGTTATCATACACATTTACTTTATCACCAGGGTTAAGCTCCATCTCTTCAATTGTGAGCTTAAACCTCTGATCATCAGAAGCTATGATCTTCCATTGGCAGGTTTTCTTGCCAGGGTATGGGTTGGGGTAGTTCTCAGACCTGATGTAGCCATTGTCCACTTTAGTGTTGATGCCACAAGAGCCAAGGATTGAGGGAGTGGTTATTGGGGTTGCTGTTGTTGGAGCTGTTACAGCTGAAATTTGTAGAGATAACATATCAGAGATTGTTTAGTTCATTATTTGTAATGTTTTCAAAGATGATACCTAAAGCACATTTCATTCAGTATTTGCATACGTCCAGTGAGTAAACATTATGTACAACGCAATATAATAGTTGACCATGTCAAAATCTCAAAATATTTTCAGAATATCATTCTTAACATCTTAGCAGAGAAATACAGACAATTTACAACTATATTTCAATAATTCAACAAAATACATATTTATTGTTTTGGAGTATCTACAAATTTCCCAATTTTAACAACATATTTTTTTAGGTATACGGGGATTATTAGAATGAAGTGAATGATTTAACTTACAAGTACAAGCAGTTATCTTGGTATCCCAAGTTCCCCCAATCTCACAGGTAAGCACCAGAGTTGGTTTGCCATTGATGTTGAAGCCACTGTCACATGTAATAGTCGCAGTCTGGAATGGGTTGTAGCCTTCAACTTTGATCTTACCATTTGGGATGTTCTTCAATGGACCTGGACACTTTGCCGCTGAATAAAAATAGTTCAGTTTCTTTTGATACAGGGTGTTCATGAAATAAAGATAACAATGTCACAACTTTTTTATTTGTTCATGGATTTCAATGAAATTTGCGGGATCATAGTTTTAACATATTTAGTTTTACTATTGTAGTTTCAGCTACAAGCGACACTGTGAAAAAAGCCAAATATAGTTTGTACTATAGCAAACTATTTTTTAGAATAACCCCCATATAGTTTGAATTTCACCTGAAATATGGGCGAGAATAGTTTCTCCCATATTCCTAAAAACGGAACACTTTCATATAAGTCCTGATATACTCTCCGATACGCCCATATAAACTAAAATAAGTTGCATATATCATTGCAGAGTGTATATCTTTACTGAACTATTTTCCACTTATACGCCTCAAAATAGGAATCAAACCTACTATATGCGGTTTAAAACAACTTATATTAAATAAAAACAGACTATATCAAACTATACTTGACTTATTCTCCTCTTATTCTACCTCAAAACAAACTATACGTGTCTTATACGCGATATTACGTAATAGCTTCAGTTCCCGAGTTTGTTGTTTTAACAGATTAAAAGCAAAGTCCAGCATTGAATGTATTTTGTTTTCAATGCTAATTAATTCGCTTGTTCAGATTAATCTGGTCATTTCTATAACTGAGGGTTCTAATTTCCATCAAAAAGTCATTTATAAATTAAGCTTTTTACTTTTACTAAATTGGACAATGACAGTCGAATTATAATTAACAGCGTGTTAAATTTTGGATTCATTTCATTAAGTCTGTGGAAAGTTACATTTTTCAATTCACTTGGTATTGAAGTAAAAATAATATAGAATAAAATGTTTAATATAGTTGCAATAAGAGAGAATCGTAGAGAATATCTTTCCTGTATGGTAGGCAGTTATTTCCTGTATTATAGCGGAATAAGATATAATAACTATTTTTAAAAATTAATTTTTCTTTAATAATATTATTTGTGTATTATTTGAAGGGAACAACATATAATGCCATATAATATAGAATAATATTCTAATCAGGAGCAAATAATATGTTGGCATTTGCAATCAAAACCGGATTATATGCGTTTATTTTTGAGCCGTTAATCCCTAAGTATTCCATTCCTATGAAATGAGTTTCATGCACACTAATTAATCCTTTTGTTAGGATTAATTTCTACAGATGATGGTTCTTATTCTCAAAAAATTATTTGCAAATTAAGTTTTTACATATGTATTTGATTGTATAATGTCCCTCGAGTTATGATTAAGATTGTGTTAAATTTGGGATTCAATCGATCAATCCATTGGAAAGTTAATTTTTTATTCTTAATTAATGAGTTTTCCTCACATTTTTACTCTATTGTTTCTTTGTCACATCAGGTTTACAACAAACAACAATAAATCCCCCTCTTACACAGGTACGAACAATCACCTGTACTTTTCACTTTGCCAACCAAAAACAGTCATGACACAGAACTGCTCAATATTCAATTAATATATTACGCATTTTATACAAGCCCATACCTAAGGACCCCCTTCCCCTGGCCAACAATTCTTTAAAGAAATGCAGTTTTCACCATTCACATACATGTATTGACATGTCAGAGCAATGTAATTAGTAAAACTTTAATCCATAAGTATATCAATTTTTATGAATTGGGTTTTGTTCACCCTGATAAATAATCTGTTTGTTAGAGTTAATGGATTAATTTCTACAGCCTATGGCTCTTATTTCCACAAAAAATACAAAGTAAGTTTTTCATATTTATTTGATTGTATAGTGTACTTCTTGCTATGATTAATATTGTGTTAAAATTTGGATTCAATCGATTAACTCATTGGGAAGTAATTTCTTGATTTTTAATTATGGGGTTTCCTCACAATTTAACTCCATTGTTTCTCTGTAACATTAAGTTTAATACAACAAACAACATTTAAAGCCCTCTCTTACACAGACACAAACAAACACCACTATTCACTTCGCAAACCACACAAAAAGTTTATAACGCAAAATTGCAAAAATATTCAGCTCAATACATTACGCATTTGATACAGGTCATGGGGCGGGGGGGGGGGGGGGGGGGGGGGGGGTCGTTGGGGTCATGTGAATCCCCCACCCCCTTGCCAAGATTCTTTCAAAATCATACAGTTTTCACCAATCTGAGCACTGTCAAGTGATTTTTGGCCAACACTATCAATTTTGACCCCCTTGGTACGTTGTTTTGAAAATTGACCCCCTGAGCTCAAACTTATTACGAGCCTGTAATATACCAGAAATATTGCTCAGATTTCATCTGACAAATCACTTATAATAAATTAGGAAATAACATGCATTATGTAAATGATACAAGTAGTATTAAGCCATATTAAACAAAGTTAAAACTTGTATTCTTTCACATTTCACAATTCATGTGTTTTCTGTTATCCATATGATATCTGAGACAAACACTCGTGATAAACAACAGAGATTAGCCCGTGCAATACAATTGTTTCTATTAGAATTGGACGATTTCTGTTTATAACAGCTGGTTTTATTAATCATTCTTTGTTTTCCGTTTCAATATATACATATACAAAAGGTGCAAGATTCGGTATGTTTAATTGATAATGTAATAATGCAAATAAAGAAACGGGCGCATTTCACATTTATTGCAAATGTTTCATCTGACAAATTGATGATTATGTTTTGAGTAAATTGGTGCATGGAAGAACAAACTGATGCAAATAACATACAGTATGGACATACAGCTATGTCAGAGCAATATGATAAGTAAGACTTTAATCCCTAATTATTCAATTTCTATAAAATGAGTTTCGTTAACACTGATAACTCATCTGTTATTAATTTCCTACAGCCAACGATTCTAAGTTCCACAAAAAATAATTTGCAAATTAAGTTTTTTATATTTATTTGATTGTATATTATCCCGGGGATAATATACAATCAAATAAATATAAAAAACTTAATTTGCAAATTATTTTTTGACCCCTATGTTATGATTAACATTGTGTTAAAATTTGGATTCAATCGATCAATTCATTGGAAAAATAATTTTTTAATTCTTAATTAATAAGTTTTCCTCACATGTTTACTCTATTGTTTCTCTGTCACACCAAGGTTACAATAAAAGACATTTAAATCCCCCTCTTATATTACACAGGCACAACCACCTGTATTCACTTTGTCAGCCACACAGAAATGCTCAATATTCAACTAAATACACATTATGCATTTTATACAGGCCCGCACCTAGCGACCCATCCCCTTGGCCAACAATTCTTTCAAGATCATGCAGTTTTTCACCATCTCGTACATGTATTGACATGTCAGAGCAATATAAATAAATCTTTAATCCCCAAGTATTTAATTTCTTATGACATGAGTTTTGTTCACTGATAACTAATCCGTTTGTTATGAGTTAAAGGATTAATATCTACAGCCGATGGTTCCACAGAAAAATAATTTGCAAATTAAGTTTTTCTAATTTATTTGATTCTTTAGTGTCCCTCTTGCTATGATTAATATTGTGTTAAAATTTGGAATTAATCGATTCACTCATTCAAAAGTTAATTTTTTAAGTTTTAATAAATGACTTTTCTTCACCTTTAATCCACAGTTATTACCCAAATGTTGAAAGAAACAGTGAAAGGTTAAACTAGGCTCATGAGTATGTTTCAATTTGAGACATAGTATGTGATGTGCTCCAGGTACATCAGTATATTAAAAAGTTCAATTTGGCGCATTAGTATAGTTCAATTTGGCGCATTATTTATGATGTTCAAAGTACATCCTTACAGTGAAAGATTAAACTTGGCTCATGAGTATGTTTCAATTTGGGGCATAGTATGTCCTGTGCTCCAAGTACATCAGTATTTTAAAAAGTTCAATTTGGCGCATTAGTATATATCAATTTGGCGCGCTATTTATTATGTTCAAAGTTCATCCTTGTATTGAAAGGTTAAACTTGGCTTATGAGTAGGTTTCAATTTGGGAATAGTCTGTGACATGCTCTAAGTTCATCAGTATATTGAAAAGTTCAATTTGGCGCATTGGTATAGTTCAATTTGGCGCGTTATTTATGATGTTCAAAATACATCATTATATTGAAAGGTTAAACTTGGCTCATGAGTATGTTTCAATTTGGGACATAGTATGCTATATGCTCTAAGTTCGTCAGTTTATTAAAAAGTTCAATTTGACGCATTATTCATGATGTTCCACAAAGTACATCCTTACATTGAAAGGTTAAACTTGGCTCATGAGTATGTTTCAATGGGACATAGTATGTGATGTGCTCCAAGTTCATCAGTATATTAAAAAGTTCAATTTGGCGCATTACCATAGTTCATTATGATGTTCAAAGTACATCCTTACATTGAAAGGTTAAACTTGGCTCATGAGTATGTTTCAATGGGACATAGTATGTGATGTGCTCCAAGTTCATCAATATATTAAAAAGTTCAATTTGGCGCATTATCATAGTTCAATTTGGCGCGTCATTTATGATGTTCAAAGTACATCCTTACATTGCAAGGTTAAACTTGGCTCATGAGTATGTTTCAATTTGGGACATAGTATATGATGTGCTGTAAGTTCATCAGTATATTAAAAAGTTCAATTTGGCGCATTAGTATAGTTCAATTTGGCGCATTATTTATGATGTTCAAAGTACATCCTTACATTGAAAGGTTAAACTTGGCTCATGAGTATGTTTCAATTTGGGACATAGTATGTGATGTGCTCCAAGTACATCAGTATATTAAAAGTTCAATTTGGCGCATTAGTATAGTTCAATTTGGCGCATTATTTATAATGTTCAAAGTACATCCTTACAATAGAAGGTTAAACTTGGCTCATGAGTATGTTTCAATTTGGGATATAGTATGTGATGTGCTTCAAGTACCTTAGTATATTGAAAAGTTCAATTTGGCGCATTAGTATTGTTCAGTTTGGCGCATTATTTATAATGTTCAAAGTACATCCTTACATTGAAAGGTTAAACTTGGCTCATGAGTATGTTTCAATTTGGGACATAGTATGTGAAGTGCTCTGACTTCATCAATATATTAATAAAAAGCTCAATTTGGCGCATTAGTGTAGTTCAATTTGGCGCATTATTTATGATGTTCAAAGTAAATCCTCACATTGAAAGGTTGAACTTGGCTCATGAGAGTATGTTTCAATTTTGGACATAGTATGTGATGTGCTCCAAGTACATCAGTATTTTAAAAAGTTCAATTTGTCGCATTAGTATTTATCAATTTGGCGCATTTTTTATGATGTTCAAAGTCCATCCTTACATTGAACGGTTAAACTTGGCTCATGAGTATGTTCCAATTTGGGACTCAGCATATGATGTGCTCTCAGTTCAATAGTATATTCAAAAGTTCAATTTGGCGTGTTAGCATAGTTCAATTTGGCGCATTATGAACATCATAAATAATGCGCCAAATTGAACTATACTAATGCGCCAAATTGAACCTTTTAATATACTGATGAACCTACAGCACATCACATACTATGTCTCAAATTGAAACATACTCAGGAGCCAAGTTTAACCTTTTTAACCATTTTATTCATGATATTGTAAAATATTATAACTACTGTATGCTATGTAATTGACAAATATATTGAAATATATGCATATTTTATACTTAAACTTTGTGTTTTGTTCTGTATCGTTTTGTGAACACTTGTTGATAAGGTTGATCCGTACTATTATATATGTTATAGATTGTACATGTAACCTAATGATTTGCATACAAAAATAAGTTTTTGTTCAGCGCAATCCCTCATCCTTCATAATATTTAATCCCGGGGATTTTATACCGATTCCTTATTGTATTTCATACATTTGAATATTGTTTTCTTTTTTAAAATTTAAAATGCATCATCATCATCAACTTCTGCCACATAATTATACAACAATTAATTTTCCTCCAGATGGCTTCACTCTAAACCTCCGAACCCCCTCCCTGACTAGGGGTCTAATTTGTCATAGGAAAGTCAGGATTGTCTCAATTTAAAACTGACAAAGAACAAAGATATCACGATACGCTTTACCTCATTTTAATTTAAATACACCGAAATTGCTGCTGATTTTTGGTAAGACTAAAAACAAACTTCAAATTAATACGCGCTTATTTTACTCAAAATGGAGAATAAATAATTTACCGATTTATATTTGAAATATACCCAAATTTTTTATTCCACTTTTTGTATTGACTTACATTTTTAAAATTCATTTAAAGTTCATCTAAAATCATATACTTCAACATCATAAAATTTTAAATGAGATCTCAGACATTAAGTTTGATTAAGCTTTCTCAAGTGAAATGCATGATTTTATTTGTTTACATTAGCGCTTAATTGAAAAATAAAATAGGATTAACTCCAAGCAAATTAAGGCACATCAAAGAATATATAGCCTCGCGTATAAGAGGCGTATAGTTTGTTTTTGGATTACGTAATACATACTATACTCATCTTTTCTATGTACTTATATCCTACTATTCCTGGCTCTTAAGAATAATCGGAGAATAGTTCAAACGATATTTAGTATCGTAGAGTATATACCACCAATACTAAATGTTCCGATTCTGAGGCAAGAATAGTTTGTTTCCCATACCGAATACAATATAGTGAGGACATACTGAACTATATTCACAAATAGTTTGCCACTTATACGCTACCATATTTGGCTTTTTGCACAGTGCGATTTGATTGGTTGATTCTGTTGTTGTCACAGCAAAGTGAGTAGCGCAAAGGCGGGGCAGGTGGAGTAACTGCACTTATTTTTGCATGTTTCAATTATTTTAAAAAGAGATTGTATCATGTTTATTACTCAAACTGGACACTGAAACATCTTTATAACTATGAGCTCGAAATACTTTGCCAATTAATCAATTCATTCTACATAATTTCATCAATTTTGAACAAATAATCTGTGCCTCCTGACCCATTTTTCAAATATTCTACTGAATCCATCCTGACTCATTTCCAAGTTTCTTGAACATGGCAGTCGCTCACTATTCAATTCTACTTTGCGAAGGCACCATTTTGAAATTTGAAATAAAATGGACTGTGACTGATTGGTATTAACCAATGTCAAACAGAAAAAAATCCTGGAAAATCCCATTGAATATCATCAAATCTCACAACCACCTAGAAAAATCTTTTTGACCATTTTTACCAGGCCAAATCTAAAGTCAGATTTGAATTTCTGAGAACTTGTGGATGATTTTGAGAGAAAAGTAAGCCAATTTCAAGCAAGTTGAAAAAATACCTTTTTGACCTGTTTTGACCTTGAGAAGGTCATTGAAGGTCAAATCTATAGTCAGAGTTGAACTTCTGAGAACTTGTAGATGATTTTGAAAAAAATTAACAATGATGCTTTATACAACAAATTTGGTCAATTTAAAGCAAGTTGAAAAAATAACTTTTTGACCTTTCTTGACCTTGAGAGGGTCATTGAAGGTCAAATCTATAGACAGATTGGAACTTCTGAGAACTCGTAGATGATTTGAAGAAAAGATTAGGACAAATTGAAAAAATACCTTTTTGATCCTTTTTTAACCTTTTTGACCTTCTGAAGGTCATTGAAGGTCAAATCTTAAATCAGCTATGAACTTCTGAAAACTTATAGATGATTTTGAAAAGAAATTGAAGTCAGTCTAAACAGTATTTGATATTCTTAAACATGTTCTTCAGGTTGGATAATCAAATCACAAAAACTTCTTTTTTAGGTTGTGAAAAGAAAAAATTTTTTTTGAAGTATTTGATATGTTATTGGAAGTTGTACGAATTTGTTACAGACGACACCTGCCAATCTTAAACCTTTTTTGACCTTGAAAAGGTCAATGAAGGTCAAATCTTAAATCTAAAGTCAGATTTGAACTTCTGAAAACTTGTAGTGATTTTGAAAAAATTGAAGTCAGTCTAAACAGTATTTGATAAGTTATTCCAAGTTAAGAATTTGATACAGACGCAAACCATCAACCGCTGTCACAAAAAATGAAGACCATAACAATATGTCACCACTTTTTGGTGGTGGCATAACAATAGAAGAATGTTGTTACTGAGATGCACCAGTAAAGCTGCAATAATGGGAGTCAAAATATGTTAACCATGCCAAATATTACACTTGCCACTTGCACCGCCTAGCATTACTCATGTTTCTGTGACAAACACAGAATTGACCAAGTCCAATTGATCCAAGTTGTGTCTCTTTGTGCTATTTTATACAGCATGGGCTAGAATGTTGTTGGCTATTTTAGTTGCATTCAATCTTATAGAGAATGTATACTCATGCATAATTCCAATGCAATGAACCTACCTCTACATATAGGTGGCGCACCAGACCACTTGCCATCAGCCCCACATGTGCGGACCTTAGAGCCACTAATGGCTTCACCTGGGAATGCACATGTGTAGGTAGCTGTGTCGCCATACTGAGTTCCAGTAGTTGTCACATCAGTATCAAAATTGGCATCTGGCTCAGGACATTTTACTCCTAATAAAATAAGAGATAACATCATTAACAATTTCCCTTGCAAAGAAGGATAAAAACTATTATAACAGATTTGGGTTTATTACAGTAACAATGACATGCAGTGTAATACTTTTTCTGGATTGACTAGAAACCACTATTCAGATAGAACTTTGGATTTTAGAATTAGCATGATATATCTAATTTAGCATATGATACACACACAGGGCATATTATCATATGTTGGATTATATGTTTGGAAGCTACATTAAGTAGAAGATTCAGGTTGATACATACTGACACACAGAGGGCATATATATGCTCGTTTGTAGGATTATATGCTTGGAAACTACATTAAGTAGAAGATTCAGGTTGATACATACTGACACACACAGGAGCCTCAGGAGTCCAGTTGCCTTTGAAATCACATGACCTGGTCTCACTGCCAGTGAGTGTGTAGCCGAGATTACATCTGTAGGTGGCAACATTACCAAATCTATTGCCATCTATGGTCACTGAGCCTCCATCAATTTTTGGAGGCTGGGGGCATTGTGCCGCTAAAATAATGTTTTAAAATCAATGAAGAACTATTCAAGATGTACGTACAGCTTATCATATTCACAATTAGTTGGCTAAAGTATTGACATAAACAAGAAGTCCTATAGTTCAAGATCCATTTGGACCTCAATCATGCAATATATTAAAAATTATGAAGTTCACAAGTAAAGTGGATTGGAGTTTTTACTTATTACGGTCTGATGGCATTATCTACTTACGCAAACACTTAGTTTCCTGGCCACTCCATTTACCAGGAGACTGGCAGATTCTGCTGGATTGCCCACTGAGGGTGAAACCATCATTGCAGACAAAGTTAATTGTTGCTCCTAATTTAAAGTTATTGCCAAGTTTCTCTCCATTGACAGGGTCTCCAGGGTTACCACAGCCAGCACTAGCAGGCACTCCTGGTGGAAATCAAATGTTCACTCAAATTAACATGTTGGCATAGATATTGATATATCTTTTATTTAAAACCCCATCCAATGTGGCAAAATTTACCAAAAAATATAGTATATTGATTAACATTAATTGTACTAAATCGTAAAATAATTTATAGCAAAATGGGATCTTTTTGACAAGCTTAAACAAGGCATTGACATGACAAAATGTCACCACCTAGTTGCTCACAATATTGTAAGTTCAATCTCAATTCAGATTTGAATTTCTGAGAACTTGTACAGTAGATGATTTTGAAAAAAGGTCAATTTGAAGCAAGTTCAAAAACAACCTTTTTTCCCTTTTTGACTCTTTTCTGACCTTACAAAGGTCACTGAAGGTCAAAATCTAAGTACAAAGTCAGATTTGAACTTCTGAAAACTTGTAAATGATTTTGAAAAAATGAAGTCAGTCTAAACAGTATTTGTTAAGTAATTGAAAGTTGTAAGAATTTGATACAGATGCCAACCCCTGATCGCCAACCGCCGATCGCTGTCACAAAAAAACAAAGACCATAAAAACACTGTTTGGTGCCGATATAAAAATATATATATAAATTATTGTGACTCATTATTTACCATTGCATACAGGAGCAACTCCACTCCAGCTGAGGTCTTTCTGGCAAGTCCTTATGTTTGTGCCAAGTAAGGTGCCAGAGTTGCACTTGTATGTGACAGTACCTCCAACTTTCTTGCTCTGTATGGTTGCTATGGCTCCTGGGGGACTAGATGGTTCTCCACATGCGGACACTAGCAAAGAGAAATAAAAAAATGATTTCAAATAAAAGCAGTGAATTTAATTTATTCTCAGGGAAGAGATGAAGAAAACATGATTTTAACAAAAGTGTACGATAGCATTTATATAGTATTAGTCCAATCAATGAATAATCTATCCCATCTGAGGACAACAAATAAGTCCAACTATTCTTGGTTCTAGAATCCTAATAGTCTAAGAAAAAGTGTGACTCCAGTGTTTCTCATTTCTTTAACTGAATCATTCTAAGAGCAACAATGTGATTCAATCTTAAACCAATAGTTTAGTTGCATTCCAAGAGTTGCAATATTCTAAGATCTTAATTCGCTTATTCCAAGTTCCTCATTCCATTGTATTATTGAAAAATGTATTCATAACATCGTTCACTACACAGATCATTGTTATTGTTACTTACCCTCGCATTCTTCCAAAGATCCACGCCATTTCATGGTGACTCTATCACAGAGCACAATGTTTTCCATTGCTCCATCAGAGAATTTGTAACCTGCAGAGCAGACAAACCTGGCTACAAAGCCACTTGGGTAGGCAGCTGCTTTGTTCACTTGTTTGCCATTGACAAGAGTAGGAAGTCCAGCAGAAGGACAACCAGTAGCTGAAAAACAATAAGTAAATTGTTGCAGAAGAAGAAGTTCAATAGCCACAATTCAGATCAGAGAAAGTAGTTATTCAAACCCAACTAAGGTAGTAACACAATAGAATAAACTGTTTCATCTTAAAGAATATCCAGCTGTAACAAAGAGGAGAGCATTATTTTTCTATTTCTAAAGAATGTACATTTGGCATAAAGCTATCCAAAACCAGTATTGCACAAAAAACGATTGACTGTCACATGCAGTGCACCAAAGCTGAACAAATTACACCCCCTCACTTCTTAATACACTTCATCTCATAGTAAATACAAATACAGTGTGTGGTTTAAGTTTGACAAACCATTCATATTGGGTCTTGGGAGAATAAATAGCATTGGACCAAGGCCCTCTGCAATTATTCCTCCTAAAACCCAATACTCATGCTTTATCCCCTAACCGAATTGAACAAAATTAAGACATAAAGGGTGTGCGTGAAATCTTAGAGGAATTTTAGAGACCTTATGGACACCCTGTATATCAGTAAAACTGTGTCCCATATTGAGCCACTCTTACCACCTGGTTCTCTTTGTATTAGAAATGCCTATGTTAATTTATACAATAACATGATAAATACAAATACAAACCTTCATATTTGATCCAGAACCCTTTCTCAAATGAGAATGGATCATAGACTGTAGTGAAGAGCAGGGTGACCTTGTTGCTAAGGCTTGTCACTGGAGCTATGTTCTTAGACCCACAATACCTTGCAGAGTTCTGCGTTCTGTTGTTAATACCTGCATCCAAAATTTCTTATCATTTCTGTTGTCAAATCTAATCATTATTAATGGAAAAATGTGTTTAAAACTTGTACAAAAATATTATGACTGATTTTGTTAAAAGGAATTTCTGCAAGTGAATTATGTTTATGGAAATTCTAGAAAGGATATGATGAGAAAATAGATTTATAGTACTCGTTGAGATAAATATTCACTTGTTATAAGAAACATATCACATTCAAAAATTTATTCATATTCATGTTGCATAGTCACCATTCAGCTTTGATCAGACAAAACTATTAATTGCATAAATATGAACATGAACCTGTTATTGTAAGATGATCATCTTCACAATTGTCTGATGGTTCCACAGCAAACTCGAGGAATGTTAGTTTGATTTGTTGGCCAGGTTTGACTGTTATAATCCAAGTACACTCTTCTAGCTTGTTGTAAGGATGGTACGGATAATTGGGACTTAGGATCTCCCCTTGAGGCTCTCGCAAGTCACCTCCACAATTAGGGAGCGCTGAAATACATTTATCAAGTACTATAGTTTATTTATTCTTAGGACTATGATATAGATACAATTTTGAGTACTTTTATACTGAAATCAGACTTTCAGTGGTTTCGTTTCTTTATTTTGAGATGAAATTGGCATGTCATGTTTGGCATCATTTCAAAATTGTTATTCAAGTGCTAATAATTCTTACCTTTGAAGAGTATTGAGAATCCTTTAGCTGAAGCTGTTGAAGCTGTACTGACCAACTCCACACATATACCTTCAGTGTCAGTGGGATAGATATACTCTGGTACTTTCTTAAATGATCCTTGGTATGTTTTAAGTAAATCATCAAATATGAATCCCTCTTTATCACAATCAATGTTATCATACACATTTACTTTATCACCAGGGTTAAGCTCCATCTCTTCAATTGTGAGCTTAAATCTCTGATCATCAGAAGCTATGATCTTCCATTGGCAGGTTTTCTTGCCAGGGTATGGGTTGGGGTAGTTCTCAGACCTGATGTAACCATTGTCAATTGTCATATTTGCTCCACAAGAGCCAAGAATTGTAGATGGAGTTGTAAAAGGGACCTGGATACCTAATTCTGAGCCACATCCTTCTGGAGGGTAATCCCATTTGCCATTTCCTTGACATGTTGATACAAATGTCTTCTGGCGATTTATGATGTATGGATCATCACATGTTATGGTGATCTTGCTTCCAAATGTATTACTTTTACCAGAAACCTTGCCATTCTTCACTTTATCAATTATTGGACATCTTACAACTGAAAAGATAATATTATTTATCCCATACTTTGACGTGTTATAGGTACATAAAGCCTGTTTGTAAAAACTTATATTTTCATCAGCGGGCAGATATAGCTTTACGTCCCGCTCCGAGCGGGCAGATATAGTATATCTGCCCGCTACGTCATAATCGCCGCTCGCATATTTTGTTCATAATTTGTAACGTTCGCGTAATGACTGTAAACGACATCCACTTAATCAATCAAAAATTCGAGAAAATAAATGTGGGAATATTTGAGAGAACAGGAAAATCCGCCCACGGCCAAGAAAACAAAACTGGACATGAATATTCTAAAATATTTCCATGAACAATGTGAACCAGATGACCAAGATTGGTATGGGATAAACATATTATCCTATAGTCGGTTCAGGATATTGGGATTATCCCTTGGCCAATATAGTATATTAAGGTCGTGAAGCCCTCGGGCAAATATATTATATTTGCCTCGGGATAATCCCAATATCCTGAACCTCATATAGGATAATCTCTATTTATCCGATGGATACTAAATATATATGGGGATACCAACACAAGATATTATATTTCGTATACGCAACTAAAATCATATCCGATCCATATAACGTGATATCCAATCATATCCAACGGATACTATTTTAAAAAATATTTTGAAAAAAAAAATTTGAAAAATTTGAAATTTTGAAAAAAAAAGTTTTTTGAAAAAATTCAAAAAAAAATTTTGAAAAAAAATTGAAAATTAATCTGAGAAAAAATTGAAAAAATATTTGGAAAATTTTGAAAAGTTCCCAGGTTATATGCTCAGTTAAACTGAGTTACATTTTTTTCATGCAATCATTTTATAAAAATAAGGTCACAGAAAATAAAATGAAAAAAAAAGAATAGAATTAGAAAAACAACAACTTTAGGTCAAATTATTTGAAGTCCATACAAAAATAGCGACCATCGGATAAATATAATATCCTATGATTTTCTCGGCTGTCATTTTTATCCACTCTTGGATATTGCCGATCTCCACTCATTCGCTGCGCTCACTCGTGGAGATGAGCGATATCCACTCATGGATAAAAATGGTATCCCTCAAAAATCATAGGATATCCTCTATATATTTGAAGAACCCAGTCATCAAAATTGACTGTTCCATGATGAATAAAGTTAAATTATAACATATACATATTAAAATGGTTAACTTCATTTATACAAGTACTGCAACAATCTCCTTCAGATGGAGAAATGTTCTTGTACTTACCTATACAGTAAGGTGCTTGTCCTGTCCACTTGCCACTGCTCTGGCATGTCCGCTGTTTGTTACCCTCCAGGGCATAGCCAGTCTGGCAGGTATAGTTCACCACACTCCCCACAGAGTTACCATTCAACACAAACTTGGAGAATGGTCGCTTGTAGGGGTAGGGGCAGGTCACTCCTATAATTTAAAAATGAACAAAATAAGTATTTATCAAATGGTACCTCACCTAAGTTGACTTTTACCTCTAATGTGGCCTTGACCTCACAACCTTAATATATAACATAGGAATTCAAAACCATAATTATGATAAATCCCAAAGTCAATCTGACTTCACAGCAATTATGAATCAACCTTCCCAAAATTTACAATGTACAGAGTGGGTAGCACCTAGTATGACTTACTTCTACAATATGGCACTGAACCTCCCCACTGGCCACTCTCCAGGCAAGTCCTTCTAATGTTGCCCTGAACCACATAACCAGAATTGCATGTGTAGACTGCAGTGTTCCCATACTTCAAACCATCAACTGTCACTGCACCATTGAAGATATTCCCTAGTGTTGGACAAGTCAGGGCTGAAGATGAACATAATGTATGTATTATCATTTTGAATAAACCTGTAAGCAATGCGTAGAACTTAAAATTAGTGATTTCTTAGTTTACTCAACAGGGTGCTAAATCTTAACACTGTTTTCATCAAAATATTTGAATATTACAATTTCCAGTAGGTGACAATTTATTGGCTGAAGCACTTGGTTGCTCCAATGCTTGGGAGGCAACCCAATTCAAAAATAGGGTAGGGCACTGCTAGCTTAATATAATAGCTAGATGTTTTAAATTGTCTTCTTACATATACAACTAGGCTGTGTGCCGGTCCACTCTCCACTGGTCTGACATGTCCTAGCTGCATCACCGGACAATCTAAAGCCAGCATCACACTTGAAGGTTATTTTCTGGTTAAATTTGAAGTCATCTCCAATCCTCTTGCCATTCACAGGATCCCCAGGGTCTCCGCATTGGCCTGGGGGTGCTACAAAAAGAATATTTAATATATCAAATGACCAGAAATTAAAGGGCCCCTTAGCCAAGACTAAAATTGAAAAAATAAGTAATGAATTTTGTGTTCTCAAATAAATGTTCATCATCAAAAATTGTCAAGATGGGGTAAAATAACATAATTGAGATTTCTGTTACGTTTAAGAAATGGAAAAGATGTCATAGTAGAGAAAAGTGAAGCACTTTGTAGTTATGACCTCATAGACACATGGGAATTGGGAAAGATGCCATGAAAGAGAATATTGTGATAATGTGTACTTTCGACATCAGAGACACATTGCGATTGGGTAAGATACCATGAAAGACAATAGTGTGACAATACAATGTGTACTTACAACCTCATAGACACATGGGAATTGGGAAAGATGCCATGAAAGAGAATAGTGAGACAATACAATGTGTACTTACAACCTCGCAGACACATGGGAATTGGGAAAGATGCCATGAAAGAGAATATTGTGATAATGTATACTTTCGACATCAAAGACACATTGCGATTGGGTAAGATGTCTTAATAGAGAATAGTGTGACAGTGTGTACTTACGACCTCCTGTGCACTTGGGTATTGGGCCTGACCACTGTCTATTGAAGCCACATGTCCTGATAGAGGAGCCTTGTAGAGAATAGCCAGGAAGACAGGTGTATGTAGCTTTGCTCCCAATCCCTGAACCAGTGATTTTAACATTGCCATTTGCTGGTTTTCCAGGATTACCACAGCCAGATACTAAAACGCAAACACACAATTATCTACTTGATATTTATAAACTAAACTATTTTAAACAAAACTCAAAATAAACACTTTTGGTATAACAGAGAATCAGATGTTCATTACTTTTTGAAAAACATACATGACATTCAATACAACATGACGCTCTCAAGAGCATATATGTTGGTTTTAACTGGACAGAAATGAGACAGTGCCACTCAAAGAGTGAGACGAATAGAAATGGAGTAAAGAAATACCTGAGAATGGCACCGGCTAAAGTCTGTTGGAAATCATTTAAAAATGGGGGACAAGGACATAGGGCAAAAGAACAAGTATTAGCAGCTCCTAAGTTTATGATATATAGAAGTTAAGACAGAATGCAGCTGAATGCAGATTTCAAATTGAGAGTGAGGCCGCTTGTAGAATATGAGATATAGAGTTCCAAATTTGCTGACCTTGAACTTTCACTGAATAGAGGCCAATATTTGTTCTGAACTCGAAGGCATGAATATCATGTGAATGTCTTGTTTGATATCAACGAATGTCAACATTTAACATAAAATAGTTCTCAAAAATCTTTCGGTGGACTGATATATAAGACACAAAAAATGTTGCAGCCATCAAGTTCTCATGAAATAAGTCTACTTACATTCACAATCCTCTGCCTGTCCCGACCATGTCTTGTCATCTCTACACCTGAATGTTCTCTCAACAACACCGCTGGGGAATTTATATCCTTGACTGCACATATAGCGCACAATGTAGCCATTGTCATATGAGTCACTAGGGTTAGCCACAGCAGCATTGCTAAGCTTGGGCAGGTCAGATGTTCTGCATCCAATAGCTGAAAATAATGATATAGTGGTACATGTATATCAGATATAGATGGCGTGTTGTCTATAATATTGCATGCAAAACAAGACATTTCATACAGATACAGAGACTGAGTGGTCCAAAAATTGTTGTATTTTTCATATTACATACATTTTTTCATCTATGTATACTTATTTAATTTGAAATCGGGATACACATACCTCTATACTGTCCCCAGAATCCCTTTTCTCCAGTGAGTCCAAATATTGTCTTGAAGGTAATAGTTGCATTGTTAGAAACACTCTCCAAAGGTGCTACCTTGCCTTTGCCACATAACCTTCCGATGTTATTTGTTATATTCACCATTCCTCTGAACTCCACATGGTCTTGGAGGCAATTCGTTGAAGATTTGACAGCAAATTCTAAAAAGGTAACCCTGGCACGTTGTCCCTCTGGGAGGTCAAGCTGCCATGTACATGTAGAGGATGGGCTATAAAGGTAGTAGGGGTAGCCAGGACTTAAGAAGTCTCCCTGCTGATCAGATAACTTTCCACCACAATCAGCCATATCTAAAATAACATTGAAAAATTACAATAAATTCATATCAAGAATAGAATATCAGAAATATTGGAGGTGGTAAAAAACACTGTCAAGAATAGCATATCAGAATTATTGGATCATGTCCATGTATTTGAGGTGGTAAAGATCACTGTCAAGAAAAGCAAATCAGAATTATTGGATCATATCCATGTATTTGAGGTGGTAAAGATCACTGTCAAGAATAGCAAATCAGAATTACTGGATCATGTCAATGTATTTGAGGTGGTAAAGATCACTATCAAGAATAGCATATCAGAATTATTGGATCATGTCCATGTATTTGAGGTGGTAAAGATCACTGTCAAGAATAGCATATCAGAATTATTGGATCATGTCCATGCATTTGAGATGGAAAAGATCACTGTCAAGAATAGCAAATCAGAATTATTGGATCGTGTCCATGTATTTGAGGTGGTAAAGATCACTATCAAGAATAGCAAATCAAAATTATTGGATTATGTCCATGTATTTGAGGTGGTAAAGATCACTATCAAGAATAGCATATCAGAATTATTGGATTATATCCATGTATTTGAGGTAGTAAAGATCACTGTCAAGAATAGCATATCAGAATTATTGGATCCTGTCCATGTATTTGAGGTAGTAAAGATCACTGTCAAGAATAGCATATCAGAATTATTGGATCCTGTCAATGTATTTGAGGTAGTAAAGATCACTGTCAAGAATAGCATATCAGAATTATTGGATCCTGTCCATGTATTTGAGGTAGTAAATATCACTGTCAAGAATAGCATATCAGAATTATTGGATCATGTCTATGTATTTGAGGTAGTAAAGATCACTGTCACGAATAGCATATCAGAATTATTGGATCCTGTCCATGTATTTGAGGTGGTAAAGATCACTATCAAGAATAGCAAATCAGAATTATTGGGTTATGTCCATGTATTTGAGGTAGTAAATATCACTGTCAAGAATAGCATATCAGAATTATTGGATCATGTCCATGTATTTGAGGTGGTAAAGATCACTATCAAGAATAGCAAATCAGAATTATTGGATTATGTCCATGTATTTGAGGTAGTAAATATCACTGCCAAGAATAGCATATCAGAATTATTGGATCATGTCCATGTATTTGAGATGGTAAAGATCACTGTCAAGAATAGCAAATCAGAATTATTGGATTATGTCCATGTATTTGAGGTAGTAAATATCACTGTCAAGAATAGCATATCAGAATTATTGGATCATGTCTATGTATTTGAGGTGGTAAAGATCACTGTAAAGAATAGCAAATTAGAATTGTTGGATCATGTCCATGTATTTGAGGTGGGAAAGATCACTGTCAAGAATAGCATATCAGAATTATTGGATCATGTCCATGTATTAGAGGTGGTAAAGATCACTGTCAAGAATAGCATATCAGAATTATTGGATTATGTCCATGTATTTGAGGTAGTAAAGATCACTGTCAAGAATAGCATATCAGAATTATTGGATCATGTCCATGTATTTGAGGTGGTAAAGATCACTGTCAAGAATAGCAAATCAGAATTATTGGATCATGTCCATGCAGTTGAGATGGTAAAGATCACTGTCAAGAATAGCAAATCAGAATTATTGGATCATGTCCATGCAGTTGAGATGGTAAAGATCACTGTCAAGAATAGCATATCAGAATTATTGGATCCTGTCCATGTATTTGAGGTAGTAAAGATCACTGTCAAGAATAGCATATCAGAATTATTGGATCATGTCCATGTATTTGAGGTGGTAAAGATCACTGTCAAGAATAGTATATCAGAATTTTTGGATCATGTCCATGTATTTGAGGTGGTAAAGATCACTGTCAAGAATAGCAAATCAGAATTATTGGATTATGTCCATGTATTTGAGGTAGTAAATATCACTGTCAAGAATAGCATATCAGAATTATTGGATCATGTCCATGTATTTGAGGTGGTAAAGATCACTGTCAAGAATAGCAAATCAGAATTATTGGATTATGTCCATGTATTTGAGGTAGTAAATATCACTGTCAAGAATAGCATATCAGAATTATTGGATCATGTCCATGTATTTGAGATGGTAAAGATCACTGTCAAGAATAGCAAATCAGAATTAATGGATCATGTCCATGTATTTGAGATGGTAAAGATCACTGTCAAGAATAGCAAATCAGAATTATTGGATTATGTCCATGTATTTGGGTGGTAAAGATCACTGTCAAGAATAGTATATCAGAATTATTGGATCATGTCCATGTATTTGAGGTGGTAAAGATCACTGTCAAGAATAGCATATCAGAATTATTGGATCATGTCCATGTATTTGAGGTGGTAAAGATCACTGTCAAGAATAGCAAATCAGAATTATTGGATCATGTCCATGTATTTGAGGTGGTAAACATGACCTCCAAGGTTCTCATGATTGAAACTCAGTACCTCTAAAGGTCAAAGAGAATCCCTTTGCATCAAGTGAAGCAGCGTTCCTTGTCATCTTAATACACATTGCAGTGCCAACTGGGAATATGACATCTGGGAAGTTGGTGTTCTTGTATGTGTATGTTCTGATCTTAGTATTTGGAGCATCTAGCCAATCTTCATAGCATTTATCACTCTGGTACACCTCAACAGTGTCCTAGAATAACAAATATTATTAGACTTGAATATCAGTGATCTTCTCAGTATTGAAACACCTAAGCACATGTGCAGTAAAACATGTATACCAAAACATCTTTCTATTCTGAACACCTGAACAGGTTCATTTTTCTAATCTGCCATAGACTTCTTTGTTAAATAACTAGAAATGTGAATATCTGCTGAACACCCTTGTCTGGTCTTAGGGCCTCTATATATATGAAATTGTTTTGGTTCAATTTTTGTTATTTGCCATAGACTTCATTGTTAAATAACTAGAAATGTGAATATCTGCTGAACACCTTTGTCTGGTCTTAGGGCCTCTATATATGTGAAATTGTTTTGGTTCAATTTTTGTTATTTGCCATAGACTTCATTGTTAAATAACTAGAAATGTGAATATCTGCTGAACACCCTTGTCTGGTCTTAGGGCCTCTATATATATGAAATTGTTTTGGTTCAATCTTTCTTATCTGCCAAAGACTTCATTGTTAAATAACTAGAAATGTGAATATCTGCTGAACACCTTTGTCTGGTCTTAGGACCTCTGTATATATGAAATAGTTTTGGTTCAATCTTTCTAATCTGCCAAAGACTTCATTGTTAAATAACTAGAAATGTGAATGTCTGCTGAACACCTTTGTCTGGTCTTAGGGCCTCTATATATGTGAAATAGTTTTGGTTCAATCTTTCTAATCTGCCATAGACTTCATTGTTAAATAACTAGAAATGTGAATATCTGCTGAACACCTTTGTCTGGTCTTAGGGCCTCTATATATGTGAAATAGTTTTGGTTCAATCTTTCTAATCTGCCATAGACTTCATTGTTAAATAACTAGAAATGTGAATATCTGCTGAACACCTTTGTCTGGTCTTAGGACTTCTATATATATGAAATTGTTTTGGTTCAATCTTTCTAATCTGCCATAGACTTCATTGTTTAATAACTAGAAATGTGAATATCTGCTGAACACCTTTGTCTGGTCTTAGGGCCTCTATATATGTGAAATTGTTTTGGTTCAATTTTTGTTATTTGCCATAGACTTCATTGTTAAATAACTAGAAATGTGAATATCTGCTGAACACCCTTGTCTGGTCTTAGGGCCTCTATATATATGAAATTGTTTTGGTTCAATCTTTCTAATCTGCCAAAGACTTCATTGTTAAATAACTAGAAATGTGAATATCTGCTGAACACCTTTGTCTGGTCTTAGGACCTCTGTATATATGAAATAGTTTTGGTTCAATCTTTCTAATCTGCCAAAGACTTCATTGTTAAATAACTAGAAATGTGAATGTCTGCTGAACACCTTTGTCTGGTCTTAGGGCCTCTATATATGTGAAATAGTTTTGGTTCAATCTTTCTAATCTGCCATAGACTTCATTGTTAAATAACTAGAAATGTGAATATCTGCTGAACACCTTTGTCTGGTCTTAGGGCCTCTATATATGTGAAATAGTTTTGGTTCAATCTTTCTTATCTGCCATACTTCATTGTTAAATACTTGAAATGTGAATGCCTACTGGGATAAGGGGCGTACAAACAGATACTTGTCCCACTGTACTGTACCCAGATGGGGAATTGAATAGTTGTGACACAATACTACTTTTGAAAACATTGATGTTCTTGAATAGTAATTAGAAATATAGATTTATGACCACCTACCCCAGGGTTCATCTCAAGTGCAGACATTGTAGCTTTGATTCTCCTTCCCTTTGCGCCTGTGATGGTCCACTGGCAGCTTGTTCCCTTACCATATGGCTTTGGATACCCTGGACTGGTCACTACACCAGCTTTCTGTCCACTTATTTTAGCTCCACAGCTTGAGACTGTGAAAATCAAAATTTGACGTTCAAACAAATTGTTACAATTTTACAATATACAGGGTGACAAAAAAAAACTGGAACCCATAAATCATCAACTTTCTCGGAAAGTATTATACCTACATTCTTCATTTCTTCAGGGTAGAAACTAGACTGAATGCATAACAAAATGACACAACAATGAGTACTGTAGCTTAGATATTAATCATGCCATGGACGACAGAAGAAAAGACTTATATTGTGAGAAAGTATATCGAGACAAAATCCTATAAAGAGACACAAACTGCCTCTATGAGAGATCATAGGGCAAGAAGAGCCCCTTGCAAGTCACAGATCTTTAGGCTTGTACAGAAGTTTGATTCAGAAGGAACTGTAAAACCAACAAAGAAGAAAGGTGACGGTAAACGAACCTATTCGGGGAGAGAGAGAGGTCTGTCAGAACTTAAGACAACTCAACAGTCAACTCAGCACGTTACATCCCTAACGTTCAAAAGTTTTGGAGAGCGCTGGGAAGACAAGGTGACTTGAGAAGGGACCAGCAATGGTTCCAACAAGATGGTGCCACACCCCACACCTCAAATGAGTTCATTCGATGGCTTCAGGCTCACTGTGGTGATCGATTAATCAGTCACCATACTCGCCACATCTGCCCCCCCTCCCCTGATTTGAACCCCCCAGATTTTTATCTGTGGGGGTATCTCAAGGATAATGTGTAAACAGATAGTCCACTGACCATTGATGACCTCAAACTCAACATTGGAAGACTAATTAGAGATATAGACAGAGATGAATGCAGTAGGGTCATTGACAATTTTGCAAGAAGAATCCAGCTCTGCATTTAACGTCATGGTGCACATTTGGAGCACATTATCTTATCGTCCCTCATTTGGAGACTAATTGAGCTACAATGCTAAAACTTTATCATCTTGTCATACATTCAGTTGACTATACATGTACCAAATAACTAAGCTCAATATGCATCATTGAAGAAGTTATTAAGACTTAAGTGGGTTCCAGTTTTTTTTTGTCACCCTGTATTTTGTTTTCATCATTTCATTTCATTCTATTCTGCATCTTAAATCTACAATTACACCTTAATTAATTTTGCAGAAAATAAAATTAGGATTGTTAGGAAAACATTGGCATGTTTTACGTTCTGTTTAATTTGTACAGTATTCCTTACAGGCACACCACTGGTAGAAATATCATAGTGTGCATTATGAAAAGTATATGTCGAAAATCTCAATTACTTTGAATTCTAGATCACTCAATAAATGTTATGTTAGGCATGTTGCATACTTACATGTAGGAAGTGTTGTGGTTGACATGACCATCTTGGTTGTTGTCTTAAAAGTCGTCATGGTAGTTGTGGCTAGAATCATGAAATGAAAATATGTACATGTCTGTATTCTGATTCAAATTAACAATAGTACATACTAATAACTCGAATGTTCAAATTAAAATTGTACTATGTAGATCTGGGCTGTGTCTCTACAGCATTCAAAGATGAATTTAATTGAAGGAGGGTGTAATGGGAGGACCAGATTGTCTCTTTATTGTTCTTATTGAAGGAGGGTGTAATGGGAGGACCAGATTGCCTCTTTATTGTTCTTATTGAAGGAGGGTGTAATGGGAGGACCAGATTGCCTCTTTATTGTTCTTATTGAAGGAGGATGTAATGGGAGGCCCAGATTGCCTCTTTATTGTTCTTATTGAAGGAGGGTGTAATGGGAGGACCAGATTGCCTCTTCATTGTTCTTATTGAACAAGGGTGTAATGGGAGGACCAGATTGCCTCTTAATTGTTCTTATTGAGGGAGGGTGTAATGGGAGGACCAGATTGCCTCTTTATTGTTCTGATTGAACAAGGGTGTAATGGGAGGACCAGATTGTCTCTTTATTGTTCTTATTGAAGGAGGGTGTAATGGGAGGACCAGATTGCCTCTTTATTGTTCTTATTGAAGGAGGGTGTTATTGGAGGACCAGATTGTCTCTTTATTGTTCTTATTGAAGGAGGGTGTAATGGGAGGACCAGATTGTCTCTTTATTGTTCTTATTGAAGGAGGGTGTAATGGGAGGACCAGATAGTCTCTTTATTGTTCTTATTGAAGGAGGGTGTAATGGGAGGACCAGATTGCCTCTTTATTGTTCTTATTGAAGGAGGGTGTAATGGGAGGACCAGATTCTCTCTTTATAGTTCTTATTGAAGGAGGATGTAATGGGAGGACCAGATTGCCTCTTTATTGTTCTCATTGAAGGAGGATGTAATGGGAGGACCAGATTGCCTCTTAATTGTTTTTATTGAACAAGGGTGTAATGGGAGGACCAGATTGTCTCTTTATTGTTCTTATTGAAGGAGGGTGTAATGGGAGAACCAGATTGCCTCTTTATTGTTCTTATTGAAGGAGGGTGTAATGGGAGAACCAGATTGCCTCTTTATTGTTCTTATTGAAGGAGGGTGTAATGGGAGGACCAGATTCTCTCTTTATAGTTCTTATTGAAGGAGGATGTAATGGGAGGACCAGATTGCCTCTTTATTGTTCTCATTGAAGGAGGATGTAATGGGAGGACCAGATTGCCTCTTAATTGTTTTTATTGAACAAGGGTGTAATGGGAGGACCAGATTGTCTCTTTATTGTTCTTATTGAAGGAGGGTGTAATGGGATGCCCAGATTGCCTCTTTATTGTTCTTATTAAAGGAGGGTGTAATTGGAGGACAAGATTGCCTCTTTATTGTTCTTATTGAAGGAGGGTGTAATGGGAGGACCAGATTGCCTCTTTATTGTTCTTATTGAAGGAGGATGTAATGGGAGGACCAGATAGTCTCTTTATTGTTCTTATTGAAGGAGGGTGTAATGGGATGCCCAGATTGCCTCTTTATTGTTCTTATTGATGGAGGGTGTTATGGGAGGACCAGATTGCCTCTTTATTGTTCTTATTGAAGGAGGGTGTAATGGGAGGACCAGATTGCCTCTTTATTGTTCTTATTGAAGGAGGGTGTAATGGGAGGACCAGATTGCCTCTTTATTGTTCTTATTGAAGGAGGGTGTAATGGGAGGACCAGATTGCCTCTTAATTGTTCTTATTGAAGGAGGATGTAATGGGAGGACCAGATTGCCTCTTAATTGTTCTTATTGAAGGAGGGTGTAATGGGAGGACCAGATCGCCTCTTTATTGTTCTTATTGAAGGAGGGTGTAATGGGAGGACCAGATTGTCTCTTTATTGTTCTTATTGAAGGAGGGTGTAATGGGAGGACCAGATTGCCTCTTTATTGTTCTTATTGAAGGAGGGTGTAATGGGAGGACCAGATTGCCTCTTAATTGTTCTTATTGAAGGAGGGTGTAATGGGAGGACCAGATTGCCTCTTAATTGTTCTTATGGAAGGAGGGTGTTATGGGAGGACCAGATTGCCTCGTTATTGTTCTTATTGAACAAGGGTGTTATGGGAGGACCAGATTGCCTCTTAATTGTTCTTATTGAAGGAGGATGTAATGGGAGGACGAGATTGCCTCTTTATTGTTCTTATTGAAGGAGGGTGTAATGGGAGGACCAGATTGCCTCTTTATTGTTCTTATTGAAGGAGGGTGTTATGGGAGGACCAGATTGCCTCTTCATTGTTCTTATTGAACAAGGGTGTAATGGGAGGACCATATTGCCTCTTAATTGTTCTTATTGAAGGAGGATGTAATGGGAGGACCAGATTGCCTCTTAATTGTTCTTATTGAAGGAGGATGTAATGGGAGGACCAGATTGCCTCTTTATTGTTCTTATTGAAGGAGGGTGTTATTGGAGGACCAGATTGCCTCTTCATTGTTCTTATTGATGGAGGGTGTAATGGGAGGACCAGATTGCCTCTTTATTGTTCTTATTGAAGGAGGGTGTAATGGGAGGACCAGATAGTCTCTTTATTGTTCTTATTGAAGGAGGGTGTAATGGGATGCCCAGATTGCCTCTTTATTGTTCTTATTGAAGGAGGGTGTTATTGGAGGACCAGATTGCCTCTTTATTGTTCTTATTGAAGGAGGGTGTTATTGGAGGACCAGATTGCCTCTTATTGAAGGAGGGTGTTATTGGAGGACCAGATTGCCTCTTAATTGTTCTTATTGAACAAGGGTGTAATGGGAGGACCAGATTGCCTCTTTATTGTTCTTATTGAAGGAGGGTGTAATGGGATGCCCAGATTGCCTCTTTATTGTTCTTATTGATGGAGGGTGTAATTGGAGGACAAGATTGCCATATACATGTAGTTCATTGTTTTCAGCTCTTTGTGTTCTCATTGAAGGAGGGTGTAATGGGATGCCCAGATTGCCTCTTTATTGTTCTTATTGAAGGAGGGTGTTATTGGAGGACCAGATTGCCTCTTTATTGTTCTTATTGATGGAGGGTGTAATGGGAGGACCAGATTGCCTCTTTATTGTTCTTATTGAAGGAGGGTGTAATGGGAGGACCAGATAGTCTCTTTATTGTTCTTATTGAAGGAGGGTGTAATGGGATGCCCAGATTGCCTCTTTATTGTTCTTATTGAAGGAGGGTGTTATTGGAGGACCAGATTGCCTCTTTATTGTTCTTATTGAAGGAGGGTGTTATTGGAGGACCAGATTGCCTCTTAATTGTTCTTATTGAACAAGGGTGTAATGGGAGGACCAGATTGCCTCTTTATTGTTCTTATTGAAGGAGGGTGTAATGGGATGCCCAGATTGCCTCTTTATTGTTCTTATTGATGGAGGGTGTAATTGGAGGACAAGATTGCCATATACATGTAGTTCATTGTTTTCAGCTCTTTGTGTTCACATGGAAATGTGTGCTTCCCATGATCTCTGTGGTAATTTTATTTTAATATGAGGTACACTATGTTCAGATTCATATGATGATTGTATACATGAGATTTCTAACATTTACAATTGAGGAGATTGTATTCAAATTTATCAGAGATCTAGATTCGGAGATTATTCCCACTTCTATTTTGCATTCATATTTACAGATGGATAGATTGTTAAGTAATGGATAGAATATTATGATTTTAAGAGTTTGAACTCAGAATGAAGTCATGGTAAAATGTTCACTTATAATCCTCCATGTCTCCCTATAGCATTGTAGAGCATCCATAGCCAGTTACAAAAATATGTAAATATGCTGTGTTTATTTTCCGTGTTTGTTGTTTTACCTTCCTTGCAAGACAATTTTCAATTTTGACCTGACGGAAAACAAAGAATTTAAGTCAATTGGCCTTATCGAAGTCTCAGACCATTATAAATGCAAAACATTTTGGTTGACTTTACGATCATAGTCACAGAGACTACCCCTTTATGCGTATGTATAATGTGACTGAAGTACCTGGTGGGGGTTGTGTGGGGTCACCTGGGGAACAGTCTCTTACATCAGAATCCCATCTCCCATCAGAACCACAAGTCACAGTAAAGTTCTGTCTCAGTTGAATATTGTAGCCAAACTTACAGTAGAATGTCACAGTGTCTCCATAGTAGTCACCAGTTTGTACAGCTTTGGAGTTCTTGGTATCAAGGCTAAACACTTTGCATTTCACCACTGTAACAATGTTAACAAATAGTGACTGCCATTTAGGGCAATAGTAAAAAATCATTTCCTCAATTTTCAAAAGGAAAATGCATTCATCATTTACACTACTTTGAAAAATAAGGGATGTGGTACTGACAAGGAAAATACATGTTCACAGCAATCAAAATATTAAGGAGTCACCTAAATGGATGGTTCTATCTTCAATTTCCACATTTTCAGATTTTTTGACAATTCTGAGTTAAAAGATATAAACACCTATTGTAAAATACCATTATACTTACATTTGCAGTAAGGTGCTTTTCCTGTCCATTGTCCAGTTCCCCCACATGTCCTGGAAGAAGCTCCTTCTAAGACATACCCGCTCTGACATGTGTAGTTAACAGTGCTACCATATGAGTTCCCACTCAGCACAAAATCTGAGAATGGTCTCTTGTATGGATAGGGGCAGAGTATTACTGAAATAATTAAACCCTTAAGGTGTAATAAAATACATTTTTAGCATGATTTGAAACTTGCTCCCATGCTTTATTCCTGATAATTTCATTTAGACGATTATTCATCCATATTCTGCAAAGCCTTTTTCAGTAAAAGTGTGATTAATTTTTTTAGAGTTGGCCATTTGATTAAAGCAATTAATAAACAGAATATCAGCCATAGTGTATACTGACATAAATGAGACAGAAAGTGTAATAGTTCTGAATGTACCTCTACATGTGGGTGGAGAACCATCCCATGAGCCAGTCTTGCCACATCTTCTTACTGATCCTCCTCTCAGCTTGTACCCCTCATTACAACTATAGGTAGCAGTATTACCAAATGCAGTGCCATCTATCTTCACCTGACCATATAAAGGTGGAGTCAAGTTGCTTGGGCATTTGACACCTAAAAATAAAGTAAGAAATATGTAGGATATATTAGATTCTAGGTATACAGAAGAATCAAGGAGATGTAATAATTAAATTGACTTTACCATAACCTGTAACACCGCAATCTCCAAATCAACAGAAAGTATAAAATGCATTGTAAAAGCTACATGTATGAAAAACTTATTCGAGTCTCTTGGTTGAACATCAGGGCATTTGGAACAATGTGTACTTAAGAAAAATTCTATTTTAAAAATATTCTGCTATTTTTTAAAACATCTGTTGTTAACTTTATCTTAATGCTGAATAGTGAAAAAACAAGATGGCCGTTATAACTGAAAGTTTGTTATGAAGTACAGAATTGTAGCAATGTTGTTATTTTATGCAATAACAGAAGTTTAAAACAAGTGCTCCTAAAAGGTAATGTAAAGGCAGATCTTCCAGGATAACAATACAAAACAACCTCAAATTTAGATTATGTGTAGCTACTAGACCAATGTCACACCACAAGTGTGAGGTAACATATTTTACATGACCATTCTCATACCAGAAAGTGGAAAAATCTGACCATTCCAATACCTCAAAAGTAATAATTTTAGGGGGCATTCTCATTCCAGATCCAGATCTAATGCCAGTGGTGGTGTTAAGTTTGAGGTAAGAAATATGTGTGGCCTGAGATGGCTTTGGCACTAGATAAGGCTTTTCTTGAAAGCCCCATGGTAAAATCTAATATTAGAAGCCCAGGATTAGTACCCGGGTATTAGAAGAGTCTCACTTCATCATTTGCATGGGAACATCTCAAGGGAAACTTCTGGGGGGACCCATATTCTCAGAACACTTACTCTCACAAGTGGGAAGGTTTCCGCTCCAGAGATCACTAGCCTGACAAGTGAGTGTGGCAAAGCCAGAGATGGTGTATCCATCATTACACAGGAAGCTAACAGTTGCCCCAGTTCTGAAGTCATTCCCAGTACGTTTACCATTGCTTGGCTCTCCAGGGTCTCCGCAGCTGCCTGTTGCACCTGAGCCTGAAGCAAAAATACACACAGAGGCTTATACTAGTTTCAAAAAGTTGATGAACTTTGAATCGATAGGAGAATTCATTCCAACCACTGAGGATCAGAGATAGACGCCCTTGCGGCCTTGCTAAATTTTCTTCATCCGAAGATGAACTCGGAAAAATATATTCATACTGTACATGAATATGTCTTGGACTGCTTCTTAATTGGCTCATAAAGTCTGTAGCCTCTTGGGATATTTTGATGCTTTTCAGCCATGTTAAAAAAAATTATAAAAAATGTGGCTGATAGTGATAGAAGACGAAAATCCGTGGGTGAAGTAGGCCTAGAAATTTGAACATTATTAGTATGTAAATTACTTAACACTGTTACAACAGTATCATACGACAACACGACTTCTGAATTATGTTCTCTGGAGTTTATTACAACTTCGTACCTATAAACCAACAATGCGGATCCCAGTATTTATTCACATTTCTTACTGAGAAATTCGTGTAAACATCGTAAAGAACATTTAAAAATGGCGGTCTAATGAGACGGAAGACTATAGCATTTAACCGAACGGAAAGACTTGATGGATTACCGAACGTAGATTTATACCGACGGATATGCGTAAAGATAAGTTCACACCAACGGCGCTTTGATGGCGCTTTAAAACGCCAAATGGGGGACAAGAAATATTATATCAAAATCAGGGATTGATCGCTGGCTCGGGGTCATTGTAAAAGTTGTATGGAATATCACGCCGTCGGTGTGAAGTTAGCTTAACCATGGGCTTTCAACTAGAAGGGTATGCAACTCTATGTAATAACATGAGACCTTCAAAATGAGCAATGACATGCTTCCCTTTTATGGCAATATTTCAAAAAGTATTAGATAAATGTATATGTTTTAGTATTATTTTGAATAAAAATCAATTTTTAATATGATTTAAGCATAAAATATATTCAATATCATATAAAAGTAAACAAAAGACTGGAGACCAATAAGAATAAGAGTTATCAAGATGTTCTCTTTGAGTATTGCATTGTGGGTAATTATTCAAGAACACATTCCAATAAAAAGATAATTTGTGGGAGAATGTTCACTTTCTGTATTGTCATAATTAGGATGAATTCCAATTTTTATTAAATTATCAAGATGTATGTAAAAGATCATGTTTTTATTTTTGAGTTATTTCTTTAAATCATCAATAAAAAGTACAAAATAAGATTTTCTTGGAATGTGTACATTCTCCAATTTTGAAAACCCATGGCAATGTTTATGTATGAAATATGGGAAGTTGCCTACCCTTCTAGTTGAAAGCCCATGGCTTAACAAAACTGAAGAGCTTGTAACTCATGGTAACAATCTTGCATTCTGATACTCTGATCTTTCCGTTTCACCTGAAACATGATCTTAGGGCTGAGAAGAAATGAGATCATGGTTTATGATGATGACACTCAGACAGTCTAAATTGACTCTTGTTATATAGTAAGCTTGAAAACTTTCTCATTTTTGGATGATGTGGGCTGTTCCATCTGACTTTTACACCCGCTCTCAGCCTTTAAAATCAACCATGTGCCAAAGGATATTTATGTCCAATGTCGGAGTCTTTAGTCCTAACGATATATTGTCAATCCCGGTTGTTTCCTATTATCAAATAAGGGCTTTTTGCGAGATCAAATGAATTATGTTACCATTAATTTGTAGTGCGTATGCATATTTGTTAAAGCTACGTTCACACCAACGGCGAATGCCACGCTTTAAATCGGCGAGCAAAGCGGCACCAAAGCATGGCGCTTTAAAGGGACTTGTAAAGCGGCACCAAAGCGTACGTAACAAAGCTTAATTAAAGCGTCGGGGTCGTAATAGGTCGTAGAAAAGCTCGAAGTAAAGCGGGATGTTCGACAAGAGCGCCAACAATTTTTAAACTGTTTAAAAAATTTGGGAGCTCCGTTACGAATTGATTAAAGCGCCGAGAGCGTATCAAACCTTAACAAACCGTAACAAAGCTCAGCAAAGCTTGACCCAAAGCGTAGGAAAGCTTAACAGAGCTTGGTTCAAAGCGGGGACACCAGTCTCTTCACGGTCTGTTACTACTTAACACGCTTCGTTTAGATGTCTCAACCTTTGCTACGATCTGGCATGAAGATCTGACACGAGTTCAGACGCTTTCATCAATATCTGACACTCTTTGTTACGCTTTCATGAAGGACTCTCAAGCTTTTTAACGAATTGAGACGCTTTAATCAAGGATTGAAACGCTTTGTTAAGCTTTGTTACGCTTGACAAGCTTCCTCACGCTCTTTCACGCCGTGCGACAAACATCATGTCTTCTTCAGATAGGTCATGATCTGGTCCATCTGGAAATTCTGGATCTTGTTGTTCTGCCATCGTCTTCTCGAGTCACAGATGCAATGGTTTTATGGATCTACTGCATCTTTATACAGCCATTTGATCAAAAGCGTCATGATAAAGGCGATCTCGAAAATGCACAACAGAGCTTGGCAATCGTATCAGAGCCTGATTAAAGCGTCATAATCGCATCGAACCGTAATAAAGCTTACCAAAGTTTATCAAAGCGTGATTTTAAGCGTAGCAAAGCCTGGTCGAAGCGGGATCATAGCGTGAGGAACCGTAACAAGTCGGGAAATCAGAGCGTATCAGAGCTTATCAGAGCCTAACATTACTTAGGAGATCGTGATATTTTTGGAAAAGTAAACATAAATGACAGCGCTTTGCTCGCCGATTTAAAGCGTGGCATTCGCCGTTAATGGGAAAAAAGCTTTAAAAATGTTGGCGCTCTTGCCGAATATCCCGCTTTACTAACTCCGAGCTTTTCTACGACCTATTACGACCCCGACGCTTTAATCAAGCTTTGTTACGCTTTGGTGCCGCTTTACAAGCAACTTTAAAGCGCCATCAAAGCGCCGTTGGTGTGAACGTAGCTTAAAGCTAAGTTCACACCAACGGCGCTTCGATAGCGCTTTGAACTCCGCTTTAAAGCGCCATCAAAGCGCCGTTGGTGTGAACTTAGCTTAAACCACATCGTAACCCTGAAACTTTGAGAGCATATGCATGTAAAGTATTAGCGTCTGTCTAAAGCTAAGTTCACAGCAACGGCGCTTCGATGGCGCTTTAAGCTAAGTTCCCACCAACGGCGCTTTGATGTCGCTTTAACATGTTTAAAGCGGCGAGCAAATGTTTAGAGGGTTACACCCCAGTCACATTTGTCGCACGGCGGCCGCAAGTCGACCGCAGATCAATTAAATCGGTGAATTTCTGCGGCGAGCGTAGTAAAACTACGCTCGCCTTGCGGCCTCCGTACGGCGAATGCAGATTTTTACAGGCCGCAGGGAAGGCGTAGAAATAATAACTCGGAGTTATAATATTTGTTCATTTCTGAGGTCCCCATAGAAATCAACTGGCTCAACAAGATTGAATCATTATTTGTCAATGTTTTACGATCACTTTTCATATGATATTACATCCTAGCACTATGAATTACATTCATAAATTGTCCTGATGTAAATAAAATGAAAAAAGTATTGATTTATCAACAGAAATTTAAAATTCACCGTGCGGCTGCCGTGGAATATGTGACTGCAAAAGTATGAGCGCAGAAATTCTGCGGCGAGCGTAGAAATGTTACTGGCCGCAGAAATGATAGACCGCAAGGTCGCCGTAGGAAATGTGACTGGGGTGTTAGGGGTGACCAGGTGGAATTGGATTTATCTCAAATATACGTTGATTGTCCGATTTGGTTAGGTTTGAAGCTCCAAAAAATAGTAAAATCATTTTTTCATTTCGAGTTTTAAATTTTTAAGTTGATATCCGCGTTATGCTTATTCACCGTGCTGAAGAATGGGTAAGTTTACGATACGTTGTGATACTCATATTTACGTGTTACGCGACATAAGTCACATGTTAGATTCATTATACAAATATCTTATGGAATAAACCTTTCGATATTTTACCTCAGTCTATTTGTTCGGTTTCATATGTCGATCTATTTGTTCAGTTAAGCTATGTTCACACCAACGGCGCTTTGATGGCCCTTTAAAGCGGCGTGCAAAGCGGCTTTGCACGGTGCTTTAAAGCGCTATCAAAGCGCCGTTGGTGTGAACTTAGCTTTAGTTATTTTTAGAAATGTATACCAATGGATTTATCTCTTATATTTCACGGACGACATACACCGATCACAGGGCTTCAAGATCCAGAATATCTTCTTTCTCTATCGGGAAGAAGGAGGTACGGATTCTGGACACCTGCTTAGGAGGATGTACGGACGGGGGCATTCTGATACTCATCACATCTTTCTGTCTTCAACTAGAAATACTAGAGTGAAGCTAATAGAAGGCCATGATTTCTCATGATGGATGAGAGCGTCTTCATTGTTACTGAGTGTGAAGCATGTTCTCAAAGAAGTATGAGTCACCGGCATTCGAAAGAAGGCGTCGACACATTGTGATTTCCGAACACTGCGGGAAGACAAAACCATCGAAATAGTTTCAAAATTCTTACCACCGTCGCAGGCTGGTGCTTTGCCTGACCATTTTCCATTAGCCTGACAAGTAAGTGAGTTTGAACCCTGGAGTGTACGTCCTGCAGTACACGTGTAGGTAACTTTTGTGCCGTACTTGTAAGAGTTGGGAGGGTTAAAAACAGCATTTCCCCCAACGGGAATACCAGGATCCCCACATGATATTTCTGAAAATAAAAAAATTAACCTGATTCTCATCACTCTAATTTATAGTTGAGACGCATTAATGTCATGTTTTTGATGAGATGTTCCAATCAACAGCGCTGTACTCTTATACGATTTCGCACTCGTTGTGACAACAGCTTCGGCTGGTTTGGTGAAAAACTTTGAGATGCTATATCGCCTAGTTATAGATTATGCTGATGAAAAATCATTTGAGTAAATAATAAAATATAAAACTCTCTAGTGTTCTTATTTGTACAACCATTCCCAACGATCATTTTATGGAGAATACTGTATAAGACATAATGGCGGTTTAAAAAATTATCTTATTAAGGATATACAGATTCAGTTCTAAAATGCATCTTATGTACAGGGTGTCCCGAACGTCTGCCCCCCCCCTAGGCAGACATATACCAATGTCTCCATAGTATGTGTCATATATCATTTTAACGTTCATCCAAAGTTACATTAATTTGCCAAGTATCATGGTTCAACTCTCATATGTGAAAAAGTTACAGGCATTTCAAAATTTAGTGTTTGGCCAAAATTAAAGTCAGTTTTACACCAAAATAATAGTCGGTGTGTCTCCGAAGCCGCCATGTTAACAGCAGCAACACTTTCCATATATGACATTAAACGCGCTTCAAATAGGGATGTGGCGTTTTGTAATCCTCATGAAACCTTTTTAACTCATTTAAGAAGAGTTTCCTTGGAGTATCTACCATAAACGTCCTCTTTTTAGAACTAAATATCCATCCTATCTTCGAGAATAGCATCCATATTTTCGGTCACATTCAGGTCAGGGCTATTTCCAGGATACTTAAATGAACTATAATTTTGGCAAAACACTAAATTTTGAAATGCCTGTAATTTTTTCACATATGAGAGTTGAACCATGATACTTGGCAAATTAATGTAACTTTGGATAAGTTTTAAAATGATATATAACACATACTATGGAGACATTGGTGTCTGCCTAGGGGGGCATACGTTCGGGACACCCTGTATATACAGGGTGGGCCAAAAACAACACTTAACCCAAGTTTAAAGATGAATATCATTTATGCTAGATATATCATTTTAAAGATAAATCATTTGCTAGAAATATGACACCATCTGATTGAAATTTTTTATTGCGGAGTTAGAGGCTAAAATTAACAGCAAGGGTGTCGAGAGCGACCAAAAAATCCAGAAGCACTCGTTGGCATAGACTGCGCCCTCAAAACCCGGGTTTGACGTCATCCAAATACGCCTTTCCAAAAAAAAGCGAACGGGCATTATTACTCCACAAGAAAACAGAGGTTTTTCAATCGGATGGTGTCATATTGTTAGGAGATGATTTATCTTTTAAAATGATATATAACATATAACATGGTTTAAGATATATCATATGAATCTGTAAACTTGGATATATTGTTTCTTTGGTCCACCCTGTAAAACACATTTGGGATTTCATTTGTAATTTCAGTATTGCTCTACCTATACATTTATCCAGCATTCCTGACCAGGATCCGTCATTTTTGCATTGTAGGATCGTCTCAGCTTTTCCCGTAGAAAGCTTATAACCTGTATTGCATTGGTATTTTACAATGTAACCATAGGAATAATACGGCCCTTGGTTCATTATAGCACCATTGCCCAACTGTGGAAGGTCTTTGGAGGGACAGCCAATAACTGAAACCATGAAACACATTTGTGAATCGAACACACAATAACGCAAGGACTACAGCCCATTTCAATGATTTATTGCGTCAGTAAAACCCCAAAAATAAGAAATCAGGAGACCATTTTGCTATAACATATACAAGTATATTCATATTGTACTTGAATGACAATTGTATATTTCAGATTATTTAGTTTTTTTGTACAATAAGCCTATGCCCTCTTGTAATTTAAAAAATTTCAGCCATGTTAATCTTATTGAAAATAACATGGCAGGGAAGCATCCAAATATAAGAGGCCACACACTTTATTAGCTAAACTAGAAGCAATCCAAGATAAACAAATGTCATTTATGTACAAGACGTAAATTCGAATCTTCCCAGTATTGATTTGCCTACCTGTGTATGAAAGCCAGAATCCTTTGTCAGAGAATATGGAATCATCTTCAGCATTGAAGGTCACATTGACTGTGCTACCGATGCTTGTCAGTGGCGCCACCTTTAAGTTGCCACACAACCGTAGCTGGCTGTTAGGATCATTTGTTCCAGCAACGGCGTCAAGCAGAAGGTAATCAACTTTACAATTTGTTGATTTCAAAATCTTGATCTCCTGAATATTGATTTCTATTTTCTGGCCTGGTTCTGCTTTGATTACCCATCTACATGAGAGAAGTGGGTAGTCATCTGGGTAGTCGGGACTTAGGATGTCGCCTTCTTTGCTGGTAAGTTCACCCCCACATCTGGGGAGAGCTGGAACAGAATCGGGGAAACATGTACTTAAATAACCAGGGAATCACCAACTTCACAGAATCACGAAATCGCCGTAATGAGATGTTATAGTTGGGCAAAGGAGCACGTAGTTTATCGCAAACAATTTCAGAAGGTTATATCTTGGATTATGACTATTTTCTGACCATGAAGACAAGTTTATCTTTTAGATCAATTCATTATCTCAAAGAAAATTATATACAGTGATAATAAAGTCAAACAAACACGGAGATATTTAACTAGCAATCAACCCATCAACACACTTTTTCAAAGATGGTGACCCCATTTTCACCAAAAATGCAATCATTTTTTACAATGTGTAATGAACATGTCTCAAAGCACACTCTAATTGTGCATTCAACAATATAATAAAAGGTTGCATTTTTGGTGAAAATTAGGTCAACATTTTTGAAAAAGTATGTTGATTGGTCCATTGTCCCTTCAATATCACTTAGGTCTGATTAACTAAATTATCATTATATATACTTTTCTTGAAGATAATGAATGGATCTAAAAGATACACCCATGTTCATGATCAGAAAATATTTATTGGACACCCTGTAGTATTATTTAAACAATTATTATATGAATTCTCAATTATGTTTAGTTTCTTAGTAAATTGAATATGGTATGTGTTTGAGGATACAAATCATATGGACATAATAAAATGTGTCTTTTTTATGAGTATGAAATATCAAGAAAATCCTTTTTAAGAGCTGGTTACAAACATATTTTATTAACAGGTTGGAAAATATTGAAGCCTTTGGTACATTATTTGTTATGTTGTCTGAGTTTGTATTCGCAAACTTTGAATTTTGTCTAAAAATCATCATTACTATGCCCGTGCATCTAAGGTTGTAAATGTGGACAATATCTTTGAAATGGCTCTAAAGATAAAAGTTTGGAGATTCATATTGGGTGATTTTTCCGCATTTGGAGCATCTTTTTAAATGGCCATAAAATCGTGTCCACAAAATGTAGACCAATGAAACTTCCCTGTATGAATATAACTGAGTACCCAATGTGCCTTAGTTTGTGAAATATCAAAATCCAAAATGGCCGTTAATTATCCGCACTGAGCACACATGATATCCGCAACGCTTGTTTTCGTATAGCACAGTCTGCATAGAGTGATAAAGTTTTGGTAGATTAAAGTAAATTATACATAAATACCTATGAAGGCACAAACCTTAATATGCTAGGGAAAATACCTGAATATGAAGGTAAATACCTGAATTTGAAAGTAAATACCTGAATATGAAGGTAAATACCTGGATTTGAAGGTAAACTTGAATATGAAGGTAAATACCTGAATTTGAAGGTAAATACCTGGATTTGAAGGTAAACCTGAATATGAAGGTAAAGATCTGAATTTGAAGGTAAATACTTGTATATTCTAAGATAAAAACCTTGAATATCAAGGCAAATACCTAAATTTACTACGGTAAATATCTCAAAATGCTGAGGTAAATACCCGATCGTGAAGATGCTAAACTAAATACCCGAATATGTTAAGGTGAAGCCCGTTCCTTTCGGTGGCAGCCTACTCCTTCGTGTAAACTTTATGCAAGCCTTTGTTCCAATGGTAAAGACAACATCTGGCAAATCTTTTATAGTGCCCTTGTACGTTTTGAGAGTGGCTCCCGGATTCTCCAACCAGTCCTCGCTACATTGACTACCTTCATACACAGTGAGCACATCATTGGCTTGTAAGTCGAGCGTATTAAGTTGAATCTTTATCCTATTACCCTTTGGTAGTGTTATCTTCCATTGGCATTCTTGGCCTGTTCTATAAGGATTTGGATAGCTTGGGGATGATAATGTTCCACTGGGTTGAGTTAGTGATAGTGCTCCACAATCTGAAATGGTACTGGGAGTTTAAGACATTTCATTACAAAGCGATTTAAACTTATTTAAACATGCAGCAACAGGCAATTAAAAATAAGTTTAAAGTAATTTTGTTATTGCATTTTCTATTTATCACATCCATCGGTTACAATTTGTTACAATAATTGGCTTTACCATCCCGTGTGCAAACAATTCCATACTTTTACGGTTTCTTAATTTCTAAGACTTGGGTACGGTGCCGCCCAAGAGAATAGCGTGTCATGAATTTGGATCAAGTTCCAGAGTGCGTCATGACTGGAATGTTTAGCTATCATTGCTAACATCAGCAAAACTTCGTTCAAAGTATTTTTTATCGTTCATTTTGATAAATAATTAGAACACACCCAAACTATTGTAAATATTTCAATTTTCTAGAGGAAAACATTTCGTATGATCAACACTATTTAGAATTATTACAATCAAGTAATCGTGAATGATATTTACACCCCCTCCATAAATTCCGCAACCTAAAGTGTTCATTTGACAACATGTCAGTCAAAGCCTGTTAATATTCAAAGATTTTACTTCATCAGGTAGACTAGTTCGGCAAATAACTAAGATTATGTTTTATTGCCATGAAACAAAGACTGGCTTTAATATGCGCTCCAGAAGGGACGTTACCAACCCTTTGTAAGGGGTTGTTTAACCACACTCAAATTATATAAAAAGGTATTAAAACAATGCATAAAATATTATTTGTAATTTTAGACTTGTCTAGCTATCTTTTTTAAATCATCTAATAACCGAAATTCTGAAAGTAACAAAATGATATATCTTACCTTGAGTTTGTACGAGATTATTACCCTCATAAATTATAACCAGTAAAATGATCCAATTGTTCTTATACATTTTGAGGTTTTATATGCTCCTACCCCTTATAAGGGAACTGAGCCTGGGAAATGGAAAGTTATGTTGAAAGAGTGGTCGTCTTTCAGGATCTAGAAAAAGCCGAAATCGTTCACATTAGCCGCCTCTCTAGGACAATGACAGCAAATGTTGATGTAAGTAATGAGTTACTTTGGTTGGATAACTCTGTTTCACAATGCTTTTTATCTAATCACGTTGAGGTTTCACCAAGATATAGAATTCTTCATATGGAGAAAGTTCTATACAAAATGACTTGAGGTAATATAAATGAGTGCAAATGAAGATATAAGATGTTCTTATCTGACAGAGTATATAATGAAAGTTGAAGGTTCACTTGTGATTTCAAATTATTTAGAATAAAAGACTGATACCAATGCCATGACTGGGACAGTTCAGTTATCTATGTGATGAATGTATTTATGTAGATTGTATATATTACCATATCTTATTACTAGAATAGTATATATAACATATAAAGTCAAGCGGATAACTCCAAGAAATCTCGAACCATTATATAAATTTCTCCGTCATCACAGTTTTATGAATACAGGATTGATCCAAGTTTAGTAATTTGGGGGTTTGTTCATTGTGGTGATTAAAGAAGAAAAGCCCCCCCCCCCGAAAAACAAAAATATGTGAGAAATTAAAAAATTATTTGATGGATTTGACAAAATGGAGCCAAATACAAAAATCGAAAGGAGACATTTATTGTTGGAGGAATCCTCGTCTGTCAAATGAAAGTATTTCAAAGAAGGATTGGCTCCCAAGGTTCCAACTCGATATTTTTTTTATCTCAACACAATTCATACAGTGCCGATTTCTATGGCAAAGTTCGCCTTTTCTTGACTGTCCCCTCTATGTTGCCCAAAGAACAACTCTTTTCAGGGAATTAGGGAACATAGATGTAACCAATAGACATAATCTTCTCAATCACATAATTCATGGAAATAAAGATTCTTCATTTATTTACAACTGCACTCTATTTAATCATGTCCAGACATTCATCAGAGACACTCAGAGATTTTTATAACCATATAAAACTGTCTAACTTATTGCATGACATCTCAAAATTTTATATGTAGACCCCTAGGGATATAATAGTGTAAACTGTAAACCCTAGGCTAAATAAAATGATTTAAAAAAAAGTTCGCTTGGTAGAACTACGAGGAGAATTGCCGATTTCTGTTTGACCTTGAACGGCATCAAAATTAAAAATGTCGTTATCACGCCCGGTGATCGTACAAATGGGATGGTGGGGGGATTAGGCGATTCCTGCAAGAAAACTCAACAAAGAGCGAGGGAAAGTATCGCAACAGATTTTTGACAGTAAATAATTTTTTTCTAGTAGTTTCTGGCTGTACAAAAATGAATGCATATGAAAGGCCAATGTATAATCTTTAAGAAAAATTCAAAGAATGGTTTCAAGACCAATTGGATTATCTCATAAGCCATGTTTAATCCACCCATCAACAAGCTTTTTTTCAAAATACAATCGTCATTTTCACCATCGTCCCTCATTTTTTTTACAATTTTCATGCAAAGTTACATTGTACTTGAACACATGTTTCATCACTTAAAATATATAAGGAACTCCTCGTGGATTAGGATTATGATAATCCAATATAAGGGGATCCAATGGGGCTATGCTTTTAGTACAGCACACTCATATAAGATGTCATTAGTGTGCCATAAAGTTAGTTCAAAATGTTTTCATAAATGAATGGTTGGACTTGTTTGATCCCCTGCTGTTTGATCCCCTGTTTAATCAATGGAGCATAACCGCAGCATTTCCCAAAAAATTCTGAATACCTGTCAAGTTGACTGTTTAATGTTTGAGTGCAGTTAAACCTGTGTATGTGTGTAAGTTGCTAAGAAATTCTAAATACCTCTCTTTATGATAATTTCTATGATGCCTTATTATAGCATTTACTTTGAACAGGTTTTCTGTATCTTGTTTATCAGTAATGATTCACGAGGTACAGTGCTATTAAAATCATAAATACAGTACAAGAATTTAGTACATCATACCTTTGCCAATCATTTTAGTAAGACAAATATTTTGATCCAGCTTCAGAAAAAACATTGAACATGTTTCTATATGATGATGTGTTATAACACACTTCCTTATTTGAGTTTATCTCCAGATTGATTATTCAAATTATGAAATGAAGGATGATATGCTAAGAATAATTTTTGCATATTCATCAATTCAAGAAATGTTATCCTAAGAAAATGTTATGAGTAACATACACTCTTACCTTAATGTTAACATTAGGGAGATTAAGCTTGCATATAAAATCGAAACGCCAACCTATGACCAATCGCCCATACAAATGCATCGCTAAATATTTTCCATTCACATTTAGGTTGTGAAAACATTGCAAGCTTAAAGTCCCTATTGAGAGTCTCTGAAAACCACAATCAATACCATTGAGTGTGTGGTGTATACTACCTTTATCATTATTTCTAAGATTTACAATAACATCTTTTTAGCAAAATGTCCGATTTTCTTCCATATTAATGTGAACAAATATAAACAAACCAGTCGAAATGTTGAGGCATGCGCAGACCTCTATTTAGTGATATTTTCATTTCAAATATGGCGGCCAATCCGATGTCTGACGACCCTTACAAAGAATCTAGGCAGTTTGCATTTTTACCTCCTGTGAAATAACAAGTGGAATTTAGTAGTTGTTTTGTGTTTTATTATCATTCTGCATCGTAATTCTATGTGATGTGGTGTTGAAATGTCAGCAGAAATACATATCCATACGATAATCGAGTGAATCAGATAACAGATTTTTCGAAAACCCGTCTCGTGCTAAGAGTGTAAAAACTTGTATTAACATGCTCAAAAGTGCCAATGTGCACATCAATGTCAAGCTAAATCAATGTTGTGTCTAAAACAGGTACCCGATCTACTCAAAACAGCTTGTCATTCACGTATACACGCTTAGCAAACACGGCGAAATGACCTGAATCTTGGAATTTCGTTCAAGAGCTAGTAATGTTTGCTCCGGTCTTCGTCATAAGTGTTCATCAGACTTCACGCATGCGCAGGAGAAAAACCATCAACCAATAAGGTTTATAAATCAATTTTGCGCATGCGCCTTACAACGGTAAACAAATTCGTATTTATAAACGAACCAGTTTGAGATAACCCGATATCAGTCGGAGAAATCTGACGATCTACGAAACTCACTTCAAAAAATCAAATGCGGACTGACGGCGTATTCTACTATGTTTGGATCTAAGATTTTCAGTATAGATAAAGTCTTTTATGATCTTTCGAATGAGGTAAGTCTCTAGTTCGAAAGACAATCGTATCAACTTGAACAAAAGTTGAGTTTTGACGAAAAATTTTAACATGCGCAGAAGTCCCATTTTCGTTGTACCATATTGACTGAAACATAGAATGATTCTATTGGTTGAGTCAACAATTTCAGTTATTAGGGAGGTTAAGATCGCACTATTTTGATGAACGTACACATGGAATGTGTAAACTTATGGTCCCCTATTCACGGTGTTATAGCATGACGGTTACGTCAAGGCGATTTGCAAAATTTTGCGGTAACGATAACAAAAAATGGCGGATGGGAAAGGCAGCATGTCCTCTTTCTCACCTGTAGGCAATATTCACAGATACGATTTCCTTTTAAACTAGTTCCATTCGGTGACGTATATATGGATGGTTATAAAGACTGGGTCAAATCTGCCAGGTGGTCTACAAGAAACAGAATATAATCTGTAAACCTACCGACTGAGATATTAAAGTTTATAAGTTTTGATCCATTCTCGTGTTGTTTCAGTACATGAGCCACTCAAAATATTAACTGTAAGTATAAGTACTGTGTATAACTACTGCAAATTCAAAATACATTATTATGGCTTGAGTAGAACATATTAGGTGGTTTCCAATGCTGAATTGGCTTTGTATGATCGTATGTAGGTTACATCTATATACCACAACGTTTTCTTACATAAATCTTTCATCCTTTCATTGATACACAGAAGTAGAAAATAATGCGCCAACCTTAGTTTTCTCTTCCATCGCGGCCATTTTATTGGATAAATCAGTGAACGTAGCTGTCCAACCTCGTTTTCAGAGGTGGCGTAACCGTCATGCTATAACACCGTGCTATTGACTATTTTCACATCACTGGCCTCTTTTTGCCTGATTGATATAATGCCAATTGATGTAATGGTGCCCAGTTAAACCAGTTGAGAGATGGACAACATTACTGGGGGTCATATCCACGGGTAATATCTAAAGCCCCGCTATGATTGAAAAATCGCGAGCAAGTCCCCGCTGAAATCGCGAGCATAGTCCTGTTTATTTGTATCACTTTGGAAAATGAACCAAAAGGATGAAAATACTTATTACCGTTCTTTGATACTCCAGCAAAACTTTGAAAACAGATATATTTGACAAAAAATGACATGAAAAATGATTATTTTGTACTTGCATGAAGGAAAGGGGCGTCAACATGCACGTTTGCATAATTTACTGTTCATATATTACCTTTATCGTTAAAATAAAGGCAATAAATACGATTTACATACTCCATAATAAATATCGGATCAAGATGGTCTGTATTGATAAGTTACTGGACAATGACACCTGCAATGGGGGTCGAAATACATCATTAAAGGTGTTCCAGTGGCCCCGCTGAAAAAATGAGGAGGCCCCGCTGAAAACATGAGGAGACCCCGCTGAAAACACGAGCAAATTTCACGACTACCCGCTTCGATCACGAGGAAAGCTTCATCATTATTCCATGAATATAGTGAGCTTCTTTATATGAACGTACACGAATGTGCAAATAACGTATTAATGACAATCACTTAACATATCATTCTATGGCAACATCAAAAATATTTCTTCTTCAACTTCAGGCAGTCTACTCCATCTGTCAGCGGCATGATCAATTTTTTATATGTAAATAGACTTTGTACATTTCGGAGTTAAATGTACATTCTACATAATTAACTATTCCAAGGATTATACTTCTGAGGACAAATATATTTCATTGGTTTCTTTGTCCGACCGTTCATTCGTGCGTGCATTCGACCGACCGTTCGTTCGTGCGTGCGTTCGTCCGACGGTCCGTTCGTTCATGCGTACGTTCATCCGACAGATTGATCGTTCGTGCGTGCGTGCATCGCCCAATCATGCGTTCGTGGCAGCGTTCGTCCGACCCTCCATTCGTTCGTTCGTGCGTGCATCCGTGAGATTGTCCGTCCGTTTGTGTGCGCATGCGTTCGTCTGACCGTCCGTTTGTGCTTGCTTTCGTCTGACTGCCCTTTCGTTCGTGGGTTCGTCCGTCTAGCCGTCCGTTCCTCCGTGCGTGCTTTCGTTCAACCGTCCATTCATGCGTGCGTTCGTCTGTTCGTTCTTTTTGCGTTCGTTTGTGTGTTCGTTCGTTCGTGCGTTCATTCGTGCGTTCGTTTGTAACTACGTTCTTGCGTGCGTGGGTTCGATCTTTTGTAAATTGTTTTCTTCTATCTTTCCTTCATGCGTTCTTTTGGCCGCCTATCCATCCGTTTGTTCATTCATTTTTTTTCGGCTGTTCTTCTGTCCATCCTTGCGTTCTTTCCTCGTTCGTTTGTTCGTTTGCAGGTTTTCATCAAAATTTGTCTTTCCACTGCCATATGAAAGAATGTAAATAATCAAGAAAGCAAGCAAGGATGTGAGGAAGTAAACAAGCAACGAAGTAAGTAATTGAGTTAGCAAGCAAGTAAAGAAGGGATGGAGGAAGTAAATCGAAGAAGTGAAGGTGGGAGTAATATAAGTAAGCAAGGTAGGAAAAAAAGGAAGGAAGGAGGGAAGGAAAGAAGCAATGAAGCAAGGAAGGAAGGAAGAAAGGAAGGAAGTGAGGAAGAAATTTGTGAAGGAAGCGAGGAAGCAAAGAAGGGGGAAAGAAGGAAAAAAGCAAGGAAGGAAAGAGGGAAACGAGGAAAGAAGGAAGCGAGGAAGCAAGGTAGGAAGTGAGGAAGGAAAGATTCCGAGGAAGGAAGGACGCAAGGAAGCAAAGAAGGAAGGAAGGAAGCAAGGAAACGAGAAAGCGAGGAGGGAAGAAAGTGAGGAAGCAAGGAAGGAAGGAACTGAGGAAGAAAGAAAGGACGGAAGCTAGGGAACAAGGAAGGAACGATGCGAGGAAGGAAGGAAGGAACTGAGGAAGCAAGGAAGGGAACGAGGAAGAAATGAAGCCAGGAAGCAAAGAAGGAAGGAAACGATGAATCAAGGAAGGAAGGAAGCAAGCAAAGACGCAAGAAAGGAAGGAAGGAAAAAAGCAGGGAAGGAAGTAAGTAAGGAAAGAAGGCGAGAAAGCAAGGAGGGAAGGAAGCAAGGAAGGAATGAAGCGACAAAAGAACAACGCGAGGAAAGAATGAAGGGAACGAGGAAGCAAGGAAGGAGGAAAGAAGGAAGTGAGGAAGGGAGGAAGCAAGGAATGAAGGAGGGAAGTGAGGAAGGAAGGAAGCGAGGAAGGAAGGAAGGAAGGAAGGAAAGAAGGAAGCGAGGAAGCCAGGAAGAAAGCAAGCGAGGAAGCATGGAAGGAAGGAATAAAGCAAGGAAGGAAGGAGGAAAGGAAGTGAGGACGAAATTTATGAAGAAAGCGAGGAAACAAAGGAGGAAAGAAGGGGGCGAGGAAGGAAAAAAGCATGGAAGGAAAGATGCGAGGAAGGAAGGAAGCGAGGAAGGAAGGAAGCGAGGAAGCAAGGTAGGAAGGAAGCGAGGAAGGAAAGATGCGAGGACGGGAGGAAGCGAGGAAGCAAGGAAGGAAGGAAGCAAGAAAAGAAGGGGCGAGGAAGGAAGGAATGAATGAAGCAAGGAGGGAAGGAAGGAAGTGATGAAAGAGAGAGGCGAGGAAGCAAGGAAGGAATGAAGCGAGGGAGGAAGGAAGCGAGGAAGCAAGATGGGAAGCAAGCGAGGAAGGAAAGATGCGAGGAAGGAAGGAAGCAAAGAAGGAAGGAAGCAAGAAAAGAAGAGGCGAGGAAGAAAGGAAGGTAGGAAGCGAGGAAGGAAAGAAGCAAGGAAGGAAGGAAGCGAGGAAGGAAAGAAGCGAGGAAGCAAGGAAGGAAGGAAGGAAGTCAGGAAGGAAGGAAGCGAGGAAGCAAGGAGGGAAAGAAGCAAGGAAGGGAGGAAGCAAGGAAAGGAGGAAGCAAGGAAGGAAGGATGCGAGGAAGGAAGTAAGCGAGGAAGCAATGAAGGAAGGAAGCAAGGAAGGAAGGAAGCGAGGAAGGAAGGATGCAACAAGCGAAGAAGGAAGGAAGTGAGGAAGCAAGGAAGGGAGGATGCAAGAAATAAAGGAAGGAAGCAAGGATGGAAGGAAGGAAGCGAGGAAGGAAGGATGCAAGAATGCGAGGAAGCAAGGAAGGGAGGAAGTGAGGAAGGAAGCGAGGAGGGAAGCAAGGAAGGAAGCAAGAAATAAAGGAGGGAAGTGAAGAAGGAAGGAAGCAAGGAATGGAGGAAGCGAAGGAATGAAGTGAGGAAGCAAGGAAGGAATGAAGCAAGGAAGCAAAGAAGGAAGGAAGCGAGGAAGGAAGGAAGCAAGGATGGAAGGAAGCGAGGAAGGAAGGATGTGAGGAAGCGAGGAAGGAAGCAAGGAAGGAAGGAAGCGAAGAAGCAAGGAAGGGAGGAAGCGAGCAAGCAAGTAAGCAACAGGAGATTGATATAGGAATAATAATCATAAACATTATTCTGACTAAATCATTTTAGGTTGACCTAAACGCACGCTTATACGTGTATCTTACTGAATATCGACTTGTACTCAAAGATGGAACAGAGGGTACAGTTGCAATACAGAGAATACAGAATATCTTATATTACTTCAAATTATGAAAATGAGGTTAAATGTTTAACATTTCGTCCGATCTAATACTCATCACATTTCTCAGATGATCTTTCTTATTCTGTAAAATGGCATGGAAATATGATACTGCAGTTTTCCATAACAATGTATCATAATATGAACTATATTAAACAGTTGTGTTTGCTGTTATTGAGAATTGTATTGACAAATAATGTATTCATCAAACTGGGTACAATAGTGGATCAAGGTGGGTACGAAAGTGGGAAATTTCCAGGGTATAATAGGATTCACTCCATTTTTGAGAGACACTTGCTCCTGTTTTCAGCGGGACCTCCTCATGTTTTCAGCGGGGCCTCCTCCTGATTTCAGCGGGATCTTTGCTTAATTGCTCCTGCTAGAAGCGGGGCCTTGAGGGATATGATCAAATTTAAATATAAAATGTTCTGTAAAGCTTTAGGAAGTGAAACTCGGTACATCTTTATTTCATATCACTATCGTTATTTCAACCACAGGACAACATCGTTCTTCACCAATAACGTATAGAAATATATAGATAAAGATTCAAAAAGATACTTTCTCTCTTCAATTGACAAATAACGAACCACAGAACGACCGCTCGTGATACATTTTTTCCAGCAGTTGCTTTTTTAGTCTCAATACCATGTAATCATTGGGAAAAATTAAAAGAAAACGTTTTGCAAATCATACAATTCAAGAACACAAAAAAGAACCCATGACTTATTTTTATTCCTCGCGATTTCAGCGGGAACTTGCTCGCGATTTTTAAATCATAGCGGGGCTTTAGATACTACCCGTGATATCAGTACTCGTTCATGTTCAAGTTCTCACACAAGTGTTTTACACAGTCCGTAGCCAGCTTTTACCAAGGGGTAGGAGCAGTTTTACCAAGGGCAAAGCTTTTGCCTAGGGATGAACTTTTTGACAGTTTTGGCTAAAAAATCATGCTAAGTGCTCAGATTGGTGAGAAACTGCATCATTTTGAAAGAATCTCTTGGGGGAGCAGCAGCTCCCTTTATCTCTCCCTCTACCTGCCTACGAGCCTGTGTACTTAACCTCTCTAATGTTCATGATCAATACTAAATGTAAAATTTTCACATTTTTCATATTTCTACTATTCATATTGACCAATCCCCATTCATGTCATTTTAACAGGTCCTCAATCCCTTGTTTTCTAGTCGTATGTGCTTTTATTATTCAGTTTCACAATCTATTGTTTTGCCATGCCAGTTTTACATGTTTGCATGCTGAGTTTGTTTTATGTAATGTTTTTTTTGTCCCTTATATGGTTTACACATTCACTCAGTTGAGTTGGGGTGTTGCCCAATTACTAGTTAATGTTGCCTAGAGTTTGTGACTGTACATACACAAAGTATTTCAAATAAATATTTTAGAAAACATTTTATATTTGATTCCCACCCAAGGGTCTTCAACTCACCCATTAACATAAACAAAACATGAACTCTAATAAAAATGCCAACAAGACTGCAAGGGAAACTTAATCTATGAATTGGACTTTGCCATATCACATGTATTAGTCCCACGACCAGGGAGGGGGAGGAGGGGGGTTGAGAGACGACCCTCTTCCCTAGGCACATTTTCTGTCAACATCCTGCAATTTTTCACCACTTTAGTACTTTTCAAGTGATGTTCGGATGATGCTTTCATTTAATTGCTTGCACTGATGGTTTCTCTTGAAAATTCATGCACATAAGGTGATCTTGTATTTCAACACAGGACCCTGAAAGCGCTATTTGAGCTTGAAGTAGAAGTATTCATAGTATTACCGTTTGTATTATTAATCTCTATGATTTTTCAATAGGCTAACTCAGTCAGTGAATGCAGGATTAAAACACAACACACATGAGTAATTCACCCACCTATGCATGTTATTATTGAAAAACATTGCCATCTTTTACATCACTCCTAAATCATTTTTGTAAACATGCATTTTAAGAGGTTCATTTTTTCAAAAAAAAAACTCAAAAACAAACTTCATGGAGTTCCTTACATATTTTACTTGAAGAAACATGTGTTCAAGTACAATGTAACTTTGCATGAAAAATTGTAAAAAAATGAGGGACGATGGTGAAAATGACGAATGTATTTTGAAAAAGCTTGTTGATGGGTGGATTAAACATGGATTATAAGATAATCCAATTGATCTGGAAACTATTCTTTGAACTTTTCTTGAAGATTATAGATTCGCCTTTCCCAAGCATTTACTTTTTACAGCCAGAAACTACTCACAAAAAAATTATCAACTGTCAAAATTATCAAAAGTCTGTTGCGATACTTTCCCTGCTCCTTTGGAAGATTTATTTTTTTCAAGAGAAAAGGACGGGTGTCATTAAGGGCCCTTTTCAGCCCCCAAAGATATCTGATAATAATGCATATCATATTGAAGAAAAATCATTTGTGCTTTATAAAAATACAATTTCAGCGAATTTTGACCTTTGATGTTCACACAACAGTCATTTAAAGATCATATACCATTTTTGGTGTTTTTACAAAAAATTCTTTATTTATTGTTGTCTAAGTAAATAGTATATAAATATTAACCAATATAAATACATTAAAATGTAATATATGAAATACTGAAGAAAAGATACGATTAAAATTATTTTCATGGAAAAGCACATAGGGCAATATTGACAAAATGCAAATGCTATTTTGGTAGGTTCTGGGCTAGCAATGGGTACATTTCAACTGTGATTGTAATGGATTACTATTGACTTTTATCAGCATCGTAGGGCAACATTTAAGCAACTTAAGCACAAGGAAAATCAAAGATTTCCTCTCATTTCTAAAACGAGGAACAAAAGCATGAATTCAAGGAAAATAAATGATGGCCTGTGCCAAAATATATAACATAGGAGAAAGTTGTGGCACAGTAAAGGATATGTATAGGATATCATATGATTTTAAATGATTTTATCTTTATCTCCGAGTTGATATCAATATCTTGCCAAGTGAGCATAGCGAATTAGCGCAGATATTGATATCAATGAGTTGGATTAACACAATATCACGAAAATTCATAGGATGTTCTACTTTTCCCATAGTTCACCTCTAAAACTAAACAAAGCATATCAAAACAACATCCATTCATTCATTCATCCCTGTGATGTCATGAAATCACTATGTAACAAAACACATCATATTGGTGGTAGTTTTCAAATCCCTGCCAAAAGGTGATATCTGTGAAATATTTTCAGTATTCCACAGATATCACTTTTTCCACGCATTTGCAAAATATCATAAATATGTTTTCATGTTACCTAACAGAGCGGAACAGAGTTCAACTATGGGATAAAGAATAAAAAATAGGTACATAATTGAATTACCACTCCAAAAATATTAATAAATATGAGGGTTTAAAGAAAGAATATTGAATATGAGATTCAAAAAGACAAGTGGCCTCATGTCTCACATTACCCAAACCCCAGATCCTCGATGTCATATATACTTGTACACTGTATATCAATGTTATTTACTGGGAGGATTAAATATGGAGTGTATAGCAATGGTCAATACGATATTTCCAGATGGATATTTTTTCCCTAGAAGCGGAACCCAAACTCAGTCATGACATAGAAGCTAACTTTTGCAATTAATAGAAACTTGTTTTTTATTATATTTTTGTGTTTTATATTTGAGATGAAATAATATGAGATTCATTTCTACAAGAGAATGGAACGAATGTGAACTTGTATATTGAGCTATACTCCTTTTCTGAATAAACAGAACAACATTTTATCCAAGCCAATGAAGAAAACCAAGGCCAATGAGTGTAATTTATGTCCAGTTAAACTAACACAATAACAACTTTTTGTCTGGACTCACTTATTATGTAAGAATGAATTGTATTACTGTTTACTGCATTAAATGTCAAGTATACTATCTGTATTTAATTTCAAATGCCTATCTCACTTATTGAAAGTATACAAGAAATGTTATTTTGAAACAAATTCAGCACAACCAAAACCATGTCCACATAATATGACAAATCCAAGATGGCTGCCACAATTTTAGATCCATGCACATGTGAAGAAGTTAGAAATACACATGGTCCACAAGTCCCATCCCCAATAAAATGGGAAGTTTAAGGTTTTCACACATATCAACTCTATTCCTATATACTTTATATTTGTGGTAAGGCTTGTGATCTAGGTAAACTTAACATGTTCATGTACCTCCTATCCTCTGAAGCTAAAACCAGAAATAGTGACTTCAATTGAGAAAAATGAATCTTATGGGCTCCATATACATTTTGAGTGGCTGTCCGGCTACAGTTAGATACTACTGATAATCTGAGATTGAAAATTATGTCAAGTTTAGTCCTCAGCCTCTCATAATGGATAACTTCGAGGTAATTGTGTTGTTACTGCAAAAACCTCTATTTCTTCATCACAAATCTACCATCTTTTGCATCTGTCAAAACCCTTCATTTCATGTTAATTTTCAGACTTTTGCTTGTGCCATCATTAAATATATATATTCAACTTGTTATTCAGAATATTTTAAGAACTTTTCATGAATTTTTTTATTTTCACACTTTTGAAAAAATGACTAAGTCAGAGAATGGCCTCTTAATGGCATGTCCCCTTTACAACTGAATTGCCAAATGAATAGGCGCAGTGCATGGCAAAATATGTTAGGTCATCTAGTGTTTTTTTTGAACTGATACCCTTCTAAGATATGAGATCTATTAAGAAAGGCGCATCATCACCAACGTGCAAAAGTCAATGTTTTTGCTATAAATCGGGCAACAATGGTCTATACACGACCTGTAATAAATAGGTATAAGGGACGTTATTATCACAATACTAATGACATTGCTCACTTTTAAAGTTAGTTTCTAAGCGTTATACAAAAAATAATCGTAATAAATTAATATCGGGTGGAGGGGGGGGGGGGGGTCGGATGGAGGGGGATCACGTGTACATAAGACATGATAAGACATGCTACTTGAATTTATTCTTATAACTCCAAATTTTCCCATTTTTCATTCTCCAGAGATATAATATCCAGTTTCTTACTGGGGTACTGAGTTTTGTTTTTTAAAATACACGAGTTCTTGTGAATTTGTTCCATCGTAAAGACATATAAATCCCCCTTTATTTATCTTTTAGCATTTATTCGGAGGTTTGTACTGAAATCAACATTTATCAACATGGCGTAAACTCAACATAATATTTTTAATACGTTTTCGCCAATTACCAAGACGCCTTGGAATGTCACGTGTAGTGTAAATAGGGCTAATATGAATTTATTCGAAAAATTAAATATCCTGCAGACATCCTGCATTCCGACAGATGTATAACATTTTACCACATAATATTGCTGTATCTAAGATGATCCCAATACAGATTTAATTTGTAATTATTTGAAATTCATGCCTCGGCGTTTTGCTTAGTCTAAAAATATAAAAAAAGTCTTGGTAAACGTGCTGCACGGTAAAACCTGTATCAATGAACATCTTTCTCTAGTGAACACCTCTTCTTATCACACATTACTCTGACATCTATATCACACATTATTGGATTTCCTCTATGTAGTGAACATCTACTAACTGGTAACACATTTGGGGCTCCATATGTGTTCACTGTGCACATGTTTTACTGTAGTTGCATCAGATAACCATAACTCTTATTCAGATAAAGAACAATCTTAAAATCTAATTTTGCCTTTTCGTATTTCAAGATGCACTCCACTTACCTTTTGGAACAACTATAGAAGGTAGAACAATCCACAGTTCATACCATCATATGTATTTAGCTTCATCTTCATCAAATAATTTTACTTCATATAATCAAGTTACCGTAAAAATGACCATGTCAGGTGATGGATCCAAAGAAGGCAATATGAAATGAAGTTGACTATCATTTTGATGAGTTACCGTGCATAAGTTGGATAAAAGAGATAAAAGCTTAAAGAGTGGTCGTATATACATCCCAGAATTTGAATTGTGTACTTTTATAACGTTTCATTTTTCATAATACTTTACGAAAGAGATTTGACACGTTCGCTCCTCTAAAGTGAAGTTGTAAAAGATATATTATATATCTAAAACGTATTTTAGATTAGAAACTGCTCCGTCACAGCGGACAATAAATTTAAACATTATTTTTTATAACAAAATTAAAAATACCCAATACATAAAGATCCCAGTAATACCTTCAGAGTTATGCTGAAAACATATGTAAATATTATCTTGTCACTATATTGTACCATTAAAAAGAAATAAAAATGGTACATTTTGGAGTATGATACTCCGGCGCCGTTTTCAATAGCTTTTACTCTTAGCGTTGTTGGACAGAAGTTAAAGTTAAACGCAAATGATATATCCATTGCATGGAGTAGGTAATTTTCTTTGATATAGCGAAACACATGAGTAAAAATATATTGTGTGGATTTCCTAGTGTTTCTATGCAAAATAGCACGGTCCGTCACAGCGGACAAATGTTTCGATACCAGCCTGTGATAAATTCATAATTAGCCATCCAAAAGATTTAAACGAATCTCTTGATCACTTCTTGTGTGATAAAATATGTACTGAGTGACATCTATAATTAGATCTAAAGAATATTTTGGTGAATATTCCAAATTCGATTTTTTTGTTAGTATGTTGTGTATTTTAATTTGTGTGGAATAAAAGATAAGTTCATTGCTCCACTGTGAAAGTGTTTCAGGACTTTTTTGTCTCATAATTTCCTTTGTTTATATTCAAAGCAAGGAATAAAAGTTAAACGTTTTACGACAATAAAACCCCAGCGGGAGATATATAGAGATTATCCTATATGAGGTTCAGGATATTGGGATTATCCCGAGGCCAATATAATATATTTGCCCGAGGGCCGCAGGTCCCGAGGGAAAATATATTATATTGACCAAGGGATAATCCCAATATCCTGAACCGACTATAGGATAATATGTTTATCCCATACCAATCTTGGTCATCTGGTTCACATTGTTCAATCGTGGAAATATTTTAGAATATTCATGTCCAGTTTGTTTTCTTGGCCGTGGGTGGATTTTTCTGTTCTCTCAAATATTCCCACATCTATTTTCTCGAATTTTTTAAGTGGATGCTCCTTCCCTTTTTTAATCCATCAAACAGATCCCGATTGTCTGTGTTTTCTCCATTGTCGTTTACAGTCATTACGCGAACGCTACAAATTATGAACAAATATGCGAGCGGCGATTATGACGTAGCGGGCAGATATACTATATCTGCCCGCTCGGAGCGGGACGTAAAGCTATATCTGCCCGCTGATGAAAATATAAGTTTTTACAAACCGGCTTTATGTACCTGTAACACGTCCAAGTATGGGATAAACGAATTTATCCCATACTTGGACGTGTTACAGGTACATAAAGCCGGTTTGTAAATACAGAATATCACATCATTTTGAGTGATATCATTTTTATCGCGGAGTTGATATCAAATATCAACACGAGTGAGCGAAGCGAATGAGTGTTGATATTTGATATCTACGAGGCGATAAAATGATATCACGAGAAATTATGTGATATTGGGTTTATCCCGTGATTACAATCACCTTGTGATGTTCTGATCCAATTTCCAGGACATTGGCAGACAATGTAAACTAGAAATTAGAATATCAATTGAATATTTGAAACACTTTATTTTAACAATTAAAAGTAAATAACATGATATAGTTCGTCATAAATACCATTTTTTAATCGTTAGTTAGGAGCCTTCTAATCAGATTATGTACACAATCGTAATTCAATGCACCAATGAAACTTAAAGAGAATAAATTAACGGACCTATTTTCTCAAAAGATAATAAATTATCTGAACTAATTTCCAACAATATTGTGGCGCGAAATGCAAATGTGATATCACACGGATATGCGTGAGATAAACGATATCACACGCATATGAGTTTGATAAACGATTTTCTGGAAAATATCACACGGATTTCAATAATATCAGAAATATCAATAGCTGTTATTGCACAGATAACACATTAATCGTGGGATAAAACCTTATATTTTCATCAGCGGGCAGATATAGCTTTACGTCCCGCTCCGAGCGTGCAGATATAGTATATCTGCCCGCTACGTCATAATCGCTGTTCCCGTATTGGTTCGTTGTTGTAACGTTCGCATATTGTAAACGACAATGGAGAAAAACGCAGACAATCGCGATCTGTTTGATGCTTTTAAGAAGAGAAGGAGCAGTATGCCCCGTTAATATTCAAATATTTGAACAGGAAAATCCGGCTACGGATAAGAATACAAAACTGGACATAAATATTTTAAAATAATTCCAAGGTTGGTTACAAAGTCTCTTAACTGTGGCCAATTGAATTGGACAATGTGATTTGTATGGGATAAACAGATCATCCTATAGTCGGTTCAGGATATGGGGATTATCCCTTGGCCAATATAATATATCTACCCTCGTGCAGATATATTATATTGGCCTCGGGATAATCCCAATATCCTGAACCTCATATAGGATAATCTCTATATATCAACCGCTCACCTCAGATATCAATTATATTCCCGCATGTTATTTACCTATAACACTACTAAGTATGAAATAAATAAGGGTTATGTACTGGGAGGTTTTGGATACAGGGTTTATCCCAAGAGAAATATGTGTATCTCACGAGGGACCGAGGGAGATACACATATTTCCCGCGGGATAAACACTGTATCCAAAACCGACCGTACATAACTGGTGTATCTCATACTTGAGTGGGTTTGGGGTAGATATAACCTTTACCACCTTTTTCAAATGACAAGATAGGCCTATACTGTAAAAGTACAATTTATATTTAACATTTTCATAATATTCCTTCAGTTCAATACAATAGAATTGTAACATTTAAACTTTTTGAAAAATTTTGAACTTCTGAAATTTAAATTTTTAAAATTTTTAAAACTTTTGAAAAAATTCCCGGGAGCGGGATGGATATATTATATCTGACCGCATTTGGCTTAGAGCGGGACATATACAATATATCCTGCCCGCTCCTCAGATATGATATATATTCCCGGGTGATATCTACCCCAAACCCACTCAAGTATGAAATACACCTCAATATCTACATATAGGTTTATATTTTATATCTGAAAGGGAAAATGTATTCATGCGTGAAAACATCTTTAATCCTGAGATAGATAAGTACATTGACGTATGTGTAAGGTAGACTTTCTCAGTCTGATGATGGTCTGTTCAGTAGGACTTTATTATTCAGCTGGTGTTCCCTAAGAAACGCGACACTGTATTGGCTTGGATTTCACGAGAAACAAGAGGATGACAATATCGTGACCATATAAACTCAATACTTTCAACAGTCCGAACCTCTGCACAGCTTGATGTGGTTTGAATGTGAGGTAAGCGACCTCCGTCATACGTAAAGATCCAAAAAGTCCAATCGCTGAAAGGGCATGCGCAAATGATCAGGAGCCAAATCCAATGACATGCGAATAGGCAGAGAAAGACATAAGGTTTACGGATTTAATAGCCCTCTTTAATTTCTCGCTCGTATAAGAGCGCAAGACATGGCAAATTAATGATATCCTTAGAAGGCCGCTGTTTCTGCGGCAAGTCGAGAATAAATGGCCGTTTTTACTTTATGCATCTTTGCATTGGCATCACTCAGTGGAAACTTCGAATTAACAAGCGGTATGTATTCATATTTATAATATCTAAAAATTGAGCATGAGAATCGTTTAGTTTATTTGCGATAATTTGAGATTACTATTATTATTCAATGTAGCCTCAAAACTTGTAGTCGAGCGTTATTACTTAAAGATAACATTCCACGTTGACTTAAGGTCTCATTCCATAATTGCAGATTGTTTTTATTTGATTTGTTTTACAGGCACATTTATCGTACTTTATTGTATAAATGATACTTTATTGTATGAACGTGACGACGTACGTATATTTACAAAGTTATTTATGATATGTCACACGCTCTTTTCTCATAGAGTGAATTGTGCTTTGGATTAAATCAAGACAAGTTTTCGATAGGGCAATCGCGTAATAGTTTAACTTATGTTTACTACCATTTGTCAGACGTCATTAAACTTAATGACCATGAAATTAAGTTTCTGTCCAGTTATCTTCAACAAATGGTATTTAGATATTGTTCAAAATATGTCAAACTATGGGTTCATGGTTATAATGCTTGTCAGCTAGATTTTAACAACATACGGTAGTTCCATGATCTTAAAAGCTCTTGAAACAGATTGAGTTATTTACGCATTTGATTCTTGCACGACGCAAATTGAAACGTCCAGCACACATTTATTTTAAACCCAATTATTGTTTAAATGATCGCTAAATAATAATTGATCGGAAAGTTTAAATCATTTCATTTATCTAACTTAATCTAGTTTTATATAAACGGGGGTTATGTGATCACCAATATTTGTGATATAATCATTTTGTGGTATACAACTCCATGACCATATCAATATCCATGACCATATCAATATCCATGACCATATCAATATCCATGACCATATCAATATCCACGAACACAACCAAGCGAAAATCTAAAATGACGACAACAGCGGGATTGGTCTGTAATTTTGGAAAGTAGCATTAAATAAAAGCTATCAATTCAAATGGGAACGTCCAAACATAATCAAGCGAATATGGTTATGACATTAAAGGTATCCCCAAGGTCTCAAAATGCCATTCCAGTTAAACTGTATAGTAAGTTAAGCTACATGCAAATCATTGCAATTTCTGTTGATAGACTAACAACTCGTAAGAATCAACGTGTCATTACATACCACATTGGTCATTTATTCAGTAACAGTTTATCGATGAATAACACTTTGATTTGTCAAGGGATTTACATTTTAGCATTTCTAGATTGCAAGGGTTGTTAACAAATTGAGGGATCACACGAAGAAATTTCTTTGTTTACGAACCAAATAAATAAAATAAATAATATCACCCGTTTTTGATCGATCGAATATTCGATACCTCGCGTATGATATATTCAGAAAAACTTGAATTTTAGTAGAACTATCCGATTTCGAAAAGCACACTGGTTCGTTAAAGAATAAACTTTGTGATCAAATCTTTTCCTTAAGGATTTGATTGAAATAAATGGGTTTCTAAATGGATGGAGCTGTTTCAAAGAAAGGATGTACACTCCATTCGTAAGTTTGGAAACCCAGATTTCAAAACTGCATGTTAAGGAAGTTGTCGTACAGTGTTGTATATTGTATTGTTATATTCGTACAGTAGATGTCCACCTAGAATCGAAGCATTATGACCTAAATATTATGTTTACGCAGCCGAAATGCGGCTTAAACTAGGAGGGCATTCTATCGTCTTGACAGGGAAAGATACGATTAGATTAAATCATTCGAATAAGACTCTCACTGAGATAACACAGGAGGCGAAAGAGTAATATCTAAATGACCTTAGTGCTCTCAAACCTTATAATTTGCTCAAGCTATCAATTATGAATTATTAAGATGAGTTGAAAATTTGAATTAACTTCACTGCTTGATTTTATCAATATATGTGAATCAATATTCCTGTATATTCATCTTTGCTAAGAGAAAAATAGATTCTGTATTTAAGTTCAAATATAATGTTTCAAGAATTAAGATTGTTCTCATACCACATCTGTTTTGTTTTCCGCCAAAGTTGTTTATTTAACAATGGCATATGTATGTACATTGTATGAATATTTAGGAAATATTAAATTCGAAATTTCGAAAGAAATTACACATGATCATCTTAGCCGCTGCTTATATTTATGGAACATTTTCCATTTACACTGTTGCTCATATACAGGGTGTCCCGAAAGTACGGCCCCCTAGGCAGACATATTCCAATGTCCTCATAGTATGTGTCATATATCATTTTAAAGCTTATCCAAAGATACATTGATTTGCCAAGTATCATTTCCAAATGGGAAAAAGTTACAGTCATTTTAAAAGTTAATGTTTTGTCAAAATAAAGTTCAATTTTACACCACATTACTAGTCAATGTGTCCCCCTTGGCCATGTAAACAGCAGCAATTATTTTCAGATATGACTTTAAAAGCCCTTCAAATAGGGGTGTGGAATTTTATAACCCTCTAAAAAACTGTTAAGGGACTTTAGAAGAGTTTCCTTAGAGTTTCTACCCTCACCGTTCTCTTTTCTAACTCAATATCCATCCGACCCGAAAAGCATTACTGCTGTCAAGATGGCCCAGGAGGACACATTGACTAGCGATTTGGTGTAAAATTGAACTTAATTTAGACCAAACACTAAATTGTGAAATGCCTGTAATTTTTTCACGTTTGAGAGTTGAACCATGATACTTGGCGAATCAATGTAACTTTGAATGAGCTTTAAAATGATATACGAGTATGACACATACTATGATGACACTGGTATATATGTCTGCCTGGGGGGGGCATACTTTCGGGACACCCTGTATATGGAACATTTTCCATTTACACCACTGCTCATATATATGAAACGTTTTCCATTTACACCGCTGTCCATATATGTGGAATATTTTCCATTTTCACCGCTGCTCATATTTATGGAACATTTTCCATTTACACCGCTGCTCATATTTATGGAACATTTTCCATTTACACCGCTGCTCATATATATGGAACATTTTCCATTTACACCGCTGTCCATATATATGGAACATTTTCCATTTAAAACGCTGTCCATATTTATGGAATATTTTCCATTTATACCGCTTCTCATATTTATGGAACATTCCCCATTTATACCACTGCTCATATTTATGGAACATTTTCCATTTATACCACTGCTCATATTTATGGAAAATTCCCCATTTATACCACTGCTCATATTTATGGAACATTTTCCATTTATACCACTGGTCATATTTATGGAACATTCCCCATTTATACCACTGCTCATATTTATGGAACATTTTCCATTTACACCGCTGCTCATATCTATGGAACATTTCTATTTACACTGTTGCTTATTTATATGGAACATTTTCCATTTGCCATTGATCCGCTCTCAAATAAATGAATCATGATTATGTACTGATTCTGTTAAGTGATCAAAAGGCTAATAGCTATAAATCTCATTTAATTAATCTTAAAATTAATAATGACACGTAACTTACACAATCAAAATATTTGAGCCTTAGACCTTTCTGTCTCACCTGTAGTGGCTTGCCCTTTTGGCTAAAGTGGTATTAAAGTGGTATTATTATATTATATAGCGTCAGCCTCGTGAGCGAGTGGTCCTGGGCTCGATGGCTGGCTGCAATATCATTTAGTTTGTTTCCCTTACTTTGCCTTAGGTTTATGGGGAATGAGGGTTACGCCCATTGAACCTGTAATGTTCCAGAAACATGAGCAACAGTGTGTTCGTGAAAGGAGCCATAGAATTGATTATAGAACATAGCAAGAAATCAGTTTTATAAAATTAATCAAAAATTAGACAGTTAATTTAGTTAATTGGTATTTCCAAGCTATTAGTATTAACTAGACCGAAATACATACGTGCATGTATCTGCTAATAAATGTTCTTTCTTTTTCCCAAACCCTTGTTGAATACTAAATCGCTAGAGAGTAGAGCTCAGAAACAATCAATTCCCTGTCGGTAATTTCGACTTTGGGTATGGTCCAGTGAATGTTATCAATATTCAAGCTTTAGCTAAGAATGAACAAAAATGAAATATCCCAAGTTTTGATTATTTATGTTACAACATTATAACTCAGATCAGTGTGACTTATTAAATAAGAGAGTGGTAGGAATAGTGGTAGAGACATGGTTGCCGGGACAACCTTTTACCATATACATGTACCATTGAAGCGTGATATGTATGCATGTATGTATTTCATCTTGTCATCGATTTGAAAAGTACCCGCTTTCCGGAAAATATCAGATTCAGGAAGTTGAGGCGAAGTTATAGACAAAGGGCACTAAGATGAGGCGACTTATATCCAAAGGGCATGAAGATAAGGCAACTTATATCCAAAGGGCATGAAGATAAGGCGACTTATATCCAAAGGGTATGACAATGAGGCGACTCATATCCAAAGGGCATGACGATAAGGCGACTTATATCCAAAGGGTATGAAAACGAGGCGACTTCTATCCAAAGGGCATGAAGAGGAGGCAAAATGTAACGGTGGTACAACACATATAAATAAACACCGATTTGTTTTTCAAATGAAATATAAATGTCATTCAAGAGCATTATGAGTTCATTTTTCTATGAATTGCAGTTTTAGAACAACACAATTGCAACTAGAGTAAGAGTAAAAGCTACTATTTTACCATTATAGTGGTAACTTTGCAAGATATCAGGCTTGCGCAAAAAGCATTTTGACATCAGTCTTAATTTCAAAGCTTTATAGTTAAGTGTTTTTTAATTTCGGATGTGTGTTTACCTCTATATGGAAGCATGTAACATCTGCCACAGAATTCCTTAAGAACCATAGTGATGCATCGACCGATTTCAATTTAATAAAGTCATTTAACATCTTATGTTTGTTCTGGTATGGCAACACATTTTACCAATTCTGCAGTTGAACAATCAAGCACAACTTATAAGGATTAACTTAAAAACATAACTGTATAATTAATGATCTTGCTAAGTCATTAAAGGTTTTGTGTATAAAAACGATACCTGGCAAACTCAGAAAAACTCCGAGACG